ACTACCGGCTGCAGGGAGTCCGATTTCGATCAGTACGGTGACATGGAGGCGTTCGGTGTTCACCCTGACTGGCAACGTCAATTAGCAAAGTTCGCGTCAGTACAGGACCGGCTGCGTGAATGGAAGCCAGAGGTTATGGCAAAGCTCAAGACTTTCTCGTGCATGGCCATCACCGCTCTCGACATTGATGCCATCCGTATCGACAAGTCGACCCAGGTCACCGTAGACGCTCTTGCAGAATGGGCTTCCAGCACCCGTGCTTGCGCCGCTGCCCTGAACAAGACCAACTTCTACATCCCTGGTGAAGTTACCGGTGGCGACACGTTCGGTTCCCTCTACTAGTAAGTTTAGGCTTGCATTCACAGGATATGGAAGGCGCACGTCAAACTGATCGCAATCTGACAGCGGACGCGGTCGTACGCCAACTCAGCGGCCCTCGGGCTTCCTGCAGGCGGCAAACACGACGGCTGATATGGATCAGTTCTTGCAATTTGTCTGCTGCAGGTATATTCTGATGCTTGCAAACCTCTTGATCCGGGGTACTTTCCGTGTAGAGACGAACAAGGATGACCTCGAAGCGTCTCCACATCCGAAGACCAGGTTCGCGCAGAGACTGCGCGAAATACGCAGCCAGTAGTCAACATGACCACAATGTTCCTCATGGCTTGGTCGACACGCCTAAAATACGCGCTGGTCGGGCTGGCGGAATGTCAGGAGGCGGTCGTGGAGGGAACTGCTTCGCCCAACGAGCTGGACGCAGAGCGATACATGGGCACTGATGCAGGCACTCTTGTCGTGCGTTGTACTTCTTATCTCCTTCATCACAACTTCCCTAAAGTCTGCTATAGGCCATTGCAGACCGCTCTACCCTAAAACTCTCATTTTTGAGACCTCCTCTCCGCCAATTCATACACGCCACCCGCTACCCTCGCCCAACCCATCAAGAACACGTCCATCATGCTCTCTTCCCTCGTCGTAGTAAGCGAGTGGCTGCACTACTCCTCGCCGCTACGAGTTTCCTCCGGTGCGACGAATGAGTACTGGTGATTCACCGGAAACACCGCGCTACAAGGGAAGCGGACAGGACGCGCGACTGGCGGGGTGGTATCGTGATTGTACCTGGATGCGGTGAACAGGAGCGGCGAGGAGGGAAACGGCCTGGGCCCAGACGATGCGGTGAGTAGTTCGCTCACTACCTTCCTCGCGCGGAGCCGAGCAGTGGATGGATCGGACGACGGGCACTTGCTGAGACACCAAAGGCATATGAAGAATCGTTCCCTCAAGCTCTGTATAGACACGTCCGCGCAGGTCAACTCGAAGACGCAATTGACCTGTGCAGGAAAACGAACCAGCCATGGTGCGCTGCGAGTCTCCGGGGTGCGTCTCCCTTCCAGTGGCGAACAACTTGTGAGTCGCTATCCCCGTCCAATCACTATGACATGCCATTCAAATGCATGGTCCATTGTATCTTCAGCTAATGAGCCCCGCGATGATAACGCGATGGACGAAGGGGACACGGAGGACTCACAACAATGGTCTGGGAATGTCCGCAGGCAGATGTGGAAAACCATCTGCCAGCGAACTGCACTCAACGTACGTTAGTTTCCTCGGACGCGCCAACATCATGACTGACTACTTGTATCTATCCAGACTACACTGTCCCCAACAGAGCGCGCGCTATATGCTGCCCTCGCACCCACACCCTCCACCGCTGCCGTGCTAAAGGCTGTGTGCCGCACCTGGGAAGAACACCTGTGGGTTGTGGTGAGCATCGCGTGCGAGGAGCGTCCAAGCCTCGGGCTCGCCCGTATCGCGCGGGAATGTTTCCGGGAGAGCGGCTTAGGCACTCTGGAAGGCAGCGCGGCAAGTGAAGCAGGCATGGTTCCCGACGAGGGGGTGGAGGAGGAGTGGGAAGAGGACGTGAAGCAGATGCTGGAAGCATTGGAGGCGGTGCAGGTCGCGGAAGGTGCCCCGGCGGACCACCCGTACCACATCTCGCAGCTGCATATCATTCTGGACAAGACTGATGAGCTGTTGGAGTCGTTTGCGAATGGGCTGCAGGAGGGTATATATGTCTCGGCGCCCGAGTGAGTTTCGCTTGGTCTGACGTTCTGCACTTAGCTGACGGGCTACGGCATAGGTACCCGGCGCTGACGCGTTTCTTCGCGCACCTCTGCCTCTTCCTGCAGCTGATCGACATGCCCGTCTCCCCACTCGCGACCCAGGTAATCCTCGAAGCATATCTGCGAGTGCTCGAAAGCGCGGGCCAGCGGGAGCTGTTCGCGATGTACACCGGGGCGCTCGGGGACAACGCGGTGGAGCGCTACGCGCTCTTCCTCACGTCGCTCGAGCTGTCTGGGGGTATGCATGAGCGAAGGCTCGCGCTCACCCGTGCACGGGAGCATGGGCTTGGAATTGAAAGAGAGGCGATTGTCATGGCGGAGAGGACGATCGAGAAGACATTCACGGTGAGTCGGCCTGTGTTGGTGGACATGCGGAGAAGGAGCTGATGCTGCTGAGGAGATCTTGCCCCCTGTGAAGGGTCCGCTGCCGTCAATTATTGGGCTGGAGCCTGCTGCGACGGACGCGGAGATCTTGCTCCTGCGGTCGATTGAGTGGACAACGTTCCTGGAGTCGACATACGACACTGCGCTAGAGCAGGCCAATGTTATTCTCCGCTACTTCCTGGGTACGTTCACGCTTCTCTCTACCCATACATGCTCAACTCTCTCCTCAGGACGAGGACGCATCCAACTATCGAAGATGCTCCTCGACATGCTCCCACCGGAGCTCGGGAGTCTGCCTGAACCCGAGGACCAGGCGACGGAGTTCATGCACTACCGCCAGATCTTCAACGTATGGGGACTCCTCGCGCGCGTCGTGGAGACACAGGCGCTGGAGCAACCACAGATGAATAAGGAGACAAGGTTGGCATGGCTGGACGATTACAAGGTGTGTCCTCTCCCACCCGTGCATCGCGAGGGGCGCCGCCAACGCAGACGTTCCGCGTGTGGGTAGACGTTGGTCGAGCAGGCGAGGGAGCAGGTGATCAAGCTGCTAACGACAGACTGGCTCATGTCGGACGCGGAGGTGCACAATGGTGCGTTGTTCGCTTGCGTGCTGCCCCCGCCGACGCTGATAAGTATACGGATGGGTCTCTAGGGGATCGGAGACGCCGCGACCTGAGTCGCATACGACAGATCTACATCCCCGAGCTCATCATCCGCCTACACTCCATCCTTGTTGATTCCCGGGGTCGCATCCCCGAGTGCGTCGCTTGCCCCTCTACGTCTTCGCCCTATGCAACTGACACAGCATATGTGGGTCTATAGGAACATGAAGCACGCGCTTTCGCTGGTCAATATCGTTGCAGACTCGCGATACAGGCTGTACGAGGACTTCTCGAAGCAGGACGGTCGTCGGCTCGGGGATTCCCTCGGCGCAGTCCGTCAGGCTGTCCTGGCAGGATTGGAAGGTGGTGGTTCGGACCGGTCCCGGATACTTACGGTGTACTACCCTTCGTCGACTGAGAAGGTCACCTTGCGTTCAACCTCTATTGGTGACGGCTTCTCTGCAAGATGGACTCAGGTATGCATGGTCCGCGCACTCGGAGTTGGTAGCATGCTCGCCTTGTTGAACACATAGACTATCACTATCGGCCCTGGTGAAAAGAATCATGCGAGACGCAGTTGGCACAGGCCTTCCAGATGGCTCAATGCCTTAATACGTCGTCACGGCCTGCCAGGACATCGTCTACCCCTGCCATGACGACATATCGGGTCACACTGTGGTAGCGAAGCTAACGCCAGGTCTGACTTCCCTCCATCCCAAGCTGGTTATACTACATTGAGAGACTGCAGGGGTCGAGACAGGCATTGCCTTCTTGATACCGGCCGAGTACTGATGCCGCCTGTCTTGGCCGTGTAGCGAAATCGCTACATTGTACTATCTGATTCTCGTCTCACACTCATTCTGTTCACTGTTCGCCCATAATAACAGATGGATGGGCGAATCCATATTGCCCATACCAAAGGCCGGATACCCATGACGGTGTCTGTGAAGGCTGAATCCGGTTGAGGAGGACCGTGAAGTCAGTGAGCTTCGCCCTCCGAGTTATCTTCGTTATACTGCAACACTCATGGGTGTCACCGGTACCGGAATTGACAGAGCGGCGTTGTTGATTTTTGACGCACCTGTGGGCTCCGGGGAGACTGTTTACGAGGTTTGAAGCTAAACGAACGAGCGAGAGGTGCTACAATTCGGACCAGTGGGCGGACGGTCACCGAATGAAGCGCACAGGCGCCGAGAAAACGGACGGATGGAAGAGGATGGGGAAAGGAGCGGCATTTTTGTACGGTATGCAAGGTAGTTTATATTGGCAATATACGACATATGGAAGTATCTGATGAAGTATGGGATGATGGGGCGCAAATGGCCGATGTGGATAACTCGGACAAAGTGAGCGCTAGTCACATCAGGTGAGTGAGGCGGTTGTAAACCACAGTTAGAACGCGAGGAACACAGCCGAGGTATGCAGTTAGAGGTTGCAAGAAAAGCACAAGCATACAATACACGGTCGACACTGGGATACAGTTGAAACGCAGAGACAAGGTAGAGTCTAGAATGTCGGGTCGGAACATCAGAGATGCGGTCGCTGTGTGCGGTCGTGTAACACTACACAAAGTCGTCCCTTGAGCTCCCAGCCTTCTCGAGTTTGAACGAGCTTCGGACCATGAGTCTCAGTGAGGGTAAGTGAGTGCAAGTTCAAGTAAACTCACTCAACTTGTTACGTATCAGCACATGCTAGCGCAAGCTAGGCCGGACTCAAGTTACCTGGCATGTCATTACGTACCATTGTTCCACAAGCATGCTGGATCTTAGACACTCTGAGTCACATCACGATGCTGATGCACCATGGTAAGGTATCCCTTGCACCAGATTGCCATCTTATGCACCAAGGGATCAAGCCAGGCTGCCGATGCAAGTAGTGCATGGGATCCATGGTCATGATTTAGGATTTAATAACTGACATTTTGTCTATTCCATTAGAAATGTGCGAGAGAATACGAATGCTGAGGAAAGACACATGAGAAGGTGAGTAGCACGCCTGCCAGTGGATAAGCCAGCACTTGCAGGGGGGACAGATCATTGTCAGGGTTGTCTAGGTCGAAGTAGTGGCACCATCGCAGCAAGACTGGAGATTCTGGTAATGCATCAGTGGCAGTATCCGCTTAAATCTTACTGAGGTACTCGGGTTTTGGCAAGAGGCGGGTTGAAGCTAGATGTAAACCAATGCGCGCTACCAAGCAGCTGAGTCTATAAAGCATCAGCCTTAGGATTCCGAGACAAGTTGTCACTACTCTCAATGTATGCTCCGGAATCCTAAACCCAAGCGTGTACCAAATATCCCCAATGCAGTCAAGAAATAGGCGTTCGGTGCACCTGCGCGGTGTGCTGGTGTAAGAGGGGACGGTCAGGGAAGGTCTGCCCCCGCCCATGCGACCTGGCAGAGTCTTGAGCGCTTGAGCAGCGACGGAGAGCCTAGTAAAGGGTATGTACATATGAGCCAGGTATAGCAACCCATGGAATGCCCAGTCCCGTGTCTGAGGCCTGAGGCCTGAGGCTTGGTTTGAGGAAGGGCAAGTCAGAAGAGTGGCCAGTAGTTCGCGCACGCTCATATAGTAAGACCACCATGTCTCGCCATCTGATCTGTGTATATCATGTGACTCAGACGACCCTCTCACCAATACAGTGGTTGCTCTACGCAGCATTCGCATTCACGCCCTCCACGCGAACGCCGTCTGCCGCATCTATAGACACTGCTGCTACATCGTGGTCTGCATCAGTTGCGAAGAACGCCTCAGCCTTGGGCCCCGCTCAACCGTGGCACCGCGCAAGACTGCTATTGGTGCAGCGGTTTCGGCGCACTCCGAGTAGAAACAGCACCACAGAAGCACGCAGGGTTTCCCGGAACGAGGCAGGAAAAGAGCGAAAGGGGAACGTGAATCAGATGGCGCAGGAGACCTTGGGCGGTGTGCAAGCTGCGAAGGCGTCTCGGCGAATCACCAACACCACATTTCGCGGTTGCATATCATCCTGAACAAGATAGACGAGCTTTTCTAGTCGGTCGAGCCCGTGAAGAAGTAACACAGCTGGCGGGGCGTGCTAGATACCTCGCGCTCAGGCTGCAGCGCTTCTTCGCGCACCACTGTCTCTTCCCGCAGCTCATCGACATGCCCGTCTCTCCCCTCACAACCCAGACCATCCTCGCAGCGTACCTCCGCGTGCTCGAGAGCGCGGGCTGGCGGAAGCTCATTGGGAGGTACGCCGAGGCACAAGGAGATGATGCACGACGCGCTGCTCCTCATGTCGCTCGAGCTGTCTGCGGACATGCATGAGCGAAAGCTCGCACTTTCGGGACTACAGAATCGATGGTGAAAGAGTGGCGATCTTCACGGCGGAAAGGAAGATTTGTAAGATAGTCAAGGTGAGTCGGCCAGTTTTAGTCGTTGCTGGCTAGCTCCTTCGTGGGTTCGCAGCCCGGACTGTATAGAGATGTCTCAAGTCATAATGGCCTCCGACTGGGAAGCTATCTCTGGACCTTCGGTCAGGCAGTCCTGGCGGGATTAAAGGGCGTCGTTCAGACCCGTTTCAGGGACTCGCGATGTAGCATTCCTACTGTCTTCTCGCCTAAGAGACTTCTACTGCTCGCTATGGCAATGGTTTGGAGGACATGCGTATGTATCTACGGCGTCGTCGCAGCATCCTCTCGTCAGCCTTCGCGAGGCCTAGGCAGCCCCTGTGACATTGCAGCCTATGCACGCAGAACTGTTCGTCACCGCCTCAACACCAGGCACTGAACGGTTACTTACCTGGCAGTCCGGTCTCGCTGACGACATTCACGCACTTATAGGTGGGCGTGGTGCCATTCACCACGGTGATATTCACGTCCTTGAAGCGCATGTTAGGGCACGGGGCAGCAGGGCTACATTCAATGTCCACGACTGCTCATAAGCAGAGTACGGCTCAGCTTCGGTGAGCCGGCTGAATGGGTGGCATGTGTACTCACGAAGGCTGCCTTGCGATGTCCCGGTCCACTCGAGGAAGGTCAGGTTGCTGAATTGCAACTTGGATGGTGCGTCACTCCTACATAGAGTGTACGCTTCATACTGAGATCCTAGTGTAGAGTCAAGGGAAGACATACGAATGTCCGCCGTTTGTCTGATAAAGATGAATGGGTCGCGAGACCCGGTCAAGCAATACGTTCTTCGTGACCACATTCGACACAAAACCTAGAATATGGAAGGAGCTCTATCAGTGATTCTCAGCGTAGAGCACTGTAAGATGAGTACCGCCGCCGCCACCTCCTCCAGTCGGAGGAGACCCGTGTACTGTTCCCGTCCACGACTTCAAGTATACTCCAGAGACCAAGTTAGGCTGGACTTGTGGGTCTAGGCGAAGCAGCTGTCCGTACGATAGGTGAGCGCCAACGACATCCTGCCGATGCATGCAGAAGAAAGTCAACCTTGAGATCCTCCAATAGGACGTGATCGACGATGTCGTTCTAATGCCGAGGTGACCGAGAAGGTGAGAAGGTGGGACCCACTACGATCTGTAACACTCACAAATTGCACGTATTGGCCCAGGGATCCGAATGCGATGCCGTTCCCTCCGCGACAGGTGATGTCTTTGGCAACGATGTTTGTTGAGTTCTCGATAACTTGTCAATCAGACTTGAATCAGCAGCAAGAAGGTCTCCTGAGCTCACCCCTTTGATTGCTAGACAGTCATCTCCGCAAGTAATCTGCATGATACATGGAATGAGCGGCCGGAAAGCAAGAGAGCAATCCGCGCTTACATCCCAGTGGAGCAGTGTAATCTTGTCCGAACGGTACGTATTGATGCCTTTGATCGCATTTGAGACGGGGTGTCAAGGAATAACACCAGTTGATACTGACCATCTGTATTCGGCACTATACTGTGTGATTTGCATGCGTTAGAAGAGGAAGAGGAAGCATAGTTCAGATTTTGACTCACTTTTGTCCCGCAAATGCAGCGTCCTGATTGGTTGCGTTGCAGTACATTCCGTCGTAGATGACTTCACGCGAATCCGCGACGGCGTTGCACCAAAAGGGTTGAGCCTCGATCCGGAAGTCCTTGACGACACCACGAGTTACTTTGCTAAGTGTGAAGGCAACCGGACGCCCATCGCCGTCCTTGCGCGTGCGAGTCGCAAAGTACGACCACCAGGGCTGTCCGTTTCCGTTGATACCGCCTTTCGAGTGCGCGTCGATCACGAAGTCGTGCCCCGTGATGACGAACCAAGATGCCTGGTTCTGGATGAAGATGACGCGGTACGTGTTGTTCGCGTTCAGCCAGTACTCAATATCCGGTTGAAACTACACAAATGTCAGGGAGCGTTCTTGACAAAAGTGAGGTTGGACACTCACGCTCAAGTAGCCGTGCAAATCGACCCGTGAGTAAGCCAAATCCCACGTCATTTTCCTGGCACGTATTCTCAAACTCGTTCCGCGCTGCAGGGAACGGAATACCCACCTGGTGATATTGTATTCGCCGGGTTCAAAGATGGTCGTCCCAAAGTGACCACATCTTGCGATAGCGGCTTCTACCTGAGCATCCAGAAACAGAGTCAGCAAGGAATGCGCTCTACAACATGCTAAATGTCCATACCTGATCGGTGTCGTCCCTTCCAGCGCCCAATGGTCGGAGAGTGCAGATCTTGGGAAATGCAGCACTCGCATGGGCTGTTGCAACTACCGCCGCTGCCAAGAATGCAGCTACAGCATGGAAGCGAAGCATTGCACGCATCGTGTCAGCTCCTCAAGACGAGGACGAACAATGCTGCTGGCATCACATCCTGGTAGTCTACTTAAATTGCCCGGTGGAGGTCACGAGCCGCGCCGCGAGCGGCCCGGACGAAGGGACTGAGGTCAGAAGTATGTATGTTGCTGGCATCGAGGTGCATCCAGTGACCTCTCCGTCCATTGTGGAATGATGATGGCGAAAGACTTGTACAGTGTCATGAGTCCCCCCTGAATATATCATATCAGTACCTTGCGACGCGGTCCCGTGTCTGCCACGCCTCGGCTGTAGCGCGGGCGGCGCGCTCCGTGCTACTCACCTCCCGTACCTGATCTGAGCAATGATGCGCCATCACTACTTAGTTTATTACTCTTTCTACCCTAGTCGTACTACTTATCCTTCCCTCCGAGTAGACCAGAGCCCCGGCCAACGTTCGCATTGATCACGCTCCACAAGCCCTTGCAAAGGCGACCGTGGAGAGTCACATGAGTCCGGCGATAGAAAGGGGGCAAGCCAATGAGACAGCCATTCGAACAGACACTCCGAGGCTTTGAAGAAGCCAGCCGCGGACAGTCGCATGGTGAAGGAAAGGGACGGCCGGATGCAAAGGCCGTGGGAGAGCTCACATGATATGTGTAGCTGGAGGGAGTTAATGACCTGCGAAGACCCACTGAAACTATACCTGATGGTAGCGAGAACGACTCGAGTCTTGTATGGACACCGGATCAAGTTTCCGGCATTCAATGGAGACCGACTTGTAACCTGTCTTTCCGCTTGGACGAACCTCTCCCACCAGTGATGCAACTTATACATTCTCGGGTCAGCGAGCGTGTCATTGATGCACACAGATCGACACGACCAACTGCCAGTGCACATTTAGCATCACAATAGGAGCCGGAATAAAAGGCTCACATATAGGACACTGTGAAGGTGTAGTGGACCGACAGAGGACGAACGATGCATCTGCGCGGAGCATACTTCAGCCTAGACGACGAGTCCTGGATTCTCACATATACAACCACGTGCAGGAAGTACTTAATCATCCTCGTCCACCTCATCCTCATCCTCTTCGTCGTCCTCATCGTCGCTCTCCCCCATTCGCTCATTGCTCTCACCATCTCCGCTGTCCTCGTCCGACGACTCAACGTGCTCGTACTCAACCCTCCCGACCACCAGCTTCTTCAGGCGAGCCAGGTACTTGCCCTGCAGCGTATCGTACTCGTCCTCGGTCCAGTGATGCAAGCACAGCTGCAAGAGACGAAGACGCGCCCCGCGCGCCATGCGTGCCTCAAGGCTGCGGAGGAGGACGTCGAAGAACTCTTCGGATGCATAGAACCCGTCCCCGTCCACTCCGTCGGAGATGGTGACGGCTGCCAGCCCCGGACAAAGCATCTCGGCTTCCTCGTCCGTGGGGGTAAGAATCTTCCATGCCCGACCAACGTCGCCCGTGCCAGTGAGAGACAGGGATGCTAGCCGGGGAAACGTCCGAATGGCGACCTCGAGATCTCCGCGGTCTAGCGCAGTGAAATCCACGTGCAGTTGTATGTTGCTCAGGTTGTTCGCTGGGACGAGGCGAACGAGGTCGCGGAGCCCGGTCTTCGTAGCTCCCTGCCAGCCCGGTTCGTCGCGAGGAATGTGTTCGTTTGCTTCGCTCCTGTCAAAGGATAGTTGCAGGATATTGCGGCTGCTGAACCTCGTCCTCCCGAACAGGGAGTAGATATCGCGGTATGCAATGTACTCGACGGTGTCAATGGTGGCGAGAGAGCGGATGCGGGATGCAGAGGAGGGTGGGAGGAGCGCTGAGAACGTTTCAGGGAGGAGACTAAGTCCATTTTCAACGACTCCCTCGAAAATAGACGCGATACGGAGTACGGTGACAGCAGGAAGACCGAGATGGGAAAGGACCTGGGTGTAGGTGCGGAACGTATGCGGGGAGGTCACTACGAGCGTGTGGAGGCGAGGAAGTGTGATAACAGGTCTACGGAGCCCTTCACCTGGCCGAGGAATATCCGTCACATCGGCGAGGACGCGATCAAGTCTGAGACGTTCCAAGCTGCTGCAAGCGGCCAATATGTCCAAAAGGGTGTTGAACGGAATGCGCCACGATGCCTCGGAGAGCTCTAAGATCCGTAACCTGGAAAAGAGGTCGACGCTAGTCGGTGGACCGAGCAAGGACAAGCGGAGCACGTCAAGTCGTGGAGCGTTGTCTGCACTCAGCGCGAGGTCTGGAGTGGTGTTAATGTCCAAAAATGCGGAAAACGACGTGAGATGAGGATACGCATCCAAAGTCGTGAGGTTCGGTAAGGTCGTCGACAACAACTTGCGAAAGAACGTGGTCCATACGGGGTGCGCACCGAATGTGATTGTTTGGAGGGAAGTCGCGTACTGACGATGGAATAGTATGTTCAACTCAAAAAGCGGGAAGTCCGGGCAGTGGAAGTGGAGCTTGACCAGGCCAGCGCTCGGTTGGGTCGCCGCTCGGGGCAGACATAGTTTGAGCCAGTCAGGTCGACGGTAGACATGAATGTCGCACCAAAGCTTCGGAGTCCCGCAGATGAGATCGCGCCAATAGCGACAGGTGGAGGTGACCCATATCCAATAGACTTGAGGTTTTGGCCCGTCGTCGAAAAAATCCAGGTAGTGCTGATAAGGAATCAAAGAAGAGTAGACGTGGTCGAATATATCTACCAGCAGTTCATTAGGGAGTCGGTTGATTGCGGCAGCATCGTTATGACCGATTGTTCCGATTGAATGGGGATCCTGAAAATGACGCAAGGACGAAGCCATATGTAGAGGGTGTAGCAGAACAGAGAAAAGCACAGCAGCTGAGCGCAAGTCACTGGCGCTTATATTGCCAATCGCGGTCAAGCGCCGACCCCGAGCCTTTCTATAAAGGCCGTAGTAGGACAGCTTACCGATCCCACCGTTTGACTGCGCCCGACTCGCTATTGGGGGTCACCACTCTCTGGAAGTACTATTCTGCCTACTCTTCGTCCGCCTATGTCACGTCTTCCGGCAGAAGACATTCACCACATGAGCCGTGCAAGCCACTGCGTCTAGAAGTCAGCGAACTGTAGTCGGGCTACATTGATCCCCAGTCAGTGCTGTCTCTGTTTTTTGCTGGCCTATTGTCATCAGGCTCGTTTATGCAGTATTTGCTGGGACTTGCGTCTCTCCTCTAAGCTTGGCCCTGTCGTCATTATCCTGAACTCGCTCTTATCATCATCACTTGGATCGTCTTCCTCGCTGAAAGTCGTCTCCATAGGCATGTAGTCCCCGCCGTTGACGACATCTTGCAATTGCTCGACATACAGCTTGCAAACCTTCTCGTCCGCTTCAAAGGCAAATGGAGCAATTTGAGCCATCATAGAGCGGTCAGCACCACGATTGGGGTAAATTTGCCAGAGCCTGGGCCACGAAACAGAGGCTTGGAGTGGAGGTGAGATCGCCCCACTTCTTCCCAAGCGTCTGCGCGAGAGGGCCTTGCACCCGCCGCACCGCCCGAACGTTAGTTACTCATTGGCTGGTACCTGAGATCATTCCCCCTCCACGAAGGTAGCCAGCTCTCCGCATACCGACCTTCGCTCGAGATCCAGGCGATTATGACTTGAGCGACGTGAAAATAGCCCAGGTAATCCCCCCTTGGGCTCTCACAAATACACCCTATTCACGAAGAACACTTTCGAGACACTTGGGACTCCCTGCTCGGCGATACGCTCAGTCGGGTTCCAAGGCATCAGACGACCTGATTGGGCTTGCAAACTGTTGACCTGAGCGTGTTTCAAACAGGGCCTATCATGCTCAAAAGCGCTGTCATGGCGGCAGAAGCCCCCATGAATTTTTGCATTGAGGCTGGTTGTACTGGGCAGAGTCGGCGAGCGCAAGTGCGGGGAGACGAAATCCCTCTGGTCAGGTCTCGCTTATATACCTCACTTCTCGGTCGGCGACCTTTGGTCCCCAGGCGGTCAAAACGATATGCCGACCGGAGGAAACCTTGCTGTACGTACATGCCCTGCAACCGGGCTGGACGGTGCAAGCCATGAGAAGCTGGACACTTGAAGCCATCCAGCGCATGAAGGCCGCAGGAGAATGCAAGTCCAGCCCTTTGCACTCGATCTCCTACTTGTCGCATGTGCTGCTGCGAAGCCATCTGACCGGTCCCCGGATGTATATCATTGTCCACGCTGTCACGGATTGGAGCACATGCAAAGACAGAATCGAGAAGCGTGTAGACGCGATCAGGGCGCGCCTTGCGGCAAGCTCAACGTTTTTCCGAGCATGTTCTTGAGCAAACGCTTAGGTGATCCATCCGACAGGCGTGGATCTTCCTGTACATGTACATCACCGCGGGCTGTCTCTCTGGCGACTATTCCAGCCAACCAGCCTAGGTCGGAGAGGAGACCGATGTCGCCCAGCGCAACGACAACCCGCACATACTGTCACTGTAGGAGCGCACGGGATGTAGGCAGGTTCAAGATTCCAGACCTGAATAGACGCGATACTATGCTTCTGAATGATACCTGCGGTCAGAAGACGGGCTGGGTGCAATGCCGCAGTTTCCGGGGGAAGCAACCCACCTTCACCCACGGCTTGCCGTACTCGGTTCTGATTATCGTCAATCTTCAATCCCGCGTCGTCAACTGACTGACGCAGCTGGGTGGGACTGATCGCGGAGGCGCTGCATTGCCGTACACGTGGGCTAAGGAAGTTGCTAGGAAGTTGACGCATTTGAATTGCTGTTAACTTTCGTAACATTCCCACCTAGGAGCTGCGAGAAGCTTGACAGTAGTGGGAGCGGGGAAGGGAGAAACACGACACACGGTACCGCACGCAGCTTGGGTGGTTCACTCAAACTGCATCCATGTTTGACACCTACGGAATGCACTCCGCCAGCTACTTATCACGAGTGAGTTTGGGACTTACACCTCCCTAATGCAGGCGGAGGGGTGGCATCACGACAAGTATACATAGCTCCATGATCTCAGCCAAGCTAACCCCGATCATCGTCGGCAATCCAGCACTTGCCCGCACAGAGCCGCGGCGCCATAACACGATTGCTTTCATTCTTGTGTAGGTTTTACTCGAGCAACATTGACGCACGGTGTCTTAAAGAACGTAAAGTACATTAAACTATGTGCGATCATTCTAAGAGAATGTGCAAAGCAGAAGACGTCGGGAGCCTAATCACAGCAAATGTCAAACGTATAACAAAGCGACAAAGAACGAGCGAAAGGTGTGCGACGAGGTGCACGCGGAACCACCGCATGATACACTGAATTATCCTACATCAATATCCTGCCTAGTATATCCTCCACCTGCGACGCGTATCTAGGTATCCCATGGCGATGCCGTTTTACTCCGCACGCGAGGTCCCACTCTCAATATCAGTCATTGTGCGATCCTTCGAATCGTACACCTCAAGGGACTGGCGATCGTGCGTGCGCGACACCGAGACGTTGATCGCCACGGGACGGAGGTTGTAATCCGTACCGCCGATCGTCTGGCCTTGGAACTCAGACCCTCCCTTGGCCGACACCTCGTTCATCGTGTAACCCAACCCAACACGGATGATGATGAGAGTGAATACAACGCCCTTTGCCACCGTCAATGAGTGGGGTAATCGCGACCGGGTGCAGAACAGGACTCACTATGAGGGGCTGAAGAATGTCAAGGCACACGTATTGGGCGTTCGAACCGGCGAGGTACGTGCCGAGCAATGAAGCTAGGGCGGCTGAGTAGATGGCGGCCGACTGAACGAGGGTCTCGACTACCTCCCAATGGCCGCTGCCAGCACGGTAGCTCTTCACACGGCGGTTCATCCATACAATGCGCGCGGCAATGAGAACTAGGGTGAACAGTTGTCAGCGCCTTGAAAAATAGATTGACAGCGCGCTCAAGAAGAATCACGAGCGGGGAAAAGAACGCGGCAGGAGATCCGCTGCCAGGCAATGCAGGGCAAGGGGACTCACTTGTAGTGAGGAGATTCGTCGTCAGCGACAGCGAGAAGAAAGCACGTATCCACGGTTGGAGATTGGCCGCAAAGATTGCGCCAACCCCCTTGACCATGCCAATCTCTGCACACGCGCCATATCCAGCGACTATAATGACGAAGGCGTCAGTTTGGAGGTTTTCCAAGGGCTAGCTATGATACTTACCTGCAGTGGCGATCAGCAAAATGACCGGAAGGACGATGATGTACCAGGCGTGATTCCAGACTACGAAGAGACGATACGTTACGAAGCTATCGGCAACGATAGTCATAGTGATGTAGATTACATCCTTCGCGACGAGTGTAGGGTTATTGAGGGTCGAGTAGAAGAGCAGTGCACCATCCGGCTTGCCACCTTCCACCACGAACGCTTGTAATGCTCGTTGCACATCTATACACAGATGCTTTCACGAGATCAGACTGGTCTTCGACACAATATTGGGGAAACCAAAACGTACTGCCACCGATAGCACCCACATCACCGTCGAGGTAGCGAAGAGCAACTTGTTCAGAGTAGACTTGCTACGCCTCTTCTCCCTGTAGAGGAGAATCCAAATCGCAATAGCATACAGGACAGTGAAGGCGCCGAAAACCAGCGACTCCGTAAACAGCGCGATGAGCTATAAAAGTGAGTTTCAGCGCCAGCCTGGGTAGTACGATTCATAGGCCAAGTCGAAATGGGGCACAACGCACCGAGGCTCGTGCAATCGGGAATGTCGCTTCGTCAGACATCTCTGCAGGGCTAGAACAGGCTTGAGACTGGCAGAGATGGAGGGAAGGGGGTTTTGGGAACTTTGCAGTTGCAGAGTCGGGTCTCGCAGGGTCTTTATGAGGCCCGGATGCGCGCGAAGCACCTAAGCGCAAGAAGCGCAGAGGGCTGGACAGAGAGCCCTCGATAGACGACTTTCATGCCGTTATTGGTGGGGTGGGTCAGTGGCAACCGCTGCGACCGTGGGTCGCAATCAGGGTCCTCTCGGCTACTCAAAAACTGTGAGAAACGGGGGACTTGCGGCATAGCCCTTGCTGGCGCTTGCTGCCCATGTTCTGCTGATGTTGACATGCGATCTTCCTGCTCGGGCGCTGCTTACGCTCAGACACGGGCTCGACCGGCAGCTTCCAAATTTTCCATCTCACAACGCGAGGCTTCTTTTATGCCATGTGGGCGGCGCAGGTATAAGGGGATCAAGGCAAGCTGAATAATTCCGGCGACACCGATATACTTGAGCAACTTACTGAGTTTCGTGTTCGGTCGACTCCAGGGGACCGATGAGGAACACCTCCGAATTTCGTAACATGGAAACCGGCAAATTCGACAGGTCCACGTCGTCTGCGACATTGTGTGGGGATGGAGTGGGGATGCAATAGACCAACCGCGAGCCCCCCTATGACTAATATTAGCAAGGAGAGGCGTGAACGTAGTGCGCTGGTAAGTCTCCATCCAGTGTGGGCCGACGGAAGGGCCCAAACGGTTTTGCCGACAGGCCGGCGGATTAGACGCCCAAAGTGGAAACCAAATGCGCAATCGATGTGCAGGAACGCTACGTTCTGCTCACTTAACAGTACTCATGCTCCCTCGGGCGTAATCTCGTACGCGAGCTGCGGAAACAATCCTTCGTCCTTTGGCCTGAATAGCCTATGACGGGGGCAGATGGCAAGCTATGATGCTCATTTTGCTAGCTGTAATGCTTCAGATGCCAAAATACGAGCGCCAGGTGAGTGTAGCATCTCTTTAAGCCTCCGCTGAGTAATCCTGTGAACCTTGAAAGGAAGGATGGGATAATACCGAGGTCAAATGGCTCCGATCAGAGGTACGTAACAGGCAATCACCGAGGAATGCAACTTATAATACAGTCCCAACATCTGGCGCTCCGCCAATCAATCTCCTTCTGATGCAGTTTGGTTGGCGTAGTGGCGTTTGCATACCAGCATCCTCTGCAGATCACCGCGCCCACCACCTATGTCTGTCTCCCTGGCCAACCGCTTAGGGAAAGACTGAGAGCGACGCAGGAAGGTGCGTATTGCGCACATGAGCCCGTGGGCTTGCTCATGACACGAACCAAAGCAACAGCGTTGTCCCGACCGACAAGCCCTCTCGACAAGAAACACGCTCAGGTCGGTTAATGAGCCGATAAAGATGCGGGACCGATACGTCACTCATGATGCATGATGCTCGAGTACATAGTGGACGACGCGTTCTGTGGGGCCCGAAACGTCAGAGTAAGTACCTATCACTAGGCTCGCGTATGAACCGGTTCCTAACCGACCTGAGCTATTTTGAAAGGGCCTACTGCGGCTGTCGTCCCTGTTTACCACATCACACTATGCCAGATTGACTCCCGGCATCAGGGACGCTTGAATATCGCGGGTGGCCTTGATCGTTACTGCAATACTCGCGGGGATAGACGCTAACAAGTACTTGTGACCTCTAGTTTAGGGACGACGGTGTAGTAGCTGCCGAGGACCCGCACTGCGCAATGTCAACGATACAAGTGCGACTCAGGCAAATGATGCGTGGCATAAACGGAGTTGCTCGCCGCGCAAGTCGCTCGATCGGGCACTTTGGACTTCCAACTCGTATTGCATGCCTCCCTTTACTTCAGTTGAGTCTGGAAGTAGATGTAAGCGCCTGCTCCGACTAGGATATCAATCCTCTACCACGTTAACCAGCCTTTGAGCGAAACGAGTCGACATGCTTGACAACTTCACACCGCACTGAGTAGCTTTGTGTTCAATGCCGTCAACGCGATATGACATTCAAATTCGCCACCGTGCCGATGTGGCGAGCGGTGCCGCGACATGAAGCGAAGGTACTTCCCAGACCCTGAAGGCAAAACGGGTTTGAAGACGTCGGCAGCGTGACACCGAGCTTTTCGGCCCAGGATCGTCGGGTGCACGAGGCTCGGAACTCGGAAGCAGAAGTTCCCGGACGGCCACCCTCAGAGTCGTGGTCTCGCCCTGAATACACATCGATATTTACGTGTTTGAAGTACGGCGAAGCTGAGCATCTGGAGACCCCAGTTTGCTATGAAGGCAGCTCATCGCCTGTGCTACATAGATCAAGCACTCCACCTTTACCATCTCCGAGTCTCGCCATCCTTCGCCAACACACTACGTCAACGCCCTTGTATATATGTGATATACTCTCTAAAAGATGCTCACCGACGAGTATTGCTCATGGCTCTGAACACAGGTGCCATCGGCAGAGCGTCGGTGTCGATCAAACCGAGCTGCAGTTGCGCACGATTGAATTGCCGAAGAAACCGTTGGAGCTCAGGTGCATGAGGTATTGTGGAGCTGTCAATTGTGACTGAGCGGGACATGAGAAATCGCTACGCCCCTACTGGGTTGGTCTTATGCGTACTCGGGAGCCATTCAATACCTCGCGCGGTTAGTGTCCACACCAACGTAGTTTATGGTCAGGCGAAAAGTCAGTTTGAGATGCCCCTTCGCTACATGCTGGCGAAGGAAGTAATTCCCAGGAATCTGACCAACGCTGGTATCCATGGTTTTATTGAAAGGTCGAGTGAGTTATGCTATTAGCGAAGAATCATATGAGGTTCGCTTATTGATCGGATTCGCCGAAGATGAGTACTCTTCAGTCCAGCTTGTCGTATTAATCACCCATCACTCAAGGTTGTAAGGGTAGTGGTGGTCGTACATGTACATGATAATATATGAAGCTATGTAAGATGCTGACATGAGCATCTGTCTCCCATGGAGCTGAACTCGACCTATAACTCTAGGGCACCTACACCCCTCTCATCGACAACTTGATTGACTACCTTGACCGCATTCGCACGTCGCGCATGTTTGAGTAGGTATATCATCGATGAAGGCGTCATGCCCTCCATCCTCTTCGCCGCGCCCTGTCCAAAAGTCAGCTCTATTTCTACCACACGAGAAGATGAGCATAGATGACTCACAATGCTCGTAGGCCGCGCCTTCGTCAGCCGCTCCCTAACTTCGGAGCTCAAGCCCTCAACGGTTGAGTAATCGAGATGCGGGTCGAGCACGAGCGACTCGTCCTCCATGAATAGTCGCAGGTCCGCCTCTTGTCGGCGCAGATGAGGGTTGTAAATCGCGTCGGTCTCGACACGACCGAGAATGTGTGGGTGTATGGATGCAAGCTCGGGGAGGACAGGTGTGAGCGCGTCTATGGGCACGTTTCTGTGGCTAAGGAGCTCGAACGCGCTGAACGGGGTGACCGTGAGTACATGGCTAAGCGATAGAGCCGAACGTGGACACACCTCTTCAGATTACCGTCACTTTTCCTGTCGAAACCGTGAGCCTGCCACCTCTGCAGCAGACTTTAGGGGCATAGAAACCTGAGAGGGCACTTGGCACGTACCTGCGGACTCAGTACGCAAGACTGGAGGAGCTCCGTGACGCGCCTAAGCTCCGCGCGGGTAGACTCGAACCGTGCCCACCGCGCATCGCCCACCGCCCCCGCCGCGCGACCCTTCTCCGTCAATCGCAAATCCGCATTGTCGCTTCGCAGCGTCATGCGGTACTCAGAGCGTGACGTGAACATTCGATCTGCCACACCAACGGGTGAATAAGACCATGCGTGACACAATGATTTTGAGGAAAAGAGATGTACATGGCTCTTCGGCGCCCTTAACGATGAGGTCGTCGATCATGACGCCGATGTAGCCGTCGGCGCGTGTGATGACGAGTGGAGGCCGACGGAGGGCCGACAAGCCTGCGTTGATGCCTGCGACGACGCCTTGGCCAGCGGCCTCTTCATACCCAGTGGTCCCATTGATCTGGCCTGCAAGTAACAGACCCTTCAAGAATATATCAATGAATGCATTCCCAAAGACAATATCGGACAGAAACCTTGATCCGTTTCGTCTCCAGCGTGGGCCCGAGCTCGCGCGCGTCAATGTGATCATACTCAACTCCGTACGCCGGCCGGACCAGCTTCGCGTTCTCGAGACCCGGGACGGAGTGGTATATCTGCTCCTGCACGTCTTCCGGCATGCTGCACGAGAGGCCGTTCGGGTATACGAGGTTAGAATCGTACCCCTCGGGCTCGAGCCATACGTTGTGGGAGGCCTTGTGCGGAAAGCGCGTCACTTTCGCTTCGAGCGATGGGCAGTACCGCGGGCCTTTCTTGGTTTCTTGGATGTGCACGCAGCGATGGATGTTGTCGCGGATGATCTGGTGCGTGGTCTGGGTCGTCGCCGTCATCCAGCATCGGATTTGGTTGTCCTGCGAGATTGGGAAAGCCATCAGCGAACAGGCGGGAGACACTGTGGAGAAGCGTACTGCATTGGCGACACGATCGTTCATGAAGCTGAAAGGGAGAGGAGTGTTGTCTCCTTCCTGAATCTCAAGCCTCGAGAAATCGATGGAGTCCTTCGCCAGCCTGGCAGGGGTACCTGTCTGCAGTCGGCCGAGCTTGAAACCCGCGGCGCTAAGTGACGCAGATAGGCCGACCGACGGAGCTTCGTTCATGCGTCCGGCGGGGAATCGCTTCATACCAATATGGATCTCCCCCGAAAGGAAAGTCCCCGTGCAGATGACCACCTGGGAGCAAGCGATCACCTCCCCGGAGTCCAGCTTAACGCCACGGACCTCTGCGCCTGGGAGGTCTGTAGACCCGAGTGGATGGCCGAGGACGAGGTCAAACACGCTGCCGGCGTGGATGGAGAGGTTAGGGTAGCTGCGCAGGGCCGCCTGCATGTGCGTCTTGTAGAGCTTACGGTCGACCTGGGCTCGAGGGCTCTGCAGAGACATTAGCTTGGGGAACGGCCATCGGTGCCGGAGGGCGACTGACCCAAACGGCGGCCCCTTTGGACCGGTTGAGTATCTGGAACTGGATGCCCGCCTCGTCTAGCGCATATGGTCAGAAAACAGGCCAATCCTATGTGCTTCGATTTCATACCTGTTACCTTCGCGCAGAGTCCGTCGAGCGCGTCGACCTCGCGCATAAGGGTGCCCTTCCCGACACCACCCATCGAGGGATTGCATGACAGCTCTCCAATCGTGTCGAGGTTCTGCGTCAGCAGCAGCGTCCGGGCGCCTGTGCGCGCTGCACCCGCGGCGGCCTCACAGCCTGCATGACCACCGCCTATTACACATACTAGAGTGTAAGGATCCCAAGTGTGAGTTTTCATGGCGCGTGCTGAGAACGGAAGCACAGACGCACCGTCATATTGTTGCGCTGGTGTCGCCGCACTCAGTGAGGCATATCCTCGGAATCCCGCAAAATGTCTATGCGAGAGTGCTCTGCTGATGCACCTGTGCATACAGGCCTAACGGTGATCCTTGTCTGGTCGCCGGTAGCGGTATACGGAATAACTGGCAAGTTTCGTAACACAGCTGCTGCCAGCGAGAGCAAGCGCCCATTTCTGCTGCCCTTACATAAGCAAATTTTGCACTTTGTATCGTCCTCCGATTTCTGATCCGTTCCGCACACTCAGCTTGACTTGACTTTTGGGCTTGCCGCACACGACGCTGGGCCGTCAGGCCGTTCTCAATACTCGCTTTTCTGGGTCTCTGTCTTTCTCATCACCATGGGCGCCTACTACGACGAGGTCGAGATCGAGGACATGGTCTGGGACGAGGAGAAGCGGGTGTACCACTACCCGTGCCCGTGCGGGGACCGGTTCGAGATCTCGCGCAAGCAGCTGAAGAACTACGAGGACGTCGCGACGTGCCCGAGCTGCAGTCTGGTTATACGGGTGATATATGATCCTGTGAGTGCCTTGCGGTGCTACCTATGCCCGTTTTGCGAGTGACTGACTGTTGCGAATGACGGCCAGCTGGACTTCGAGGACGACCCCTCAGACGACGAAGACGAGGGCGCGTCTGCAGAAGAGGAGGAAGATGATGAGGACGAGGATGAGGATAGCGAGGAGGAGACTTTTGAGGATGCGATGGAGCACTTGACCATCGCTGACGAGAAGCCGCAGGCGATCGCCGTCGCTGCGTGAAAATGGTGAGCCTACACTTCGATGGTGGTCCCCAATCCCCGACTGACTCGTGCCTCTGCGACACTTTTTCGCTATAGACACTTCTCGCGTGCACACTTTACGGTCTATAACCTTCCGACACTTCAGGACGGTATCTATTCCCCGCGAATGTATCGATTAGCTTGTGAGTCTAGACATGGATCCGATTATTTATCGCGCACATCTTCTGATGCGACCTCTGTCATGAGTATCTAGTGCATACACTGTATCACCATAATGACATTGCCACAATATGTTGGTTTCCTTAAATGAACTCTCGCTTCCCTAGTTTGAGTCGCAAGGAGTACATGCAGAACACTTAGCGCCACATGGTCGAAGGGCCTCAATAAGGCCGTACCCGCGATAGGTGGCCCGTGTCTTCCAAAGTGTTCAACCTTGTTCGCCATCCTCTAAGACTTAGAAATGAGCACGAGGCATCATCAAATTGAACTTTCACCAACGTGTTTACCCTTCAAGGCCTCGCGATGCAAATAGGTGCGCGTTGATTCGACTGCAGCCCATTTCTTCGCACGCTATACGACTGAACATCTGTCACCCACTAGAATAAGGTACCTGTTGTCTAAGCATCATGCCGGCTTAAGCTGTCAGGAATTATCGACGTATCTGGCGTCTTGTCAGCTCACGGGTTTCCGAAACACGATGGTATTTCCTTGGATCTACTCATGTGAGTGGGCCGGAAAAGACCACGCCCATCAACCTGATCAAATACATTTCATCGACTAAGAGTCGCGCCGGCCACCTGCAAACTGACGGTTGATGCATCATCTGTGCCTCCGCCACTGTCACGGTCCACCCCGAAGTGCAGTCCCGCTTGTAGACCATGAGAGCGACTGAGTGCGTCTGCCATGTCATCCGTCACGATGCAGGATTCTCTTACGCCTAGCGGACATCATAGCCGGGGCTTCTTGCCACTCCCAAGACAAGTGACACGACATTGGGTGTAATGTTGTGGTCAGAGTTCTCACCTGGAATACGACCTGCGACATGTGTTCAGCGGCGCAATACGAACCTCGATGGTCCGTTGATGCACAAAACACTGAGCGTGGTGGACCGTAACCGTCAAATTCGTGGCTGGATATTCGTGGTCCAGGTACCTCTTGTTCTACAGGAACCTTCTTTGAACTCCATCAGGCTCCATACCCAGAAAGAGCCAGTGGTATGGCTTCTGCTCTTCGAATCCCACAGATCACTTGGTTGTACATGGGAAGAGTCTTCAAGTGGTTCACGTCCCACCTGCCGTAACCCTGTCAACTCTGTCGCAGCTGCGATGCGTCCTTCAGAGTTTCGGGGCCACTCAACTTTCATCCTGGCCCGTGGGGTCTTCCCCACAATCCCTCTGCTGCGATTGAGCCGTCGCGTACGGGTTTGCCAGGGCGTTGATCACTTTCACCGCCTCGACGTCGAATGCGCGCGCTCCCATTGCTCGAAACGGCCGGCCCACGTGACTCACGCACGTCAGCACACAACATGCTCGCGCAATCGCGTCTCCGCCATTCGCGCCGGACGCTCACAAGCATCTGTCGACATGCTGCACATTCCCCACAGGCCTCTCCTCTGCTCCCTCATATACCCCACCCCGACTTGAATTTCCTACCACTTTTTTGTTCCTTTGCGAGGGAGCTTGCCTCTAGCACCACCGACGTGCCCCACCGAAAGTCATGGAGACCCTCCCGCTCGAGCTCCACGCTTTGATCGTCGAGTATGCGTGTACGGACGACGGCGCGACCGCCCGGTCGCTCGCGCTCGTCTCGCGGTACGTCCACGACGTCGCTACCCCCTTCCTCTTCCAGTCCCTCGCCGTCTCCGGTCTGCACCAAATGACCGAGCTCGTCGTGCGTCTCGAGGCGCTTCCTCCACGCGCACGGCGTATACGGCATCTTTTCCTCTCAGACTGGACACACAAGGACGTGATCAAAATGCAGAAGCAGTGCGCGCCGACGTCCTTCCTAGAGATGGAGCGATACGACGCCGAGCGTGCGTTTGCCGGCCGCATACTGCAGCACGCCGCCCCGACGCTCGAGACCCTCGCGCTCGTCGTCGCGTGCCCGTACACCGCGCCCCCGCTCGTCGGCCAGCTCTTCGCGCTCCCGCTTCCCCGCCTGCAGGGGCTCGCGATCGACGGCTTCTATCCCTTCCCCCACACACGCAGCGTCCTGCCCAGGCTGGAGAGGTTGCACCTGTCGGGAAACCGCAACCCGTATGGGCTGCTGCAGCTGGGCGCGCTGGAGGCGGCGTGTCCGGAGCTCAGCTATTTGCGTATATCTGGTCTGGACGCGGCGCCGGCGTTCGCGCGCGAGCTGCACAGCGCGCTGTTCCCTCAGCCGCTCAGCGGAGGGATTGAGTTGTCGTCCTCGTTCTCGTTCCCGAGCGCGCTCCCCGTACGCCTGTGCGAGCTCCGCGTCGAGGTGCGCCGGCCGCGCGAGTGCCCTGTGCGGCAGAGCCACCCCACTGGGCGGCAGCGCGCGCACTCGCAGCGCGCCCCGCAGAAGAGCGGGCACGAGAAGATGATGGAGACGCTGCGGGAGGTGGTGCGCAGGAGGGCGGAGACGCGCTTGGGGAACGTCGAGGTCGTCGAGGGGGACCGGGAGGACACGTTTGGAGAGATGCGGCGCGAGTGGCTGAGAGGGGGTTGATGAGGACTGAGGGCTCGGAGGCGCGATGGAGGTGATGCGTCCCGTGCTGGTGCTATAGAGGCTTGTGGCCTTCCCTCAATTATTTGCATTGCGCGGCACCGCTCGTTGACTGTATACTGTGTTCGCAAACGCCTGTAGCACTACACACGAACATATATGTACAATCATGCTTACCCATGCTTACCCATGACCGGTCGACCCTTGCCTTCACTGACACGCAGCGTATTTGAGCCACGAATTACCGGCATCGCGGCCACTCTAATTGTCGTATCATTTAAGAGTTGTGGACAAACTTGAGCTAGTGGGGTCATGCCTCCAGCGACCGACTGAGGCGGAGGATGCGGGGTAGCAACCCATCGAATAACTATGTCAGCTTGTAATGAAGCGCGTAGCGTTCTCTGATGATCGTGCTCTACATTGTGTAGCCCGTTTTAGCCAGGTCTAATCTACAAATCCCCATAATACGTGTCGTCCAGTAACGCGCTGTTGCGTGCGACACCACGAAGCGTAGGTGTGCAGTAGCGACCATCAGCATCCTTGAGAGACAGCGTACAGACGACGTCTTTGTCACGCAGAACGACCTCCTCCAGCACATGCTCGCCGATTGCAGTGGCCAGCGCCTCGCAGAGTGCGACAAGCCCCAGTCTGAGGTGGACCACGTCGTCAGGGACACGGTGCCAGTGCAGCAGCGCTTCTTCCCTCCATCTACTCAGCATGAGGGACGAGAGCCTGGGAAACGCACGTAGCACCGTGCGCCAAGCATCGGTTCGCAGCGATCCGACGTCGCCCCCGAGCTCGAGGGTGTGGACCGGGGCCGCACCGAACAGCTCCGCCACTTCGCGTACTAGCGTCGGGAGGCCGAAGCGCCCGTGCTGGACCCAGTATTCGAGCCTACCAGAGAACGAGAGCAGCAGCTTGAAGTTGGCCGGGGGAGGCACGCCGCCTGATAACCCCGGGGAGCCGACGCGCCCGGCCCACGTCGGAGCCCATCTGGGTGGAGTGACCACGAGGAGGCGGACGCATTGTACGGAGCGCAGGGCAGGGAGGGAGCATGACGCGGGGATCAGAGAACGGAAGGTGAACGGGGTTTCTTCTCCAGCAGGCTCTGGGTCCGTCTTGTAAGCGTCGAGCTTGGCGTGCACGTCTTCGCTGAGACTGACGTGTGGAAGGATCCAGTCCAAGAGGAGCCTGTGGTCGTCCGTGGTAATTGTGAAGGCACGCAACGAGCATGGGAGGAGCACGAGATCTTCAGACGCACGCTCTTCGACCACGTCCTCAGGAGCACAGGCTTCGTCCCACACCGGAGAGTTGATTTGGAGAGTTTCCAGCGACTCGAACGCAGTCAGCATTGTCAGAAAGGAGAGGAGGCTGTCAGGATGGTCCGCGTAGCACCAGGTCAGATCTAGGTGGCGCAGCCTCATGGATTCGAGCCCGATGAACGTCACCGTGTTCAACACTACACCCGTCAGGCGCAATGTGTGTAATCTCGGGAGGAGTCGTTGATCCAGTCGGATTGGGGGGGCAAAGGTGATTTTGGGTGGCTCCCATGGGCTCTCGCTTGCATCCAGGATGAACTGCAGGTCTAGCTCCTCCACGGCTGGCATGCCACCTTCCTCCGACAGAAGTTGTCGCACAAATGCACATTGAGACTGATCGAAGCTGCGAACGCAATGAAGCATGAGCTTCCTGATAGTAGAGCGCAACCGTGAGAGCAGGGGCGCGATGACGAGCATGGTTCCGCCCGAGCGGATGGTGAGATGCAGAGTGGCACCGCGAGAACGAGCTACCGAGAGGACTAGTAGGCGCGGCTCATGGGAGATGTCGACATTACGCCATAACGAGGGCATCGTGATGATCGCTCTTCGCCAAGTCTTGCACACCAGCATAAGCGACCGCCAGAACCTCTTGTACCAGGAGGGACCCGTGGAGCCGTCGTCATATATTTGGAGCATGATCGCCATGAAGAGCTCTTCGGGGAGTCTGGAGATCGGTGATGCGACGAGAGAGTCGCTGGACGGGCCCACCTGGTCTTCAGGGGCTTCTAGCATAAAAGATGCGGCAAGTGCGGCCTCCCATTCTTCCCAACTGTCCTGACGCCCGTGAGTGGATTGTCGTAGTAATCTCCATAAGTCATATACGCTTTCCCACTGTAGATGTTCGGCAGATGGAGAGTGAATGGAATGCATCGCCGGCATCTACTTGCGACATGCCTAGAAACAAGGTGGCATCTGGATTAGCTCGGGTTTTGGACCACGTCTGGAGCTCACATGAGGAGAAGTGAACGTTAGTCGAGGCTTTAGGGCACACATCGCCGCAGGGAACCTCCGTCTACGCATGCAAGGATACATTAGCGGCATAGCGACAATGGATGGTAACAAGGGGCATGCGCGCGGCCGAATCTGTACGTGACTTCTCAACCGCCACCACGACCCGCACCTCAATGGACTGTCCATGGGATATTACTCCGGTCGATGTGTAACTATCGGGACGGAGTTTGACCTAGCGTCGCAGCTGGGCTTGTCTCCTTGACTGTATGTCAAGTCCCTTCGGAGCGATTTTGGCCACCCGTTTCGCATGTCCACAGCGTGCCATACCAGTTTGGACAGAAGATGTCAAGATCTTTGGAAGCTGCAGTCGCGGGAACTGCTAGAAGTGCACGGTAGATTGCACTATAGCAGAAGAACGTGATCCTTGAATGGACAGGGTCCAAGGAGTAGGCAATCAATACATTATGTGGAGACTGAGCAGAGCTGCATAACAAAAGGCATTTGGACGGTCGCACGCACCCTATTTTCCTGCGTAGCTTGCGCCTAGGTCACTGTACAATATTTCGAAGTGATAGCATCGATGTCGCTCGGAAGGGGCCTCCGAGACTCCGAAACACCGGAGACCCCGAACACTGCCGAATGTGGGATGGCGTTTTGCACTCCGGCAGCGCCTCAAGGTGTTCCACAACATCCTTGAGGGTATTCACTTGCGGTTTTACCTGCTTCAAATGCCACTGATCGGCTTTGTGGCGATACATGTCAATAAATCCGAGGTTGGACGTCATTTGGCACCTCATGTTTAGAGATTGGCCTGGTAACAATTTACTGCCGCCTGTCAAATTTCCCTTGCTGATACTAGTACAAGGTATGTCACCCATTACATATTGCGCACTATTCGAGGACGTTAATTATACGCAATATATGCACTTGCCACATCCTTTAAGCATCGTTCATCCGCGTTTTGCCGTCTTCGGGGCACCTAGACATACTCCGGCATCCCGCCGGTTGTACTTCTAAATACTGCACTCCCCGTATATTTGAGCTTCCTCAACGCTGGTTCGCCAAAGCAAAGTCGCTGTAGCACATACCTCGTCTTCCGTTCGCATGGTGCGGAACGTCCGCGCATCGGAGCGTACAAAGAGTCGCCAATACCTTCTTTTGTTCTTGGTAAACACGTGTTGTATCGCTCACGCTCTTCTCACAGCTTTCTGCCCTCAGAAGCATAGTGTTCCTGTCTGTGACGCTCCTACAGAACTTGTTGCCGTCCCATCGGCGGTAAGTATGACAGTCCAGATCGACATGAACGAGCCATGCACAGCTGAGTTCCCATTCTCAGAACGCCGCCTGCAATGCATAGAATGCATCATAGTGCCCCTTGATATCCTTGACCTTCTAGTTCATATGACCTCACTAGTTGCCGAGATCATGAAGCAGAGAAGCGTGATGCGCTCAGGATGGACATGCCTGGATGCCTGCTACCGTGCACCCGACTGGTGGCATATCGCCCAGGCCTTCAGCAGCGCTTGCGAAGGCGCACGCAAATTGCTCGTCGCTCCGGTCCCTTCGCATCCTGAGCGTCACCTGTCTCAACTGACGCTCTTCGCAGGGAGGGCTGTTCGTAAAGCGTCTTGCAAGAGCAATTGGCCTTGTCTTGACACTGGAAGAAAATCATAGGCGCCTGTTCTCGATGTAGGACATCCTCTTACCAAGGTGACTTACACGCTGGTTGTACTATTTAGACTACCGAGGGAACGGAGACACTCAGTGTAGTCAAGTGAGTCAGATGATCCAGCTCTCGAACCTCAATCTATGCTAACCATGACAAGTTCAGAAGGCAATGGCTTCGCCATTGTCTCCGACCCTTGTTCATGCCGTGGATATTTAACCGTTGAGTGGTATGGCAAGGCATTACTTTGACCTACAATAATCTCGGCCTTACGTTGAAAGCTTTTGGATAGGTCATCTTCAATTAACCCCAGGGTCGTACATACCTGTGTCGACTGTCGCTTACAGCCTGTTCGGCTCAGGAGGTCTTGACTCACGTCTTACAGCTCTCGGTCTCACTCGGATTTAGTGCCAGGGTTTCATCATACGGTGTGGGCGCGAGCCCTCAAAATCCGCCGTGCCCTAAAGAACGGCATATCACGAGTCGGCGCCCGACACCCAGAGAATTACATCGGTAAGTTCGAACTGCAAGCATTGTTGCCTTCACTGCCTTTGCCCGTGGACAGGGGCCTCTGATTGACATGCGGAAATGGGTATAAATACAGGTCTAAACTCGCTGAACACTGTAGGAGCCCTCTCTCCTCTCCCCTCAAGCCTGATCACAGATTCTCAGTCGGTTCGCTATCTATCGACAGGTGTATGCCTCAACTCCACAGCTGACATAGCTTCAGATAGTCATGAAGCTCACTCTTGCCAGATTCCTTGCCATTTGTGCCGTCGCGGGCTTCGCCCATGGCCAAACTCTTGACTTCTTCACGGTGAAAAGCTGCTCTGGCGCTGCATCTGAAGAGTTCAGGGATGTGGGCTGCAACGTCTGCGTTGACCCCCCTGGCGCCACGTTGATTCTATTAGCTGTATTCCAGAGCCAGAGCTGATGCCCACGACACAACCAATGCCTCATGACGTTAGACTGGGAAGCCGTATCCATCACAGACATTGGTTCTAACCAGCGCTGGGAGTCCCACAACGAGGTGCGCCCTTTGCACTCAATCGCGAGAGCATCGTTCACAATCTCATACCATACTTGCTTCATAACGTTAGAACGGCTGTACCGCGGCTTCCCTGGTCGGGCAAGGCTTTGGCCCTGCATGCGATATCGCGGGTCACACTGCAATCCGCTCGTTCTTTGTGGCTTGCTGAAATTCAAGTCGCATCGGTCTGAAGCTGCGGGGTTGTGCATGACATGCTGATGCTAGGGCGGGTAGGGTAGATGCTAGCTGATGTAGACGATAGTTTGATACAAGACTGTACAAAGTCATGTTATCAGTGCTTGGCAGCTTCTGCCACCCTGGAGACCTCCAAGCAATTGCCGGTGTACCGTCAGAAGTCGGGAATGTGTACCTAGATCCCCGGGGCCATAGTTGGAGTCGAGACTTCGGGATGCGTTTTCCCCAAAGTTGTCGTTTTAACACTGTCTTTCGGACCGGGGATGGTTCGCAACACTGCCGCTGTGCTAAGTACTGCTCCTAGTGAATATGTAGGAAGTAGTTCGTTGGTCTGCTAGATCGGGCCCAGCCATTGCAGCGGTCTTCTGTGCTGCACGGATGATGATGGGGCGCTCGCCATGCAGTTTCGGCAATTGGTTACCATCATTCGTAAATACACATCGACCATGACACATCGAGAGGGCAATTCACGACATTCTCATTGTATGGCATCATGTATCGACGTCTCTCTTCCTTCAGATACCGCCCATAGGAGAGTACTCGGTCCTCCTACGCTTGTCATGTTGCGTAAGACACCTCTCTTCCGGTCATGGGACTCCGGGAAAAGGACAGCCTCTCGCATGTTTAGGAACAAGCGAGAGCCCAAGATGGAAGCGAACATGAAAGAGCAGCTGATTGAGGGTATCAATCAGCAGTAATCACATCCTTGTGGCGTACTGCGACATACGAGAGAGCTGCATCCATGTATGGGCTGCGTTTGATCCATAGGATGGCGTTCACGACAAGACCAGCGAAGACCCTGCCCGAGTGTGAGTGGGAGCACATATACACTCAGCGTGAAAACGTACGCTAAGAAGTAGATAGCGCTACGAGAATGACTTATGAGAAATATATACTCCTCACAGGACTTGGGAGAGCTAAGAAGCCTACCTGTCTTGCGCTAGTATTTTGACGAGATCCGGAATACTATCTGCATCCGGCGCAAGCCCACCTGTACGCGTCTTGCCTTTGAGTCTACGAGCGAGGTCTCTCCCCCGTGCTATCCAGAGAACAAGAAGGCAGATGATAGGTTCAAAGATGAGAGCGGGGACCCAGAAAAATGTTGCAATGGGTGGAATCAATGTGTAGCAGATTTTTTGCAAGCCGATTTCCACAATAGCAGGTTCTGATGTGACAGTCAACAATGTCGAACTCTGAAGGTCTGCATGGGACGTCGCCTTACCGGATAACCATATTAGTGTTAGTCCTAACAAGCTGGCCATGGTCCCTATTTCAATGACGCATATGGCCGAGAGGACTATCAAGACGCGTCTACTCTTCCCGTACAGAGCATAGACCTTTTGGGTGCAATTTGAGCATCAAAGGGTTATGTGAGGGTTACCTCGGACGCTCACACGAAGTAAGGATATGACTGTGAACAATATGAACCATCTCTGCTAAGTCACTGATCCGAGCAATCTTACTTAACTTGTACGCATACTGTCGACACGAGGGCCACTACATTATCGATGCAGAACATTGCTGTGCGGCTGTTTTGGAGAGATGGTGAGGTGCAGAATCACTTTGCGATCAGGCATGACTTACAACTAGAAGGACATCATGTGAGAAGGCATGTCCTAAGACCTCACGATATGACAACTTACATTCTCAGACAACACGGCGTTATTCAAGACTGATGGCCCCGTGTCAATGTGTCTTTCCTGATTTGCTGAGTGGATCTAGATGTACTATATCTCATACATAACTATACGAGGGCCAGGAATCGATTCTGGAATATTGCAGGTTATTCCCTGTATCAATAGCCTCCGCGTCGAAGGTACGTACGAGGATGTACACAATGACTGTCCACGACCACTTTCTTTGTCTCCACACAACGTTGAGCTAAGAACACGTCGGCACTCTTCACCAGGCGTATTTGTAGAACACAATGGACGTACCTCAGTATCCCAAAGCAAGACTAATCAGAGATGTAGTGCTTCAATGCACGACCGCCAAGACGAAAGGGGACTGCACAGTAGTCGTAAACGAGTAATGTGATAGCGCCGATCTCGGAGTAAGAGACCACGAAGAGTGGGTAAAGAGCTTCCATGGCATAGAGGGATAGTGAAGCACAAGTTCGAAGGGATCTAAGAGCTTATGAGCCGACGCGTGGTCCGAGTCCCAAGGATACGTCTGAGACGGCGATGATGCATTCAGTGATGGCTCATGTACCGCCCTTGATAACAATCGGGCTTCTTACCGAAGTAGCATCAGCACCTCCACAGTAGTACCTGCAGCGACAATTGAGCGACTTGGCTCGGAACCTGATCTGACATGTGTGCCGCCTGTCTCGGATCCCGCGGCCAACTTAGGCCACAGGGAGAATAGCAGTGGGTCCTGCAGTCAAACGTCAAAAGAATCCTCAAAATTACCTATTCGAGCTAGGAGAGACACTCAGGCGACTAGTTCCTTCGAGTACAGATGTTGGTAACGCCAGGACCTTCTTGGCGCCAATGCATTATGCGACGGGCGTGTTCAGAACATAGAACCGGGGCCCGACTCGGAGCGCTCACCTGCTGGAATCATAAGTAAGCGATAGAACCATGACGCTTCAGAGCCACGATGGCGAAGAGCACTGACCTGAGTAACCGTCTTGAAGAAGTCGCTATATATCTGACTGACACAGCTGCTTCGTGTCACAACGAAGACCCTTCGTTCTCGTTGTTTAGACTCTGAACCGGGATACATCTACTATCCATTACATTGCTACTGGCGACAGCTCAGCATCTACTTGTGATGTGCGACGCTGAAGAAACGGACTAGTGACACCTGGTCAGAGCGATGGTGATCTTTGTTAGATGTGTGGTGAACGCGGAATGCATCAATCCGCATGAGCGATAGGAAGTGATTATCCATGAAGATATACCAGCCGAACACACCAACGTATGATCAGTGTCATGCCCCACGACATCACGAATCAATCCCTACGTCTTCCCCCGTAGATACCGCCCATTCCAGAGCACTCGGTCCTCCTATGCTCATCAGATTACGCAAGACGCCTCTTTGTCGGTCACACGACTCGGGGAACAAGACAGCTGCTCGCATGCTCAAGAACAAGCGAGAGCCTAGGATAGAAGGAAGCACATACGACCAGCTGAGAAGACTATCAGAACGACGTACTTCCTGAGGCCTGAAGGGGTTTGTGAGACATACGGGAGTGCTGCCCTAATGTATGAGCTGCGATTTATCCATAGGATAGCATTGACTGCGAGCTCGATGAAGATTCTGTTGGAGTTTCAGCAGGTGAGCGAAAAGTCGAACTGTGAAGACGTACCCTAAGAAGTAGATGAGGCTGCAGAAAGTGATGTGGTAAACGAGTAGATACTATGGAAGGGACAGCGACGGAGCATACCTATCCTGCGCTAGTATTTTCACGAGATCCGGCGTGTCGGTGCAGATTCCCGGCGGTGAACTATTTTGCCCTATAGCGCACCTGAATCTGTGAGCACATTCTTCACCCCAGGCCGCCCATAGAACAAGGGCGCAGAGAACAGGTTCGAAGACGAGCGCAGGGACCCAAAAGAACACTGCGATAGGTGGGATCGCGGGGTAGCAGTTACTATCTTGAATGATGACATCAGAAAGATCTGAAAAAAGGTAAGCTGTGCGCATGACTGATTCATGTGGAATTATTGTGCCTACGGGATATCGAGAGAAGAGTCAGTCCTAAGAAAGTAGCCATGATTCCTATTTGGACGACACACAGAATCGAGAGGGCCACCAGGAGTCGTTTTCTCTTCCCGTACAGAGCGTAGACCTTCAGGGAAAGACCTCAGCACGAGTTCGTCCCCATAGCCGTACACGGCTACTCACTCGAACGAAGGAGATCGCTGAGAAAGCAAGGGCCTTAGTACGACTACTTGGGCTAATTGATGTGAGCCGGACGGACTCACACTGGGCACACAACATCGACACGAGGGCAATAACGTTTTCCATGCACAGGACCACTACGCAGCTGATTTGACGAGCCATGTAGACGTGAGGTGCGCGACTAACGAAAGGCAACCTACTACTACAAGGGGCACATGTGAGAAAATCATCCGCCACACCGGAAAACAACGACTCACATGCCGGCTGCCAATGGCACAGTCAAGGACTGGAGGAGGAACATCAACCCAAGATTTGCAGCTCAGCTCTGAGGGCACGACGGACCGTGTCTTGTACATAACCACATAAGGGGTAGATAGCGATTCTGCATATTCACTGGTAAACTGTGGCACCTAGCTGTTTGCCGTCGAGAAATACGCACGAAGATGTACAGAGAAAACGTCCAAGACCATTTTCGTCTCTTCCAGACGACCTTGCGCTACTCATCATTTCAATGCTACATTGATGTGTATACTTACATAGAGCAAGAGCGGAACACCAACCTCGGTATCCCAGAGTAAAACTGGCGGCGTACGTCATAAGCTATGAGACATCATGAGATGAGATGATAGGGGACTTCACTGTAGTCATAAAGGAACACAGTAAACGCGCTGAAATCCGAGCGTTTGGATGTCATCGTGAGTGCAATAACGCTAATGGAGTTCATGACTATGATGGGGGCAACAGGACACGCACTCGATAGGATCCGAGACCTTATAACCTAGCACCTTAGAAGGCTAGCGCTCTCATCAGGGCGTCACGTCATGGCGGTGAAAACCTACCTCCTGAAGCCCGGGCTTATTATTGTCGGTGAGTACGCGGTTGATGTACTTTCCAAACCGGAGCTGAAAACTCACGCACCCGTTACTTCCAGTGTTTCAGCCGGAAAGGAACTCACCTGCCTCGGACAGTAGTATGGCACCCACGTCGCTGGCCACCGCATTGGCAGGCCTTCTAACAAGCGCCTTCGCTACACTAGACCCGTAAAGCTCCGGTCGGACAAGTGTAGCCTTATGGCGGGGGTAGTCTAAAACGCACTGCGTAATGTTAGCAACAGTATTACATAGATCGGTCCTTCAAGAGGCCGCTCCAGCTGGAACGCCTCGGCCCGTACGGAACATAGCCACACATGACAGGTACCAATAGCGGACCGTTGACTGAATCCTCGGCAAGTACGCCACTGCTTACGACTGCTCAATCACGATCGGGCAATGATCAGATGTGCAGCTCGAACCCTGACTGATAATCTAGCCACCGCCCTCCTGCAAAAGCGGAAGAGCATAGTATCGACTCTGCGATGGATGCGGGCTGAGGTCATCGGGACACGGAGGGGTTCATGCAAGGTGCCGCTTTCGTAAACAGGCTTTGCATCCTGGCGAAGTCGATTCAGTTACGCATACTCAGTTGAGACGGGCACAGCAAACTTGGATTCCGAATGACTCACCATTCGAACATCAGTCCGTTTCTAGGGCCAAAGGAGCAGGTGTGGAAGGGCCGTATTGCGGTAATGTCGTTGCTACATGGTGTACGATGAATCGAAGACAGAGACAAACCGGTCAATCCTCCTCTAACGCATGTTGGGCGTCAAGCCCCTTCGCATCTCGCCGTAGCTCCTCGTCCTCCAGTGCCATCGTATCTTCAGGCTCCTCCTCATCCCCTAACTCCTCGTCATCCATCTCCTCGTCGACATCCTCTACCGCCTCCTCCTCCTGATCTTGATCCGGATCCTGCATTTCCTGGTCCTCATCGACGTCTTCTGCGACCTCTGACGACGGATCGGCAGCTGTGTGCGCGGCAGACGCGGAGGAGGAAGGGCGGATATGGATCGGGGGAATAGGTTGCTGGGGCTCGGACGCGGCCGCTGCCTTGCCCTTGCCTCTAGGTTTTGATGCGGCGGACGCGGACTCGGACGTGTCCTTTGCTTTTGCCTTGGCGCCGCCTTTTCGCTTGTCTGCCCTTTGTGTCTCACGGTACGCTGTGCGTGGAGTGCTCAGAAGTTAGGAGTAGCGGATATGAGGGTACAAGGGGATAAGTTGCGCGCGTACTGGGCAGCTCTGCTTGGACGACCTTAGCGATGTCGGGGAACTCGACGAGTTCGAGCGCTTTGACGACATCGGTGGCGGAGATGCTCTTGTGCTGTTTTGAGCTCGCGACTTCGTGTGCTCTGCATCAGGAGGAAACTAGGTCAACGATGAGACCACCCTGACGGGAATCTGTTCGCGCTCACGTCGCAGCTGAGAGGCAGTGGAACGTGTGAGCGAACTCCGAGCGATCCGGAAAGGTGAGAACGGCGTACCAAGGTAGTTCACCCACACGGTGGAACACTTCAGAATGGACAGCATTGAATCTTTGGAGAACTTCGTGGTTTCCGGTACCTGATGCGCTGCTAAGCACTGAAGCAGCTATATCGAGCAAATGGACGCGTCGAACGCGTCGAAGACGAGGCGTACCTGCGACGCGCGCGCGAGCTTCATGATGAGACTCCGGGGCAGCTCGAAGTTGTCTATGCCTTCCGAGACGGCATCCTGTTGGGCTTGGGCTGTTGACGCTCCCGCTGTTGACTCCTTTGCTCTAGGCATGACGAAGGAGAGATGTTACAGCTATCCGAGGGCGCGCACGTCGAGGTGGCAGGAGGTGGCAGGAGGTGGCAGGTGGTGGCAGGTGGTGGTAGGTCGAGAGAGACGCGTTCGCGTGCGTTCTCAGCCACATCGAGCGCTGGCAGATATACTACTTCTTGACACCGTCCTCCACGACCTTCTCGTTGTTCAACGACTTCCTGGGCCTGCATCATAGGTGCACTCTACCATACCGCTCTTTGCTGCCCGACAGACTACTGGACGTGGAGATCCGGCGAGGGTGCGGTGCATATATACGGCGGTCCTAGGTGCGTTGTCTGCAACTCTAGCGTAAGTCCTGCCTCTTGACGTAGCTTTGCTGATAGGTCTCATGCTTGCATAATTTATTGTTACACAAGCAATTTCCGCCATTTAGACGCATGGCTTCCAAGGGAATCTCAATCTTGCTCTGGGTGTTCTTCGTTCACCTGGCCGGAATCTACCTTTACACTCGTGGCTTCCTCCTCACTCGGCTATCTCTCTCGGATACCACCACTTGCCCTGATGGAAGCTGCACCATAACTCCTTTACACAAAAGAGCCGTTGTGCTCGTTATTGATGCGCTCCGGTTCGACTTCCTCAGTCCTCACCCTCCTGAACCGGCCTCACCCTACCACCATAATGTCCTCGTTCTCCCTCAGGAACTTACAGCAACGCAACCTACTCGCTCGCTTCTCTTTGAGATGTTCTCAGACCCGCCGACCACCACTCTACAGCGGCTGAAGGGTATCACGACTGGCTCCTTGCCGACGTTCATTGACATGGGATCAAACTTCGGAGGGTCATCTATTACGGAGGATTCATTCATTGGCCAGCTGAGACTAGCGGGGAAGAAAGTGAGTTCTAGATGTCCTTTTGTCACCCTGGCAGGGACAATCTAGGACGAGAGGCTGTCCGCTTGCAGGGCATCGTGCAGCGGGATGGTGCGCGACTCGTTGCAAGCCCGTATGAGTGCCCGTACAAGTCCAGTGTTATGCTCCATCTCCTCACAGAGGTCGTGCAGGAAACGCGCTCTGTCCTACCACGTGGCATCCGGTCAAGTTTCATTCCAAGGACGAACCACTCCACGCTGAACCTCGCTCAATGCGAGCTATGTCCTTAACTAATCACAGGTTGCGCGAGTGGCTGCGTGCGTGTCGCGCAGCTCAGACGTGGCATGCAGGGGCTGTATCGCCCTGGCGGGCTATAGTTCCACGGTTGGCTGCGATGTTATTCGCTTCCACTGTGTGCTCGCTTTACTGGAGCCTGTCTGGACTTCCCATACTATCTCTCGTGCTTTGGGGTAGCTGATTGCGAGACTGACATGTCTAGTGACAGATCGCATTCATGGGAGATGATACGTGGACCACTGTCTTCCCCGACTCTTTCGAACCGAACATGACATCTCCCTACGACTCGTTCAACGTCGAGGACTTGCATACAGTAGATGAGGGAGTCATCGACCATCTCTTCCCCCTTCTCCAGGACAAGAGCGCCCCCTGGGACGTCATCATCGGTCACTTCCTCGGCGTGGACCACGTCGGCCACCGCGTTGGCCCCGATCACTCCACTATGAAGGCGAAGCTCACGCAGATGGATGCCGTTGTGCGCCGCGTCATCGACCTCCTCGACGACGAAACGCTCCTCATCCTCATGGGCGACCATGGCATGGACAGGAAGGGCGACCACGGCGGTGATGGCGACCATGAGACCTCCGCCGCGCTCTGGGTGTACAGCAAGGGCCCGCAACTCGTTCACCCTAAGGCGTCCATCCCCGAGTTCCTGCTAACCAGTCGCCTCTTTCCTGGGGCGACTATCAAGCACCGGCACATACAACAGATAGACCTCGCGCCAACGCTCTCCTTGGCGTTGGGCCTTCCCATCCCGTTCAACAATCTCGGCACTGTCATCCCAGAACTGTTCTGGCACGACAAATCTGGGAAGGACTACAGCCGTGCGCTCACGCTCAACGCGAAGCAGATCAACCGGTATCTCGAGACCTACCGTGCGAGTCCGTCTGGCGGAGAATTAGATAACGCATGGGGCGAGCTCGAGACCGTCTGGAGAACAGTCGATTTTGAGGCGCACACCACCGACAGTGAGGCGCAGTGGCTCGCTATGACGATGTACACACGCTTCGCTCTCGCAGCGTGCCGTCAACTCTGGGCGCAGTTCAACGTGTCGCTCATCGTCCTCGGATTGGTCGTCCTGGTCACGAGCACAGTTGCGGCGACGTTCATCTACTTCAGGGTTGGCGCGCTGAAGGACGAATGGGAGAGCTGGGCTTCAGAGGTGACGCGGTCCTATGTCTCTGGCGCGGCCGGAGGAGCGTTGCTCGGGTTCGTCGGCTACATGACCGTCTCTCGCTACGTGAAAGGAGTCGGACTTTCCGAATCGCTGCTCTTTGGCGCGTCGTTCGTGTCATCGCTGGTTGTCATCTTCTCTGCGCTGCCCTCGTTTTCCATCCCGTCCGTCCGCTCGCTCACTTCGATCCCTCTGCCCCTCATACTTCACGCTGCGGCGTTCGCGTCGAACTCCTTCACGGTCTGGGAAGACCGCGTCGTCAACTACCTCCTCATCTCCTCCGTCATCCCCTCCGTCCTCGTCGGCTTTAGCGCGCCCACCGCCCGCCTACGTTACCGCATTCTCGGTTTTTCCGCGCTCTTTGCGGTGTGCGTGCGGCTCATGGCGGTGAGTACGGTCTGCCGTGAGGAGCAGCAGCCCTTCTGCCACGTCACGTTCTTCGCGTCATCCTCCCTGCCATCTCCCCCACTGCCTGTCTTGCTGCTCTCGGTGCCTGTTGCCCTCGCGCTGCCATACACCATGAGGCGGTTTCTCAGAATCTCAAAGTCCGACAGAGGCACTGCGGCCCTCGTCTTCCCATTCATCCTCCCCACGGTGCTCCTCCTGGGGAGTGCGTTCTGGATACTCGAACATTTCGACTCGTCAGAGGTATTTGGGCCCGATTGGGCAGGCACGCTCCGCCTCGCGAGAACGTGGTGCGCGCGGCTCGCCATGGCGAGCGCCGTCTTCCTCGGCTACGCTTTGTGGTACCTCGTCCCGCTCTGCCTCGAGATCTCTTCCGAGACGAAGGCACAGACAAATTCGACCGCCCAGGGCCGGGGCACGCGCGAAGTGACGGTGCTGGGGTTCGCAAACGCCTATGGGGCGCCATACCTCGTCTTCTGGTGCCTGTTCCTGGGGTTGCTTTACCCCGCAACGCAGCTCTCTGGCCAGGCCGTCCTCTCTCTCGCCGCGATCGCAGTCCTCGCGCACCTCGAGGTCATCGATACCATCCGCGACGTCCGCGGCCTCGAGGCCGTCTTCGCGTCTAACAACCCCTCTGCGCTTCTGCAAACCGAGAACATGGCGCTCCGCGCACCGAGTGTTCCCCTACGCTTCGCGGAGATCGCCCCGCTCGCGATCCTGGCTGTGCACACGTTCTTCGCGACGGGCCACCAGGCCGCGATCCCGAGCATACAGTGGAAGACGGCGTTCGTGCTCACGCCCACGCTGACGTACCCGCTCTCGCCGCTGCTCGTCATCCTGAACACGTTCGGCCCGACGTTTCTCATTGCCCTGGCTTCACCCCTGCTTGCGCTGTGGAACGTCGCACCGTTACCCCAGCCCGAGGCGGACGTGAAGGTGCGCGGGGACGCCGTGCGCGCGTCGCTAGGCATCATGCTCTACCATGCGACGCTGCTCCTCAGCAGCGCAACATGTGCTGCATGGCTCCGGCGGCACCTGATGGTCTGGAAGATCTTCGCTCCACGGTTCATGCTCGCAGCCATCACGATGCTCGTTGTCGACCTAGCGGTCTTGTTCGGGGTGGCGGTCGGGGTGGCGCGTGTCTCGGACAGGGTGTCGCGGTTATTCGCTGCGATGACTTCAAGGGCGAAATGAGGACCACCCGTCTTGTTTCCTTGCACTCTAAGGAAACTAGCCCCAAAGGGTATGCCGCGACTTACGAGGATGAGTGTTGATTTCGAAGGTGGCCCCTAATGTCTCAGACCTTCGACCGTCGACGGCGTCCATCTTGACTAGAGGTGTTTTATCTCGATTGTTGCGATGCGATAAAAGTAATGAGAGTGGTTCATCATTGCACTAGTCCCTTGGTAGTAAGCTCCTAGGCACAATACGCTTTTGTGTTTCGCAAGCGATGCGGAGGGTGCTTGCCATCTCGAAGGTGCAGTGCGTTCCGCGATCACGCGCGTGCGCTTTAGCGTTCCGTATTGCGAGACCCGACTAGGCAAATGCGGAAACTGTAGTGTTCATCTTTCTTTGTTTCGCACCTCCTGCACCGACGTCCCCGTCTCTGCGCTTCTTGTCCGCGAATCGTGATCCTGCGAGTTTCCCCATCGAGCGCAAACTTATTGTCCCCGCTGTAAGGCCGGTGGGAACAAAAGGACAGCGACGGCGGCTCTGGGCTGCCAGCTGGTTCCGATGCCGCAGCTAGCGCGCACAAATGAACGGCTGCTGGGGCGTCTACCCCGTCCATCGTGCTTTCGCACCAGCCGCCACACCGGTCCATGAACTTGATATGCATGGCCATGTGTCACCCTGAAACCCTATAGTATACTAACCTCTGCCAATCTTTAGTAGTCCGGCTAGTTTCTCCCCAGATATCAACTCCAATTGTCTTCCCCATTCCACCTCTCTCCCTCTCCACGTCTGACCCCGAACCGGCCTCAGCCTCCCCCATCTTGCTCAAGGACTTCCGCATCAGGATCGCGCGAGTTTCGAACACAGACGCGGACACACACGCACACGCACGCAAACCGCACCGGTCTATTGTCACGGCCATGGGGAGCATCCGCATCCCGAACTTTCCGGCGTTCTGCAGCCCACACTTCGAACTACGGTGCAACGCCCACTGCCATACCGTCACGCTCTCGTCGGAGAAGTGGGCTCTCGCGAACCCCCTCTTCCTTGATGCGGACGAAGAGTCTCGCCTGACTGGAGCGCGGCTCGGCCTGCTGGCGGCGCTCTGCTTCCCGACATGCGACGCGGGGCAACTCCTGTCGATCACGAAGTTCCTGATCATCCTCGTGCATTGGACAGATAAGCCGCGGTCGCTCTACGCGGACGAGGAGATCTTCGACCCGTGAGTGTTTCTTCGTCTTTGCGTGTTCAACATCCCCATTCCCCAACCGAGCACCTACGTTGCGTGCGCTCTGGGTTTTACGTCGTAAAGCCGCGTCAAGACCCTCGGCTCCCAGAATTAAGGTTGTTCGACCGCTGATCTTGTGCTGTCCTTTAGAGTATGGACAAGAGCCTTCCGGCCGACCACTCGCCGGGACTGGCAAAAGCGCTTCCAGCGACATCTAGCCGCGTTCCGTCTCGGACAAGCGATTACAGCACGAAATGCGGCGGAAAGCGTCGTCCCGGACCTGGAATCGTACATCGCAATACGACGCGACGCATGTGGCGTGAAGATGCTTCTTGACCTTATCATCTATGCCGGAGGACTGGTCATTCCACCACAAATCTACGACCACCCTATCTTACGACGATTACGACAAGATGCCGGTAATATTATCGCTTGGGCTACGGTATGTCATGTTGCCCATTGGTTGCCCACCTGCGTATCACTGACATATGCCTGATGCAGGACATCGCGGCATACGCACGACATCCACGAACGTCAAATATCGTGACGGTAGTCATGACAGAGCGAAAATTCGCCCCGCAAGGCGCAGTCCACTTTGCGGGAAACCTCATCAAGGAGACCTTCTGCACGTTCCTCCAGAACGAATCCCAGTTACCCATGTTTGGTGATTGGGACGACGACGTGCGCGCATACGTCCGAGGTCTTCGGGACTGCGTCGTCGGTTCACTACACTGGCTATACGAGACCGATAGGTTCTTCGGAGAGGTCGGCGAAGACGTTCGGACTTCCGGTTGGGTCTTCGTCTCATGAGCTCACTCGCCGCAAGCGACCGTTGCTACGACCCCGCACGCCGAGGACACCCCGTCACGAATTCCATCACGTTCACGCCGTTATCACGAATTCACTTTCGTACATCGTACACCGGATCTTGCACATGGCACATTCGTATTCGTTCGTACCGCAATTTTCCTCTCCTGGACTGGAAGGGTTTAGATTACTACCACACACTGACTTCCCTGGCACCTTCAAGCTCCCCCGCTAACACGATATCCACTACACGTACTCAGCCTCGCATAGTCTCTCCTACCGCTCCTACCACTCTCCACCCGTACTGTCTTCATAGTAGCATTCTTGTACATCTCCCCATAGATACGCAGTTCGCCTTGCTCTACTAGTGGTATGATCGGATTCAATATGTAGTATTTCCATGGGCGCTTGTTTGCTCTCAGGCTTCCAATCGTTCCATCGATCACTGGCCACCGGTTGTGTTTCTTCGCATGGAGCGCGATGTGATTGGCATCGTTCATAATGATCCCGAAGTATCATAGAAGTGCATTTGTGCCTTTCAAGTCCCCTCTTACATGAGTAGTCGAATACTGAACGCGGCTGGGATATCCGGCCCGATGCGGCCGGACTTTGCTAATGGCTGCCAGTAGGCCAGTGGTTGCGTCCTGACAATCAATCCCACGGCGACCGTTTGATATTCTGAATCTAGGCAAGCATTACATCGGAACAACAGGTCTACCGTCTTTGAACGTCACGGCTTGCACTCCTAACCAAGCGTACGCGCGTAGACTGTCAGTAGAGGTCTTCAACTAGCTCACATACGGTCGGTTTTCTTCTCACCGGACGACGCTAAGTGCTGATGTTGTTCAGAGTCTAAAGCACGGCATCAATATACCCAACGATGTCCTCTTCAAGGTCACGCTCCTCACGTTCCCACCAACGATCAAGCTCGGACGTATCTTCCTCTCGCTCAACCAGCACTTACGGCCAGGTGATCGAGAGGCCATTTCGTCTACCTTCTGTCTCGGACCGCTCAGAAGGGCTGCAGGGCCCCTCCACCATGTCTCAGACACCTTCCCGATCTCATAGCAACTTCGAGTCCGAGTCGGGCTCACGGTCACGGTCAAGTTCGGCATCCCGACCCGCAGGACTTGGAAACACCTTCGACCCCATCCGCGACCAGGTTGCGCACACCATCGTCGTTCGCGCCACTTACAAAGCAGAAACGATAGATGGGACGAAAGTTGGCGTGATCCTGACATTGCCCCACGACGCCGGCGAGCAGTTCCTCAAGGTAGTCGCTTCGCGTCTCAAGCGCGCCATGACAATCCCTAAGGTCGAATGTTACCTCTTCATTCTCGCCCTCCCCACCCAAGGCCTCAGCCCACTCCTGATCTGCAGCTCGGACGAGCAGCTCTCCGAACGCGCGGGTCTGCTCGTGAACTCGAAGTTTCTGAACCGCATCGCCCGGCACGAGCTGCGGCACGGCCGCTGGGGCGCGCTCGTGCGCGACCTCTGCACGACAACGTACGATGAAGCCGCGCTCTGGGACGCCGTGCGCAAAGCCGCGCGCAAGCCCATTGACCCGCTTATCCCCCCACCCGGCTCCCGCAGCATCTCGCAGGTCCTCGAGCACGCGCGCGCGAGACTGCAGCGCATCACCCCGGAACAGGCGTTGCACGAACTGCAAGACAATGCGCCACTTTGGCCGGTCGTCTTGGTCGACATCCGCCCGGAGGCGCAGAGGAAGGCCTTTGGCAGTATCGCAGGAGCACTCATCGTCGAGCGCAACGTGCTCGAATGGCGTTTCGACCCGCGCTGCGCTGCTCGTTTGCCCATCGCCGATCGCTATGACCTTCGCGTCATCATTTTTTGCCAGGAGAGCTACACCTCGTCCCTTGCTGCTGCGTCGTTGCACGATCTTGGGATGTTGAATGCCACGGATATGATTGGTGGCTACGCGGCGTGGAAGGAGGCAGGTTTGCCTGATGAGGTTGAGGTCTCGTCGACGGCGCCGCCTACAGAGGGCAGAGTCTCCGTTCCCGTCGAGGAATGAACGTCCTGTCAGTAAAACAGCAGTACGGGTTGACCAGTATACTCTTTCAGACACATCGTACTTTGGCACGACGCTGCTCCGGAAGCTAGGCACTCTCAGGCCATTTCAACGTATCTGACATTGCCATCTGTCCATTCGCAATGGGAGCTTCCGTTCTTCCGTTGGCGTGCTGCTCGTTCGCTTACAGGTTGTGCTGAGATGGCGGCCATAAACAAATGTGCACAGTTGTGAGTGCGCGAACGACGAGTCTCTAGTCTCTCCTATACTCCATGCAGGAACGTCGTTCATCATGCACATTAGTTGGTGTATATAGTTGGTGTATATAAGATAGCTAGTGATATGATAGGTGTGCTACTCTTCGCGGATCAACTATCCAAGAAAATCGACGGTCGTCGAGACTTCAGCGCGCGGGCATTGCCAAGTATAAGTGTGAATAGTCTCACCTATCGGGAGTACTGGTGCTCGCCGCTCCCCTCTACGTCCTCTTTGTGGAACGAGAGCTGTGTCCCCAGGGACCCAATGAAGCCATCAACGTTTCCCGAGGCGTAGGGCTGGAAAGCAAGCTCCGGCAATTGCGACATCGACTGTACAGAGCCCGCTAATTTGCGGTTGACTTTTTGCAGGTTGATGAGGAACCTCGACGTAAGGATGGAGGTGAATCTGAGATGAATGTGTTGTCTCTTCTGACATGGCGGGAGTACCAAGGAAAGTACGTACGGTTCCTCAAACCAGATAATGACGCTTGTTGTGGCGAATTCATCGCTAGCGATCTGATCAACGTCGGAGCTTGCCGATGCTAGAGTGAATGCAACGTGAAGAACGTTCAAGACAAGCAGCGTCCTGTCATGGGAAGTGAGAAGGTGCGAGAGGAACCACAATGATTTCTCCGAGACATACAAGAAATAGATTGTCCCTACAATATGCCGCACAATACATGTGAGTACCGGGAACGACAGCTGACACATGACGCTACGCACCATCACGGAGAAGAATGTTCGCAAAGGTCCTATTGCGTAGCCCACCCGCGACCTGCCGAGCTACCTTGATCGTCTCGTAGGTTCGGTACCAAGTGACGCAGAGAACCAGAAGATCGGCTCCGACTAATGAAAATCGCGACAACAGCGCAACTAAGGGTCCCAGCGTTAGGATGGGTGGATTACCAACCCTGACAATCACGTAACGCGTGGACTTACATCTGAGAATCGACGCGTTAGATCGTGAGTCGGGTAAGCCGCGCGGCGAACCACTCACAACAGGTTCATGCTCTGCGATATCGTGCTAATGGGTACCACGCCTTGCACTGGATCATTAGCATAGTATGTGTAGTGTAAGTCGCCCTTAAGACCAACCTGTCAGAAGACCGCCAACAGCAATAGTAGATGATCTCTCGGATACGCACAAACATATCGACGACAAGGGGAACCGAGGAAAGAGCAAATATGCTTGCTGAGAGGGGCCATCTATAGCGTTCTGGGGCCATTGCATATGATCTAAGTGTCGAGAAGGCTAGACGAAAAAGCTGTTGTTCAGACTGGGTTCATGGCAGCGTACATGAGCACGTACCAGCCCAAGGTAGATATTGTAATGCTTTGGTTACATTATAGGCGGTATATGCTGCAACGGCGCTGAAGCTGAGTCAGAACGTATGTACCCTGCGGCCATTAGGGCATCTTGAATCGACTGTACCCCTACTTAAGCGTTAAGCATCGTACGAAAGACCAAGACGGGGTATGACACACCTGATATGATGAAGGATTTGGTCTCCAAAGCAAGATTTGCACTGTGAGTGTCAGGTACCGGTTGAGAAAGAAGATGACTGATGATCCGGTAATCCGGCGGGGTAGCCAGAACAATGCGACCTCGCTGTCAAATGTCATGAGGTAGTCGTAAACAAAGAGCGCTAGCGATAGCATATAAGTCTCTTGCTTGACAGCTCCTAACTGATGCATCCTTGAAGAACGGACCGAGAGCGGCAGCCTCGCAGTATCCATACAAGTATTCCGAACTGAGGACATCAGTCAGTCAACGAGGGGACATGACAAGAGCCCAGACATACCTCGCCGCGACAATGGCAGCTTGAACCTCTGAACCGTCTGACATTATAAGCAGCTTCTCTGCAAGTGCTTGAGACACAAACGAGTGGAAGGTCGTGAGGGCGATAGGGACGCTCCTACACAGCTGGCTTTTGTATACAGCCAGCTGACAGCCAGGGTCATACTAGTACTAGCGTGAACCAAGAAAATCAATGAAAAGTGTAACATAAGAGCGCGAATCATGAGGCGCTTCGCTTCGCTACGCGGGACTCCTTTCAGCCGTCGATGTCCGCATGTGCAATGGACGTATTCGTAGGCCCGGGTGCAAAATGTGGCCTCAAGGCGTTGATAGCGGAACATATCGTGATAACAGTGGGAGGCTGCGTGCGCCGGGATGCATTGCATAGGACGCGCTACCGACATCTAATTCCCTCGGGGCCTTTTTCATCAGCGTCAAGTGTCCGATGTATGTAGATCCATCTAAGCTTGAAGCCGCTGAATCCGACGAATTGTCATGTCGGCCCCTCTGCAATATAGCTGACGCGGAGGTTCGCTCCCCATTGAGCGAGACTGGATGAGTATGTGGGTATGAATTGTTTGCTGAGTTTGCTCAACATCGTAGACATTCGCCGTAAACGTACTGGGAGTCGTCCGAGTCCGCGCTGACAATCGTGGGACGGCTTGGCACCCGGCGTAGGGCAGGAGTGGCGTAGGACAGAGGACTACGCCATCGAAGAGTAAGATGCAGTGTCCTATGAAGGTCTTGGTTGGACCGACGGTTACACTGTTGGCGTCAGCGAAGTGCAGTACCAGCACCCTTCGGAGCACTTGCTTCATCATACTCCTCCACCAGCGCCAGAAAGAGAGTCCGTATGATTGACACCGATCATCATCTTATGCAGCTATAGTATGATGTGCGGCTGACGCAGGCAACTGGCAGCGGCCTTGCATCCTCCCAATTGGACAAGACAAGAGCTCTATCTTGGAAATGGTGACCTGTGAGGGTGCGCCCTGTCGTTATGACAAGTTTATCTGTCCTTTGTGCACGACAGCACAGTATAAGATGCAGGCAGGAGTGGTGAGAAGTTGCCAAGTTTCCGAGACAGTCGAGGCCCGAGGGCAAACCCGAAATTGGCGCCGTTTTGACCGAATGGGTAATCTAGACGCCCTTGAAAAGACGTCCTTGGCGAGATGAAGTTGGTGACCTGCCTGTCCCACAACAATAATCGCTGGGCAAAAAGGCCTCAAGTAGAAGTAGAAACCGTAGGTATTATTGGGACTTTGACATTCAAGCAGATCACGCATCCACTATGCTGGACAGCACTCATCTCACAGAATCAATTTTCTCAAGTTTGATTGTTTACCCAACCCAGCACCAAGAGTGCCAGCGCCGATTCTGTATCACCATCGTTCTGTCGCCGGGTGGACAGCATGTCTGAACTCTGTTACTTACCTGTCAACGCCTTGCCGTGGAGGAAGTTTCACCTCTCTTTTCCAATTGGCACGACTCTTTTCGTTCATCCGGTCTGATCGCAGCGAAGTTGATCGCAAGCTGGCCTTGATATCTTACTGCGCCGGATGTGGGCAGGAGCACACATCACTTCCCTTCAGCTCGGCAAATCAAGCCCGTACGACCGAGGTGGGCCTAGTGGCCGATTCTCGATTCCGCATCATCAGCTTTCCCTTGAGGCCGAGGGCTTGGCCATCTTCCTCCTGGAGTACAGCATAGCGCACCTGGAGTATAAATTTACTCTTTCGTTCAACAGCTTCTCCAGCGACCTGGCGTCCGCCTCACATTCTCTGCCGTTCCTAGTTTTCGTTCTCTTCTACTTGCGTAGATCGCCCCATCCTTTCACGATCATATCATGAAGCTTTCCGCTATTGTTGCAATTGCACTCGCCGCCGCCGTATCAACGAGCCCAGTGAACATGCCCCGTGCCTCATTCACTCTGCAGAACGGCATTGACGCTAAGAACTTGAAGTATGTTCACATTACCCAGATGCTTTTGACCACCTCATCTCATGTCAACCTCTTCAGCGCACAGTTCGCTACGTTGACTCCAAGCTCGCCCTGTACGTCGGGTACGAACGCATGTGTCGGTACTGCATTTGCACAATGTGCCAATGGCCAGTTCGTCACGTTCCCCTGCAACACCGGTCTCATGTGAGCAGCTGTTCCATGCAAACATTCTAGCCTCGGGCTGCATGTGAGAACTGACCGTTGACCCTCCCCCATAGCTGTGCAGCACTCCCGCTCGTACTTTCTCCTGGGACAAGTATCGCGTGCACGACGGCGGCTGATCGCGACGCTCGGATTGCTGCGACAGGGGCATAGTGGATAATCAAGGCTTCGTCTTATCAACTGATGGGCTCATGCATGTATATTAGAGTGGTCTCTAGGCATATGACGATGTGCAGCCACGGCACTCACCTTTGAGCACGGCTTGTGTGTTGCGTCTTGGCGGCCGGTATAGCTACAGTCATTAACCAGTCCTCGGGACAGTGAAATGTCGTCGCTCATCCCGAACTACCCCTTACCTTTGCAGCCCACATCGGAGAACGCAGGCATGTAGCGGAGTCAAGAACGCATCATATACCTGAGTTTCGTGGCTCAAGAAATAATCTAAAAGATACTAGTGGGATGCAATAATTGGCTCGAAAAGCCCTCATGATTTCGTGTCCACATTGACCTGCACGGTATCCGCTTCTGTGGAGCCCGTGGGGTCCATTGAATCGACCCCCATATCATTCGCTGTAACATGGCAATCCAATCAGTACAATTCCCGAATACATCACTCACTCAGTCTCACCAGAAATCTGCTTGATCGGCCCCGTGAACCACTTTCGCGCGCTGATCAACCAGTAGCCGAGCGCGTATGTTATAACGATGCCCACGGCGACGATGGAGTAGTTCAGTGTTTGAGAGTCGACGGGGTTCGCCTGCGGTAGGATGAATGCTATTGATATAAAGACAATCCAGAGGCAGGAGATGATCGCGACTGGGTACGAGAACGGGCCCAGATGGAATGGCCCGCGCTTGAAGCGCTTTCCGTAGATTGCGCGCAGTGCAATCGGGATACCTATGGACAGGAAGCCTTGAGTAGACCGCGCTTGGATCCCAGGCGGGATACATACCGTAGGAGATGTACAGCCCGATGGTGGCTATACTTGTAGCGGCGGAGAACGCCACAGAGCTGCCCAGACTGGGCAATCCGAGGATGAAGCTGAGCGTGCAAGCGAGCCAAACTGCACCTCATAGTCACCCACAGCACCCTTTGCATCCACTCATGAAAACGTACCGGTCCTGATTGGAGACTTGGTTTTCTCGTCGACCTTGTGGAAGAACTTATGCCCGGGAATGGCGCCGTCGCGCGAGAACGCGTACATCATACGACTGTTGGACGTAACCGAAAACGTCCCGCAGAAGAACATTGCACCAATCACGATCACCTGAGCGAGCGCACAGTCAGCGACACGCCCAACCGACCCTCGAAAGCGCCACTGGGAAGACCAAGCACGGCGCCGTACTCACCATGAGAACGATCGCCCCCTTCTCGCCGACCGTATCGAGGAAGATCTGGGCCACGGGCTGACCGGTGGCAGAGTTGATGGTGCCGTCGAGGTCCTGGATGGAGAAGAGCAGGCCGAGCATAAGGAACCACCCAAGGACGGCGGAAACGCCGATGGCCATGATGATGCCTATAGAGCCGGACATGGCTGCGTTATGCGTCTCTTCAGTCATCTGGTGGTCCCTGTCAGATTTGCCAACTGGCGCTACCACGAGCAAGCACTCACATGCGCGCTGCCATCGAACCCTGCACGACAAGTGTCAGCCCCGATATCGTTCGGAGTGAACAAAGAGCAGCTGACCTGTAAGGGTATACTGCGCTGTAAGGATTCCGATAACGACGACATATGCGTCGCTCGCCCGCTGGCTCCAGCCGACACCGTCGACGCCAGTGTTGTCGATGAACGTCGCGAAGACGAACTTGGCCGACTGGTGCTTCGGCGCGGCCGCGAGGATGGCGATGACGACCGCAGTGGTCCCGACGGCATGCCACCAGATGGAAAAGTTATTGATATACTTCAGCAGGTGGACGCCAAAGGTGTTAATGAGTCCCTGGCAAATGAGCACCCCCGCGTAGATGCCGATAGTTATGCGCGCTTCAGGGACAAAGGAAGTGTTGAAGGTCGCAAGGGTTGAAATGAAATTTGCTGCCGCGTAACTGTTCCAAACGGAGAGTAAGTTCGGAGGAGGTCACGTTGAGTCGCAGCGCAGAGACGTAGACACACCTTATACCGGTAGTTACTGCGACCTGTCCTAAGAGGTTGAACCAACCGGTCATCCAGGAAGCGAACGCGGCATGCTTGGGGTCGGAGAGCATCGCTGCCCAAAAGTAGGGACCTCCGCTTGTGGGATGTGCGCTACATACCTCACCCATAGCCAAACCGACCAGGCAAGTGAAAAACGCTGCATAGCTAGTTCGAAGCTATCTCACATTCAGGACTCAAAGACAACTCACCAACCACTACAAAACCCCACACCATAACCGCTGGGCCTCCAGTGTTCTGCGCGAATCACGCAACCTCAGCCTGCACTCGCGACATTCATGCCTTGTTGGAACGCACCAGCCCATACAGGAACAAGGAAGGGATGCCGGTAATGACGCTAATGATCGAGAATGAGACACCGAAGTTCTACGATTGCGCCATGTCAATCACGAAGCCCGCCTGCATGTTCAAACAAGATTCCCCAACAACAAACACCTACCTGCAGTAGTGTCAGGTCGCGCCTGCCACACGCCGCGGCGGCCGCCTGTCAGCGTTCGAATGTCATACCAGTGATAAAACGGGTCACGCACTTCAGCTCCTGCTTGTACCCCATACGAGCCAACTCCTTCTCATCGTCAAGCACCCCGTCGACCACGGACCCGTGGTTCTTCTCTGAGTCAATTGCGGACACATCTTTTGCGGTCACCATTCTCGGTCGGTCTCAGCCTGGCGCGCGACGACCAGACAGTTGGGAGGGGGCTAGGAGGTAGTGGCGAGAGGATTACTCGAGCCGCTATCGTGCGACCGTGGCTGCATGCTTTTGAACATACTGTGGGAGATACTTATCGTGGCTCCCGAACGACGCTCAACTATGACCAGGAAGGTTGATAAGTAGCCGGCTAAAATGTGCGCGTGAGGGGATCCTGATTTCTGATACGATTGGCGCTCAGGGTTTTATGCGCCAAGCCTCGTTTCTTATCGTTGCTTCCGCAGTACTGTCTTCACGATGTCTTTGTTGAGCAAACGAAGTGGCGGCTTTGCTTTTGAAGACGATACACAAAAACACATGGGTTTCGTATAGACAAATGTAGGTACTGTAACCCGTTACACAACGTGCAACAATTTGAGTTGAGACTTCAAGAATAAGGCCAGTACTTGAAGTGCCTACGCTATCTTCCGATAAGTCCTCAAACAGACTAGGGCCTTGCACATTACCAGAGATGTGCTTGACCCCAGGACCCCGAAAGTCGGCAGCGGTGACTTCTTCTAATGGCTCAGGCTTTCTCTCTATTTCAGCTTCCAGAGTTCTGGCTTTATTGAATTCTACAATGCCTGAAGTTATGACATGCAATCGGTAGGAAAACCATAGACTCTCTCACGCTTGACCCCCGGTGTCATCAGTCCCTCGCCCATCTCTGCACATTACAGCTGATGTAAAAACCAGCGTCGCAGTCCCCGCGCCCGGGGATGTGCTCGGACCACCGGAAAACCCCGGCCGAGCCCCAGCTATACCACACCGAGGACATTGCCCGACTCTGGTCCACTGCTGGAAGCACCCGCACACAGCGGGAATCTGCATGGGAAGCATTCCATGCAGAATATTGTGTGTCCTGTAGCTCTGAAACCACATAGAATGAGGCGGGGCACACTTCGCGCAGTCACGGCGAGCTTGTCCCCTGACTGGGAGGTGGCCGGAGCGCTGGCTTGAGGGGCTCGGCAGGGGGCTGCCGCTGATCCGAGCACAGGGAGGCCTGGGGGAAACGCGACGCTGGTTTTTACATCAGCTGTAATCACGGGAGTTCTTGTCGCCTGAACATAGTCGACTTACGCACACGGCGACGGATACCTACCATGTTGTGACTGCCCTGGTACCCCTACAGACCATATATCATCTCGGAAAAGACCCTATGTCTACCGTGACGGATTGCTATGCTTGACATTACGTGTCGCCTGTGCCGTTGTAGTAAGTCTGCGTGACTTATGGCAAAGTTGACCCCTAGGAAACTGGGTTAATCACTCATAGACAATTGACCGACTTCGCCCTCGCGGGGCTCCTACCACCTGGGATTCTGAGCACAAACAAGGGGAGATTGTGACAGTGATTGTGCACCGTACCGGCGCCACCGACGAACATCGCGGCGCTTACGGTCGCAACCGCGATCCGCCAGCTTGTCCGTCATCCAGCTGTGCTCTCGAGCTCATCGCCAATCTACAGCTCTCCGATCCTTCCTGCGTCTTCTACTCTGGGTCGTGGACATGCCTCTGGAAGCTCAATTTCTCGGACTACCTGGGGAGCTACTCGTTGAATGCCTCAAGCATCTCGACTGGGAGGACCTCGTGCGCTGTAAGCAAGTCAGTACCAGCGAACGACCACAAGCGTCGACGTGATTCACATCGCACACCCTCAGGTCAGCAAAAGGCTGCGTGATGTCGTCAACGACTCTCTCGAACTGCAGTACCGCATCGAGCTCGGGGCGGACGGCCTCGTAGAAGGCCTCGGCTGCACCTTCACCACCGCCGAACGTCTCCAGCTCCTCCTCCAACGGCGCGCGCGCTGGAGATACCTTGACTGGTCCCGGATCGTGTCCATCTCAGCCCCGGGGCTCTGCCAGGCGTACGAGCTCGTCGATGGGGTGTTCGCGTCATCGATGGGGAACGACTTCTTTGGCTCGCGGCACCTCGAGCTGACATGGCTGCCCACAAGCACCCAGGAAGCGAGGAAGATCGAGAGGGAGGATCTCGGTATCAGGATACGGGACTTTGCGATTGATCCGTCGCAGGATCTCATGGCGCTGGTACTCGCGGACGACGTTACGAGGTATGTGGCATGGTGTTCTACTACGCTAGATATACCCTCTGGGGAACCCTCTTAGAGTCGCCGTATCCCATCATCCGTCGCGCTGGTGATACTATGTGTGTTACTGAGCTGGAGAACAGGCTCGACGGCGGTTTGTATGTTGGGTGCTGGTACTGCGCCCGCACTGCTTGTGGCGTAGTCCAGTTCGATCCTTATTTCTTCTCAGAGCACGCGCGATGAGCTCTTCTCTGTCCTCTCAGACAGTATTCTGAAGTCATTTCGTTGGCTTCAGCATGACCATCCACTTGCGGACTATTAGCCGAAATGAACCTCATCCGAAGGCTCGCATTCCCGAGCTCCGAGCCACGGTCCCCCAAGTCAGGAATTGTTTCGTTCAGATCGTGGACGATGTCATTGGCGCGTTCTTCTGGTTTCATGGTCCTGGTCTCGTCATATGGAACTGGCGAACTGGCAAGAAGGTAGTGGTAGGTGTACAAACTAACTCCTGTGTATGCTATCTCACGGATATACCTTCCAGGACTGCGTCGGGGTGAACTTGCCCACGGGCACCTATGACTTTGCGTTCATATCGAGCCGTGCCTACATAGTCACCGTAACGATGCAATACGGCTCAATCGAGGTCTACACCTTCAGCGGCGGAGACGAGGATGCAGAGACGTTATCCAACACCGTTCCACAGTCCCCCTCCCTCGGTGACCGCCTTCTCCCCACCCGGGTCGCGATCTTCCGCTTGCCCCCCACGAAGCCGGGTCAGGATCTGCGCCGATTCCTCACACATTCGGCGCCGTTCGTCGCGAATCCGACGCCTGGGCGGGTATTCGAGGTATCCCGCGACGCGCGCGTGCACATGATGTGCCTATACTATGGTGACCATGCGGGGAGCTACCACCTGTTCCTCCACAACCGCTTTCTTCTCGCGCATATCCCTTCCGGGATCGGTTCAGGGGCCGTAGGGAAGGTCACCGCGGTGGCGAAGGAGTGGGACGAGTGGGGCCCGGACAACGCGCGCTTCGTGAACTGGATCGCGCACTTCCAGTGGCTGAGGTACGTCTGACTCGCCCCGGCGGGGTTCTGTTCGCGTTCTCAGCGCGTGCATTGTTTTGCTCGTGCGATGCGTAGACGGACGTTGCAGCTCACCACGCAGTCACCGTGCGCCAGGTACCTCCATGGCGAGCGCGTCATCTTCCCCCCGATCCCGCTCGCGCTCCGGCAGCCGACGGGGGACGACGAGGTGAAAATGGTGATGCTCATGATTGACTTCCACGTGCACCCGAAGCGCACGGATGACCCGGTGAAGCCGCCGTTGGAGCTGGATGAGGCGGGCGGCGGGTACGAGATCGTGGCCAGGGAGACGGTGATAGACTCAGGGGCGGTGTTCCAGCACCCGGTAGTGAGCAGGCTGCCGTACGCGATGTCGACGCGAAGCGGCGTACGTGGTTTGGTGGATTATACCGGGTTCATGATCGACCAGGATCAACTGATTGCGATGAAGGTGAGTGCTGCTTGTCTCGAGCGTCCGCATTGCAATCTTTCGCTGACCATCTTACACTGTGGCCAGCAGTCCGGAGACGAGGCTTATGTTGACTTGGACGTGTATACTTTCTGAGTCTCAGCGGCGGTCTGCTGGATATATATCTGCTTCCCTTAGCAGCGTCGTTACCGTCACTGCTGCTCGGTTTGGCCCCCAGAATAGGGTTAGGTGCGCTATGACGCGATGTGGGGTTGGCAGCCTAGGACCCCCTCTGCCTGCATCAATCACTGCTGTTCCTCTGCTGCCTCCCACATCCTCATACCACCTATCCGTGTCCTTATACGCATTCAGACACAATCTCAGACGCGAAACACACACAACATTTCACAATGTCAGCACTCATCACGATCCCAGGTGCAACCGCGCACCACGTCCTCGGCCAGTCGAACGTCACCCTCGGCGCAGGCGAACTCAATCTTGTGCCCGCCTCCTCCGATGGCAAGGACCTGATGCTCACAGTGGGCAGTGCAGGGTTCACACTCCACCACGGCACGGTCTTCGGGACATCGGAGGGGGACCCGCGGGCGTACGTGTTCAATCCGGAGATCGAAGGACTCGACGGCGGGTGCGTCTGTCTATCTGTTCTCAATGCTTAGGAAGGTGGCGAAGCTAACCTTGGACCGCTGGTCACTGATAGGTTCGTGAAGATCACGCTGCCCGAAGGCGTGACGGAAGACGGGTCACAGCTGTCTACACTCCAGACGAAGTTCGAGGAGGTCCTCATAGCTCATGGGCCACTCCAGCCTAGCGCGGACGACGCGAGCAGGGAAGGGACGGGAGCGCATCATGCGGTCCAGAAGTTGAAGAGCGCGATACATTCGTAGGGCTCGTTCGTATGTATCCTATGAAAGACACGTGCAGCTCATGAATTTGTTCGTTTTTTTTATTACCCATCGTTATATCTGGCCTTGTGTGGTGTGAAGCGATTTCCAAGAATCGCTGGTGGACATCCCCGGTTGCGTCGTCGCACAGGTTTTGGGTGATGAGCCGAATATCCTCTCTAAAGGCACGCTGTCCTTGTTCGGTATGATAAAATCTGCAAAGGAAGAGGAGCCCGTGCTCACGCTGGTTATTGGCAAGTCCGCGTTCCCTCTGTACACGAGTACAATCTTTGCGACCCTTGCGGACGATTCCCGAACATACATATTCACCCCGGAATTAGAGGGAGCCAACAAAGGGCAAGTACAGGCCACTTTACGCAACGCATTAAGATCTCACCCTGATCATGATTTGCAACTCTCTATTACGAATAGCTTTATAGCGATCGTCCTCCCTGAGACCACCGCGCCCCTCGGCGCCGACAATGACCACGCCTCTCTCCAAAACCAATTTGAACTCGCCCTCATTGACCATGGCCTCCTCAAAGACGGGTTCGAGGCTGCCGCGGACGAGGTCGCGCGCTCCGTCCGCGAGGGCTCAGCGCGCGTTGCACAACGTGTCCGCGACGCGCGCGAGCTCTACCTCCGGACGCACCCGCGTACGACCGAGCCCGTCGTCTTCCACCCTGCCGCACAGAACATGGCGGGGAGTGCGGAGCGTGGGACGCAGACGCTCGCGAACATCGCGCACGGAGTGAGTGGCAGCGTGTTGGGCGCTGCGTCTGTCGCGGGGTCGTGGTGTGCAAGAACGTTTGTCCCGACAGAGCCAAAGGTGACGGAGAGGCTAAATTCGGCGGCGCGGGGAACAATGGACGTTGCAGACAGGGTTGGAGCCGGGGTGCAGGACGTTAAGGACGCGCTAGAACATGCTAGGGGCGAGGTGATCGAGAACGACTACGGGAAGGAGGCAAGGGTCGTGGTGGGGAATGTGGGCCAGAGCGTGGGGAACGTCGGCGCTGTTGCGGCGGACGCGGCGACTGTGACGAGCGGTGGGCCGGTACTTGCGGCCGACGTCATAGGGGCCGCGAGCGAGCAAAATAAGGAGCTGAGAAAGCGGGATATAGAGGAGGTCAAAGCGGACGGCGTGCCAGAAGAGAGTGATGGGGTGGACACAGAGATGCTATAGCACTCCCGTGTCGCACGACTATGAAGCACTGTATGATAGAAGGAAGAGATGTTGCTACCGCAGTGTACTGGCCATCCCGGGTTCCATGATTTGTAGTGTTGCGAGTAGAGATATTGGAGCCGGTCATAGCTCAGACGACCTCTACTGTAGAGGAACCCGAGGCCCCTGAACTCCGGGACCACCGGTAACGGTGTTTCTTCTCGACGCTGACCACTGAGCCTAGTCCCGAGTCTGGGACGCCTTCTTCGGGGGTAGATGTCGAGATAGATGTTGTGAAGTGAACGTTGGAACTGAGCTGGGAAGTAGAGTTGTTTTCCAAGGAGAAGCTGCGACCCAGGACAACGCGGATAATGATCAGTTGCGGCGATATGCACTGGATGTCAACGGGTATCAGCGACCAAGGCTAGGTGAAAAGGCAGGGACGGTACCCACGGTGAACATGACATAGAGCGACATAAACAGAATCGTCGTTGGGCTGTGCAGGCCCAACGTTATGACATAGGCGATGCCAAAGAGGGTGTATGGAAGGGCGGCCTCGACGATCAGCGCGACCGCCCCAGTGTATTTCTGTGCGACGTCCCGGCCTAACAGGTGCTCGACACCGTGGGCGTGATAGAGCAGCCGACCACATATCAGAGAAGAGAGCGTGAAGTTGAGCGAGATGACGACGGTCGCGTAAGACAGCGCGACGTGCTGGCTCGCACCGGTGAAGAAGTTGGAATGTGGGATGCTCGAGACGATGCACATGGCAAGTCCGAGCCCTGTAAGGCGTTAACTTGTAAGCACTGACCGTCTGAAACGAGAAGTTTCAAATACTCGCCGAAGGTGATCAAATATAGGCTTAATGGAAAAATAAGAACACGCCGGTCTGTCCAGACAACGTAGCATCGATAGAGCTACAAAATGTACTATTTAAGCGCTGCATCTTAGAATGAAGGGATAGACGCACCAGCAACCCATCGCTTATGAGGTTCAGTGCTACTGATGCCACACTACCTAAGGTTTCGTACCACACTGCGGCATGGTCCGCTTGGTAAGCAGCGGATCCTCCGGGGTAGTCTGCGTGAATGATCCACATTTCTTCACCGAAGAGGGCTTGCACGGCGACGTAGACGGTGATCATGAGGAGCAGTCCTGTGCTCAGCAAAAGGAACAGCCGATAACTGCGTGTGTTCCGCTCGTCTTTATTGTTCAACATAATGGACGTGCTGACGGCGTATAGTACTAGCTCGACCCCTGTCCTCCTGGAAAGTCAGCGAGTCCGTGTCAACAGGGATGCGCCCATGAAACCACCCACCGTAGAGGATCCCATTGAGCATGTTGGCGACGTAGAAGCAGTTCTGGAAGATTGCGTTCGCGTGAGGCATCGCGGTGAAGGGGTAGCGAATGAGCGGGACCTAGCATTGGCAGGAGCTTCAGGTGCTATGGCTCAAGTATATACTCCCGCAGCGATTTGTCGGATAAACTCGTCCGCACCGCACTATATTGAGCGCGGATATATGCTCCACTTCCCGCGGCCAGATCGAAGGCTAAGGCGCAAAAAAGCGCCCATTCAGAAACAATCACAACCAAGTTATTTATGAGTAATAGGGCGGATAGACAGGTGGACGCACGGTGTGCGCAATGCGGATAACATACCGCTGCATATGGCTGGGCCCGATCGGGAGGCTGTAAGGCCAGTGGCAGGAACCACGATATTGGAAGTCCCAGAAGTGGATTAGGGGTGTATCCGCTTGAGAGAACTCGAATTAATAAGTCTTGTGAACAAGGCATACAGGGGGTAGAGTACGTCGGGAATGTGTCGACGGTGACGCGTGTCACTGTCATTTGGCGGACGACGATGACCATATTCGTTGCGACCCCAAGTGGAGTACCACGTTACGAAGCAGACGATCTCGGGCTGCATTAAGCCATCAACGAGTAGACAAGGTTGCGGCGAGGATGACGTCAGAGTGGACGATGGATCTATCAGCGGAAGGGTTATTTTGTGAACGACTGGATACATCTGTGACACGCACCTTCATTAGGCTACCTTGCATCGTGTGAAACGTACCTTGGTCCCAGCAACTGTGGATATCAGTGAAGAAAGAAAGCGTATCACGGGGTGATATCTATTATACAAGACCGATTAAGCTACAATACAATAGACGAAACAATGCACACACATCCTATCCAAGAAACGGGGAGAGATGCGATGTCAGAGTGACACGAAAACACTACGAAAGCAACGAAACAAGCAAGACGACGGCGAGGGGACGCACACACACCCCGAGACACACGCCTTGGGCCCTGTGATCCGCGATCGACTACTCATCTCCCTCGTCTTCCAAACCGTCCATCATTCCTAGCATGTTCGCGTCCGCGTTGACGGGGGCCTCATACACTGCGAACGCCGTCCTCGTCTTCGCCTGCGCGTCCGGCACCACTCCCTTCGCTGCCGGCTCAAGCACTTTTTCTTCCTCTCCCGCCTCTGCCGCTCCCAACTCCCCTTCGACCTGGCCCCCGCTCGTCCATCCCTTCTGCCGATCAGCGAATACCTCCGGCCTCCTGTCCAGCAACATCTCCAGATCCTCGTCGCTAATAACGCTCTTCCTGCCCGCCTCGTCGCTCGGCACGACCTGGATCTTCTCGCCCTCGAGCCTATGCAGCTCCATCGCGAGCTCGGCGAGCGCCTGGTTCTTGCTCCTCTTTGCCGCCGTCGGGTTGACAAACTCGCCCTTGGCGATGACGAGCGCCTCGAGCTTGCGCTTGTCCGTCGCCCGCTGCATGATTTTCGTCTCGACAGTGTGCGCGCAGAGAAGGCGGAAGATGAGCACGGGCTTCGTCTGTCCGATCCGGTGTGCGCGGTCTTGAGCTTGGAGGTCGGCTTGGGGGTTCTGTAGTGTAGTGAACAGTGGCGAATGAGCACCGAGTCGCAATGTATTTCGACGCTCACGTACCCAATCCTGGTCGTAGAAGATCACCGTGTCAGCCTGGACGAGGTTCAAGCCCAACCCGCCAGAGCGCGTGCTGAGCAAAAACAGCCTTGGCGCATCGGACGCATCCCCGCCCTCCTGGAACCGCCGGATGTCCTCCCGCCGCGACTCCATGTCCATGCTCCCGTCAATGCGACTAATGGGCCACCCCTTGTGCTCTACCGCCCAGTCCTACCGTTGCAATCCCCATCAACAACCGCGGATGCTCCACGACGAGAGACAGAGGGGAGTACGCACCTCGATAATGTCCAGCATCGTCGTGAACTGGCTGAATAGGAGTACCTTGTGACCGCGCGCGAATAGCGCGTCGAGCAGGCGCTCGAGCACCATCATCTTCCCGCTCGCGGTGACGAGCTCCTCGCCGAGCACGGACTCGCGCGAAGTCGGGTCCCTCGGCCAATGGAAGAGGAACGGGTGCTGGCAGACCTTGCGCAGCTGCATGATGACGTTCTTCAGGTTTTTGTTGTTCACCTCCTTGACTGTTCCCAGCGATCATACTTCAGCACCCTGACCGCTGTCACCAGCAGAGGAGTGAGTGCAGAAGGGACGAACCTGCAATGCGCCTCTGCCATTCGAGCCCAATGTCCCCTCCGCTCTTCTCCTTCTCCCTCCGAGCCTCGACCCGCCCCTCGTCCAGCCGCTTGAAGTACCCCTCGCCCTCCTCGTCCGAGCTCTCCACATAGTCCCTCTCCACCTTCTCCCTCAGCCCCTTCGCCTTCCGCGCCCCGTTCTTCACCACCACCTTCAACGGCGTCTCCTCCTCGTCATCCTCGACCTTGCGTCCACCCCCATTGAGCCTGTCCTCCTCCTCCCCGATCTGCTCGATCAAATACCGGCGGAGGGCCTTGTCGCCGCGCACGACGACGTCGTACAGCTCACGCTGGCGCTCCGACAGCGGGGTGTAGAGCACGTACTCTTTCTTCGGGGGGAGCGACATTTCGACGTCGGCCTTCATGCGCCGCAGGAGGAACGGGCGGAGGATGTCATGGAGCGAGTGGATGAGCTTGCTCTCGCGGTCCGATGTCAGCTTGCTCCGCAGCCGGCTCTCGTCGAACCTGTATATGCATATATGCGCGCGATTTGCCGTCAGCAATTCCAAGGATGAAGGGATGGATAGCAGGAGACGCAAGGGGCAAAGGGACGCACCAAGACTGGAACGTCGACAAGTCCCCGAACAGGTCCGGCAGCACAAAGTTCAACAGCGCCCACAGCTCCGCGAGGTTGTTCTGCAGCGGGGTCCCCGTCAGCACCATCCGCGCGTCCGCGGGTATCTTCTTGATCTCCCGCATGAGCACGCAGTCGATGTTCTTCAGCCGGTGGCCCTCGTCGACGACGATGAACCCCCAGTGGTACCGCGCGAGCTCCGCGCGGTCGTTGATGACGATCTGGTACGTGGTCAGCACGACCGGGAAGTTCGTCTTCTGGTACGGCTTCAGAGGGTGCCTGTTGCGCTGCTCTGCGGGCTCGGGGATCTCTTCGTCGACGATCATCGAGTTCTCGAACTCGTCCGAGTCCGCTTCGGACACCGGCTTCCGCGACTTGGCTAGGGTGCGTCCGCCACGGCGACCGCGCGCAGCGGCCTTCCCGCGCGACTTCGACGCGGGTACCTCGTCCTCCGAGCTGTCATCGTCCCGTGTGGCGCGCCCACGCCCAGCAGTAGCAGCCTTGCCCCGACCCCGAGGAGCCCCCTTGCCCTTACCCTTTCCTTTGCCCTTCCCTTTGCCTCTCGACGGGGCAGCAGCGGCAGCGGCAGCCTGCGCGGCAGCATGCGACCCGCTCGCATTCTTCCAATACTCCAAATCGACCTCGTCCATCACCATCTTCGTCCGCCTCGTCTCCGCCCGCTCCTCCTTCGTCCCGTAGTAGGTGACGACGGGTATGTCAGGGGCGAAGCGCGCGAACTCCTTGGCCCAGTTGTCGAGCACGGCGAGCGGGCAGACGACCATGAACGGTGCAGGAGTGCGTTCGCGGAGGAACGCGTGGAACGCAATCGTCTGGATCGTCTGCGGGCGGACGGCCGTCAGCGTGCAGAACGAGTGCTGAAGTCTTCAAACGTACGTACCTTTCCTAGACCCATCTCGTCCGCTGCACTGTACGTCACCTTCGCACGCTCAAACCATCACACAAGGCGACTCACCCAAAATGCCCGAGATACCGTTCTGGTGCAGCCCCGCCATCCACGCGACGCCCTCGAGCTGGTAGTCCTTGAGCGTCGCGCCCGTGATCAGCGCGGGCTGCTGGAACGCGGTCTTCCTCTCCTCCCCTTCCCCTGCCTTCTCGCCGTCCTGCTCCGCCTTCGCGCGCTTCGCCTCACGCTCTTCTTCCTCCTCATCTTCGGACACGACGCGCGCACGCTTCCGCGCGCTCTTCGCTTTTTGCTTCCCGTTAGCCTTCGCCTGCGCATGCGACGTCGAGCTCGAGCGGCGGGCGCCGTGGATGACCTTCACCTGGTCCATCTGCTCCTTGAGCAACTTGACGTACGCGCCCGACTTTTGGATGAGGGTCTCGAGCTGGGCGAGGCGGCCGTCGACGTCTGCGTCCTCTTCCAATGCTTCGGCTTCGTCCTGAGTCATGCAAGAGCGCTGTCAGTATAGCGTCCGCATGTCAGACTCGGCGGATTATCATATTGTGCGCGGAAGGCGAGGTACATGCGCACGTATGGCCCATGGGTGTCGTAAGTGCTTATGAGCCATTGTGGCGAGCTGTATGCGCGTCCACTGCAGTGTTTCCGCATGCGCTGCGGTGAACGACGACGGGGGGAGACGTGTGGATACACCGCAGGACGAGCAGCGAGAGAGACGCAATTCCCAGAAATGTTGATGGTTTGTGGCCCCTGAACGCCGACGCCCACCCTAGAGACAATGGAGCGAATTGCAACGTACCCTCGGGAAGTCTGCCTCTGCAATCTGGTTTCCTAGATCATCTTCAGTCTTTGCCTGCTAACCTAGTCAGCTCTCCGCACCAAAGCCAGAAGCCAGAGAGCACATACATCTTCCGGGACAGTCGCCGGGCTGGTAGGCGGGGACGTGGCGCGCGTTGACGGCACCGCGGGAGACGACCGCGAAGCCGGCGTCGAGCGCGACGAGGGCGCTGTAGACATTTTCGGATTCTATCCAAGTGGTCCGGACGGGTTTCGGGTCTTTGGGGACGAGCAGGACGAGGAGGAGTGCTGACAGCGCGGAAACAAGCCGAATGGCGATCCCGCCCACGCCGTGACATCCACGAACGCGCTCCATCACGCGTTATGTCACGCGGAGGGATCATATCCGTGACGGGACGCGGACGCCTGCAACTTCAGGCGGCAGGTCTGCGACAAGCTATGGCATGATCCACAAAGGCAGGCGTTCCTTCGACAGACTGTCTGAGAGGTGCTTGATGTCTCCTGTACGACGGGTAGGAATTCGAGAGGAGTGTGACCCACAGGAGGAACTGCAAATCTGCGCAAACTAGCAACAGGATGCGTTGCAGCGACTGGCCGGCCGGTGAACAGTTGCTGCGATAAGTGAGGAACGATGAATGGCTCGTCAATAGCAGCTCATACTCTGCAATGCAATCAAGACGACGCGAGGAGAGCCGCGGGGAGGAAGCTTTTCAGCCGGCAGCGCCACGCTGCTAGTCACGTGCTGGGATACCGACATACGGGCTTCCTGTGTCCACACTAACTCCTGAACTTGTGCAGTCGTCGCGGTAGATGAGTCTTGGCTTCGCCCCGTTCGTCTACAGCCATCGTGTCGCCCATCATTCTAGCCGCGAAACATGCCCGCACAACACTGCATCAAGGCAAGTACTGATGCTTCCGCGCTCTCCAAAGATTCCTTGCCAAGGAGCTACAGCCCCCGTGACGCAATTAGAGCCTCCCCCCATCGGACAGTCCACGCCGCATTTTGCGGCACTCGTTCCACTACCGAACTTGAACGCCCCTAGTGCACAGTCAACGCCTCGTGTACCAGCAGCCCAACTTCTTTTCCCACCGCACCCGCGATTTAGCAGTCCATTGCTCTCGAACGTTCCCCATCCGGCGAGTTCGTTCGGATCTCCCTCCCCCGTGCAGGGATTCTAGGCGCAGCTTGCTCGACACCTCGACCGATGTCGCAGGCGTTCCATTCCAGGACTCGCAGAGATGTGCTTGACCTCAGGACCCCGAAAGTCGGCAGCGGTGACTCCTTCTAATGGCTCAGACTTTCTCTCTATTCCAGCTTCCAGAGTTCTGGCTTCAGTGAATTCTACAATGCCTGAAGTTATGACATGCAATCGGTAGGGAAACCATAGACTCTCTCACGCTTGACCCCCGGTGTCATCAGTCCATCGCCCATCTCTGTCCAGGAGCACACCACGGCCCCCTCCGTGTCGGAGCGCTGGCCGAGACGGCACTGGCGCAACGTTGCAGGTGCTCGTGCGGTGCGCATCGGTCATAGGACTCCCCTGGCCTTAAGTGCATCACACACGTTCCGGACGCACGGCGAGGGGTTAGTCGTGCAGGAGGCGGCGGCGTTGACGCGTGCCGGGGCATCCTGCGACGGCCCCTGCTCTGCACGAGGGCGGGCTCGGAAAGAGCGTGTTGGACGGCACGACGTCGCAATCAAGCTTTTGATCGTCTTTTGGTGTGTTTTTTGTCTGCTGCAGGCGAGAGCTATGTATGATCGGGCGACGGGCCCATCGCAGGGCACACGCGGTGCTGCATTCGTCCTCGGCGTGGGCGAGCGTTGGATATCTGATTATTGCGCTTGGGTGCAGCGGGCCGGAGGCCTGGCACGGGCGTGTATGTAAGTAGGTCGCATTGTCCGAATTGAAGGTTCGTTTTCACCAACCGCTCGTGCTAGACTTTGGCTCATAACCCGTTCACTCCCTCCTTTTTTTTCTTGCCCTCCTCCCCGCCCCCTCCGCCTCGCACTCCGACACGATGCTCTTCCCGCGCATGTCCTGCTTCTCCGCGCTCCTCTTCACGCTCGTTTTCTTCACGACTGCACATGCCTCCGTGATCCCCTTTGGCCACAAAAGCCTGAACGTCGCGCGTTCGCCTTCAGAGACATGGACCAACGCACAACGCCTCGCCGCGGGCCTTCCCCCGCGAGCCCCCCGCCGCCTCAAGCGCGCCCCCACACCCACCGAGCCCGGTCTTGCGAAGCGCGCCGCTCCCAGCCCGAGCCCTAGTGCCAATGCCCTTGCAGGTGTCCGAGTGTACGTATAGATCTATGTATCCTTCCCAATCCTACCTCGCACTCATCGCCACGCGTCCCAACCTAGTGCGACAGAAAAGGCCTACACTGGCACACTCCAAGTACGCACCGTCGCCGACAACGCCACCCTCGGTTTCGTGCGGCTCTCTTCGTCCGGCGTGTGAGTCCATTGCTCTCGCTCCCCGATCGCGCGTTGTACGTTGCTGATCTAGCGCCCGCGCCGTGCCTGATCTCGAACTCCATGCGTGCTGCGATTTCTGACTATACTTGGCTCGCTCCATTGTGCCGCTGCTGACGCATACAGCGAGCTCGCCACCGCCGAGGGCTCCCCTGTCGCCTTCACGGCCGTTGGGAGCGTCCCCTTCAGCATCGCGACGGTGAGTGTGGACGATCGCTGCGTTACCCCGCAGCGCCACTGATGATGCCCGCAACCTCACGTTTTCCCTTGCTGTGCTCGCTACAATGTTCCCTCCTCGATGCCGTCACACGCCCACGTTGCTCGCAACCGCAAATCTTTGCCTCCCGCGGACCGCATCACGTCCGCGTCGCGTCGTCGCGCCACCCTTCGCGATGCATCATCACTCGACAATGCCATCGGCGCGCGCGCTGCGTACACGCGCACGCAGGTGACTGCGGACGACGACGAGGCCCGCTCGTTCCTCGGCGCGGTGGGCACGAGCGCCATCGCCGCCGGCACCTCAGCGTGAGTCTTCCCTCCGCGTCAAACGCTCTGCGAGCTTCTTGCGCTTCGCGACCCCGTACTGATTGTGCGTGTCCGGCGATAGTACGATCGGCCTCGGGAACGTCATCCAATGTGAGTGTTTGCGCTCGTGGCTGCTGCTTCTGCGCTTCTTCGCTCCTGCGCTGCAGGGCGCGTCATACCGCGTGCTGTGCAGAGCGCGGGTTCGTCCAGGCTCGCGCTCCGCCGTGTGCCCGTGCCCGTGCCCGTGTTTCATCCCATGCCATTCCTGATCGCTCTGTTCGCATTCGGACCGAGGACCCAGCCAGGCCTCGCGCTCCTGTGTATGTGCAGTACGGCGCTGGGTCGCCGCCGCCGCCGCCGCCTCCTGCGTCACTTGCGCGACTGAACACCCCTGCCCGCCTGTTCCCCGACACTCACCCTGAACTCTAAACTTTGCAGCACCGCCCCACGCGCGGCCTAGCGTGGCCGGCAGCGAGTCCGCGATCTGGACCATCGACGCGAACACCCTGGGGCTCTCCCGTGCGTACCGAGTCTCTTATCACATTCCCTGGTTGTGAGATAGGACACTGACGTGATCTGCCTGTCTCCTACTCCTACTGCCCCCATTGCATGATGTCATGACCTCGACATTGGCGTGGACGTGTGTACAGCGCTCTGGGTGAACCCTGACGGCTCGCACGTCCGCACGGCACTCGCATACAGCCCAAGCGCGTCCGACGGCCTCTTCCTCACCGGGGACGTGGGCGCGTACAACGAGGCCCACACAGGCGCCCCGGCATCAGAGGTGGTGAGTGACATGGACATTTGACGTCCGACCGCGCCTGAGCGCGAACCCTCTCATATCTATACGTTCAGACCCGCTGACAGTATGCGTTCGGTTTGGTTTTGCCACAGGCGCTGTACTTGGTGAGCGTATGACGACCGAGCGGTCAGCCCCCCCCCCCCCGCGCGACGAAAACGCCTGGCGGATGGCGCGACTGCGTCTGCGTCTTTGGCGGCGACGAAGCACGAATGTTACTAATGAGATGACGGCTACTACGTACGACCGCGACGACGGACTCGGAGCCGGACCCCCCCTCCCACCCCACTACCCTGCGCTTACCCTTACGCCCTCTATGTGCGTTCCTGGGGCGCCTCCTCGTACCTCAGGTATGCAGGAGAGGCGCGTCGTGGAACCTACCATCACTTCCTCTCTTCCTTTCCCAACAACCGGACTACAAGGGGACGAGCGGAAATCGCTCTCCCCCACCCACACGCACTCGCACTCGCACCCGTATAGAGCTACGTACGCTATTTAAGCTTCATTTAGTATTCGTCCGGCTCGTCGTACACTCTTCCTTTACCTTGACCTGTACATACGTACATTACTTTCTCTCCTGATCCCCGCTTGGACTTGGACTTTCTTCCGCTCTTGACATTGACACTGACACTGGCTAGTCCCTCTGGCGCGGGAACTTTCCTTCCCTTCCACGTCATGTCCTGGCTCTCTTTGTTCGTCTCGTTTCGTCGGACGATGGACTTCTCTCATGTTCCCCATATCTGACATTGACTGGTCGCTTCGCCTCGCGTCTTCCCTTCCGTTTTCTCTGTGCGCGGCTACGTATGATCACAGGAACTTACTTATCCTCCCTAACTCTGCTCGTTCGCGTTATGTAGCCGTGCTGTTGTTGTTGTACCGAGACGTTATACGAATCCGAATTTGAGAGGTGCCGGACGGCGCCAACACTGCAAGCGTCTGTATAACTTACTGCCAGTAGCGGGGGTACCTTTGGCTGCAGCACACGCACAACGAAAGAACCTTGCAATAGTACCGCTCAGAATTGGCTGGATCTCGGAGCCGCCCGTATCTCGTACCTCCGGATTTTGAGTCACGTCCCCCAAGACGCCGTGCATCCGTTACTGATGCGTCACGTCTCTTAACAGGCAGGCCTCGCGAGTGCACGCTGACCATCGCCAACCGCCGCAACGCGTGTGCTTGCATCAGGAGTATATCTCTTTCAAAAGCCGTCGGTCTCCTCGAGCCTAGCTATATATAAAAATGCCGCAAGGCGATATATCAAGTAGCCTAAGGCGGACTACCGCTGGAGTTTCACGATATAATTCATTTATGCCTCCCATCTCGGCGACTCTAGCGCACAACGGGGACGTGGCACAAGTCGCGCGTACTCCACAAATTCAGAGAGGCTTACTCATAAACATCGTCGCGGATATCGGACTCTCAGACTGCAATTGAGAGCACCCTCAGGTGTATGACGATGGTGTTGAAAAATGACAACCCGCTTCGCAAAATGTGCGGGCTGAGACATCGCGCAAGGCTCACAGAGTTGTCCAGCTAGTGAACGCAAATCTTGGGTGCTCTCGCGAAGCTGCTGTTATGGAGCAAGCTCCTTCTATTGGACAAGGAGGTGCGCGCGACGACCGCGAGTGCGATTGCGCGCGTCCTGTCGGTCATGAGACGTGACGAAGTTGTAACGAATGCACGGCGTCTTGGGGGACGTGACTCAGAATCCGGAGGTACGAGATACGGGCGGCTCCGAGATCCAGCCAATTCTGAGCGGTACTAATGTGCCACGCTTGCGTCAGTCATATTGGAGCACAGCCACGTAACTGATCTCTAGGCGCCTACGCTCCGTCAGGCTGTTGAGTTGATCGGATTTCCTCCCACTGTCGCAACGTCGCTTCAGGGCGGAGACACCATGGTAAGTGCCACATGTACTACATGTAGAGCATCTTACTTAAGCAGGAACTCATGTAGCGACAAAGGGATTGGTTTGGCCTGATTTCACCATGCAGCTCAGCCGGTTGAAGCTTTTCGGTAGGTCTCTTCGCTCATACACTGTGTCAATGTCGTCGTTTGCCTTCTTAGGCTCTTGTCACGAGCAGCATGACGCTTCTGATAACGAACGGTCCGAGTGAGGGATCTTGCTTTCGCCTCGGATCTACGGTGGCTAGTCTCGACACCGACGATTCTCTACTCTTTGTCGTAGTGCTCGAAACCAAGTGTCTCCCCATCATCTTAGCACTGGCATCCGATCCGTTGACAGCGTGTAGGTTTTGGCGAACAATCGGTCAATGCGCACGGAGGCCAATATCACCTCATCTGCACCGCGACAGTGCACAGTGATGAAGCCTGATGACGGCGCCCCGCAGGTGCACACAACGGGAGAGCTAACGTCTGCGCTGGACTGTATTATTGACTCCACGCTAACCCTAACATAAACTTTCAGAAGAGCCAATTACCGCGTGAGCGCGACCTCCCTGTGTGGGTCAGTCCTCATCTGAGGCCCGCAAACCTCCAACATACTTCTCATCTTGCAAGTCTCCCTCAACATCGATTGCCCTGCCTTGAGTGGATCTGTGCCTTTTCCAAAACAAGGTGCTGCGATATTTTCAGTGCATTATGTCCGTTATTACATCGCTATTGGAAGGCTGACACATCCATTATCCTCTGTTTAGCATAGCGAAGGTGCCCTTCAATCGTATTCGCCCCTCATACCAGCGTGCATCTGTGTTATGAGATGGCCAGCGTCCTCAAATGTTCCCGTCATCCTAGGTGTCAGCTTGATGTCAAAGATCATGCGCCGACAACGATGGATGTGCACGACTACACTTCAGAATTGTCGGACCGAGAAGATGAGTACTTTCGTTTCCAACTGCCGCCCCATCATGATTCTTACAGCCTTGCATTGTGCGTCAGCGGCCGCTCGCAAAGCCATGTCGTATTTTCCGTGCATTGGTGAGAGCACCGATTGTGAGTTTTCCTATCTCGGCTGATCGCAGGGCTGTCCTTGATGTATGCAGCAATCACCGCCCCACCGCCGTTGTGTAGGGAGACTCAGCCAACGACTCCCGTTGTGCTTATTCTCAGAACTGGCTGCGTGGCGCATGAATACTAACTTGAATGCACAGCGTCCGCAGGGTGACCAACGCGACACGGTCCCGCAGGAGCGTGTTTGATCAGTACTTATACCTCTCGCTTCCGCTTCTTGGAACCCATCAGCGACCTGGAGTCCGCCGGTACATACTCTTCCCTACTCTACATCCCCTTTCCCGCGTAGACCGCACCCCCTTTCACCCTTTCGGCTGGACCCGCCATGAAGTTCTCCACCTCGCTCCTTGTCGCCTCTCTTGCTGTGGCCGCGTCTGCTAGCCCCCTGAACGTTCGTGCTGGGAAGGGCGCATTCCGTGGCGGCAAGGGCGGAGGCTTCGCCGGAGACCCCGCAGGTGCAGGTGCTGGAGGTGCCGGTGCTGGTGCAGGCGCCGCCAGTAGTGCCGCCGCAGCCTCTTCCGCGGTAGCCTCAGCAAGCGTTGCGTCGGTCGCCGCCGCGTCGAGCGCCGCAGGTACCGCGACTGCCGTCGCCTCGGCCAGCGTTGCCTCGGTCGCTTCTGCCTCGTCTGCCGCAGTCGACACTGCCACAGCTGTGGCCTCGGCGTCCGCTGTCGCGACCTCGACCGACACTGCTGCGGTACGTACATCACACGCTAACCGATCGTAGGCCGCTCATCGCATCATACGCAGGCTACCAGCACCGCCGCCGCAGGCAACAACGCAGGCAACGGCACGGCCGCGGGAGGCGACGACCCCCAGTCGTCGCTCACGCTCCTCCAGTCCGTCATCGCCACCGGCTTCGCGAACAACGGCCAGGAGGTCGCGGAGGCGGGCCAGGTGCCCTCGCTCACGTCCACGAACAACTTCATCAACTTCTGCGCGACGGTACCTCAGCTCCCCATCACGAACGGCAAGCAGATCACGGCCGGGTCGTGCAACCCCGCGCCGATGGGGATCATCGCCGCGTTCACGAACATGCCCTCCTCCAAGTTCGTCTTCCCCTCGAACGGCGCGGTCGTGCCCGCGAACACGAACTTCACCGTCCAGCTCGCCGTCCGGAACCTCGTCACGGGCAACTTCGTGAACGCGAACGAGAGCTTCTTCGCCGCGCCGCAGCAGACGGACGCCGCGTCGGGGAACATCAAAGGCCACTCGCACATCACGATCGACCCCGTCCCGAGCGCGAACAGCACGGACCCGACGGACCCGACGAAGTTCGCGTGGTTCAAGGGCCTGAACGCGGCCGCGGACGCGAACGGGATCCTGAGCGCGACGGTCGCGGGCCTCCCTGCGGGCGCGTACCGCGTCGCGTCGATCAACACGGCGGCGAACCACCAGCCCGCGCTCGTCGCGGTCGCCCAGCACGGGGCCCTCGACGATATGGTCTAGTGAGTGCACCCACGTTTTGTGTCTCCCTTTGTCGAGCTCTCCTCTGACAGTGTGACATCAGCTTCACCGTGGCATAGGGGCGCTGTGTCCATCGTTTGCTCGTTACGAGTCGTGCTACGTTAAGACAGCACATGTGGAGTACTCATCGGGGATGAGTGTGCGCCCTCGCGGTGCTCTGTGAGCACTGCGTAGCGCTGCCCCATAATGCGGCTCCCTCTCTTAATGACAGGTCTATGAACCCATGCGGCCTGTGTGTTGTGCCAAGGCCTGATCTCGGATTTCTGACTGTGTCCCGTGGAAACCTTGCCTACAGTCGACAGGAGTAGTCAAAATTCAAGGTATGGTCTCCGCTTTGACGTGCGATTCCAATCAGGCGACTCGGTAGCAAGGAACCGACTTCGATCCCTCTGCAAGCTCTGACCACCCTAGGTTGCCATCCTCGACTTGGTCGACGACCCTGTTGCATCGAGCACGCAGAAGGGCGATAGGGGGAGCGGTGCTCCTCCTCTAGACTCGCACCGGTGACGATTCCGACGCGATACTGGGCCAGAATCGTTCGCGTAGTCGCCGCACCTCTCAATCTCTCTGCCCCGGACCGCTTGGTCGAATCATCTACCAAATCGCCGTCTTCGTCTACCCCTAGTCATCGGAAATTGGCCCTATGGCCGATGGCCGTCTTCCTCCTCCGGATCCATTCTCATGAACAAGTATATCTCTATCTCACCGAGCTACTCAGCGATTCAGCGGTCCTGTTCGGGTTGACGGCACCACTCCTTTGGGACAAGGCCCTTTTTTTCGCTTGTACACGGCGACTCGATTCATCCGCGGCATCAGGCATCATCAGAACGTGTCGTGGGCACACACATCGCACTTTTAGGAACTCGCACGGCAGGGAACCAGTTATTTTCGATCCTCGAAAAGGCGGTGAGAAGGGGACGCAATAGTTCCCCCTTCCTCGCCATTATTGGGCAACTTTTTGCGCCGTTACAGCGATTACTACCGGAAAATTTTCCCATGACTTCTGGCGTGGCGGAAACAATGCCTGTTGCAAACACTTTCCGACCATCAATAAGTGGTCATGCTGTTTACCGTTATGGCGACTTTCTGCCTATTCTATACATCATTGGATCTCTCAGGCCATATATCACTGGGGGAAATGCCCTAGATGGCAAGTAGTCATTTTGCTCGGATGGCCAAAAGGGGTTGGCGTTGCACGACATAGGTGGCAAGTTGCCATGATGGTAAATGCTACAACCACTTTTCGACGGTCGAAAAGCTCTGAGAATGGGCATTGATTTCGCCATGTTAATACTCGTGGGAAACTGATGAGGTAGTGTACCATTTATCAGCCCGAAAACTTGTCCAATAGTGGTGAGGAAGGTACACTATTGCGTCCCCTTTCTTCTGCCTTTTCGAGGGTCGAATACATCCGGTTCCCTGCTGTGTCGGTGAGGGACGGCTCAGTATCAAGAGAGGTCAATTTTAAGATTCGTCGCCCGCTGTTCCCCCCAAAATGCACCTAAAGGCTGCCTTAATGAACTACAACACACCGGTGATCAATCCAGTCCCTTATCCATCTGGGCGTACGTGAGTCGTCAACAAGACTACCGCAGGCGGAAGGTCGGAACTGTCAACAGGACCGGTGACGTGCAGCGCAGGCCTGCTGCTATAGACCTGTACGTCCTGCCAGAGGAACGGCGAACCGCACGCGATATGGTGGCAATGCTAGCAGACAGACAGGGACAAGACAACCGATCAGCTTTTCTGCGACGTTGTTCTGGTCCTATCGCCGACAGCTGAACCAGCTTTGACGTTGCTGCTGTCGATCTCCCGGGGTGTGTCGAGGACTTACTCAGGGGGGAGCTGGTCGACATGAACGCCATCGTTTTAGGCGACCGGGGACCCCGAGCCCTCTGGAGACATCGCTCGTTCAGGTGGTCTGCTTCCGAGATTCGTGAGAAACACTATTGTAAGGAAAGGGGCATGCAAAAGACTACCCAGCCCAGCTCACGGAATCGTGACTCGTAGTAAAATGCAGATGTAGAGCGTGGCTCAAAGGGCCGTCGTCGTAGACAATTCGTATGTGCATATATTGGTGGTGAAGGCCAGTTAATGATTCGTCGATCTTGCCATGCACTAACTGAGAAGAGCAATATTGTCTTGAAAGGTCCGGATTGATCCGTAATGGGTCTATATATGGTAATATAAACGCCCGCTTCCCCCCTTGCATTCCGTCTCTCTGCTCGCATTCCGAGCGTCATGCTAGAGACTCGTGTACGAAGGCGCATTGAAAGATGCCCCGATACGTCAGTCATCTGGTCTGCGAGTACTTGCAATGCACTCACTCTACAGCATTTTGCATAATTCCGTGGATATGCTGTTGACTCTTACGGGCGTTTACGATCCATCAAGGGCAGGTGCTATGATAGTAGGCCTTCGCGTTCAAGAACGAACAGTTGGAATCTATCTATTAGGCGGATGTGTGCCAAGACCATCGTGCGCGCTATGTATGTGCAGGTACAGTACGTATGTACATATGTCCAGAACGACAGCGATCTCACCCCTCTGCAGTACGTCACCGGTGAGCGAGGCGTTAGACGCCCATCGCAGAGCGCGATTGTACGTCAGTAGCCCGTCCGGGGTAACGCCGCGGGGGTCTGGAGCAGCGTGCGCATAGCAGAGTGGCGAGGCGCAGGGCTCCGGAACGCTGCTTCCTTTCCATCTCCAGCGATGTCTTCCCTGCGCCGACTGCTTCAGACGCGAAATTCGAATGACGCCCACGATAGTGTGACGTCATCAGTTAAAACCCTGCTCATGACGCGTGTTGGCGCTGCAGTCCGAGTCAAACCACCCCGACGTCACTAAGTACTCTTCGCCCTGGTATGCACAACCTATAAAACTCGTCACACAAGGAGAGGCAATCTCTATCACAACGCCTCCAACGCCTTCTACAACCATCTCGTCTTATCCACTCGCAACCCTTCACGAACTTCACGACCCACTACCAACACTTTCACTATGGTACGCATGCTCGCCTCGTCGCCCTTATGCCCGTCGCTGACATTACCGTCGTATAGGGTTCCATCATCTCTGCCATTGGCGGCGCCATCATGTCCATCATCTCTGCCATCGCAGGGGTCATTGAAGCCATCGTCGGTGCGATAGTATCCGTACGTCGCTTACAACATTTCTTTCCTCTCAGCACTCGCTCACCCTACTTCTTCAGATCCTTCTCGCGATCTGGGACTTCTTCGTCTGCATCATCTGCTGCGAATGCTTCAGCGGCGGATCCCGCCGCAGCACAAGAAGTCGCGGCGGCGGATTCGGAAGGCGCAGGGGCGCGGCCACCTATTAAGTCGGCGTCGCAGTAGAGTCGGATACCCTGCCTCCACGTGCCCCTTCTGACGGACCCACGATGTATACTTATACCATGTAACCTTCCCCCCTTACCCCCAACATTTACCTAATTCACGATGTATTGCACACACGATCACATAACCAGACGTCGGTGACTTGAGCTGCTGAACCAGATCCCGAACTGTTCCCCACGCTCTATGACCCATGAATTCAATCCACGTGCGATTTTGAATGTACTTACTCCAACATCTTGTCACAAGTCGCTGAAACATACCAGTGAGTCGAGTTTGCCGCTATTGCATTGCAAGTATGTCGCGGTCAACGTGACGTCGAATAGGTCCGAAGGAGACGAGGCTGTCGTTCCTCTTCGCATGATCCGCCTACGCATGCTATCGATTTGAATCCGCTTCTGGATACTTCCGTCCACCCAAGCCCTTCCTTGTCTTGGATCATCCCACCCGGGAGGGCTTGCGTATCGCACCAGGAGAGCACTTCCGGGGAGACGCAGCATACGCCAACGGGATGCGGCTTCATTCAGGCCCCTGGCGTTCCTTGTGCATCCTTCGTGTGACCCATCTCTTCCTCCCCCTCAAGACATCCATCTTTCGTCGTCTTCATGTGACAGACTTGGCCCGCATACAGCAAGACCACTAGTGGCGGCTCATGCCTTTGGACCTCGCCGTCCAGTTCCTTGAGATTTGCGGAGCCTCGAGGAGCTCAGACCGCACTTTGTGCTGCCTTTCTTCTCTAGAGCATCCGACCTCGTCGTACCATTGCCCCGTCACCGTCGCCTCGAGGTGCTCTCGAAGGTGAGCTCGACCTTGCGCGACCCGGAGGGCCTCGCCCCTCTCGTCGCCCTCGTGCTTCTGCCGCATGTCGAGACTCGATCTGCCCCTCACGCCCTGGTCCACGTCCACGTTCACGTAAGTCCACGTCTCCGCCGCCGGCCCGCCCCGCCGACGTCTGCCACCTGTCGTGCATCCCACGCGGCCCCTCCCTTCCACATCCCCACACTCACGCACGCGACCGCCGCCTGCCTCCGCCGCGAGTCCTTCGCGTGCTCCGAGCCGGGCGGCGGCACGCTCGAGTCCGCCAACGCCAACGCGCACGAAGAGCGCACGTACGACTCCGCCACATTTGCGCCCTGCTCGCGTGCGCGGACGTCCCGGAGACGCTCACGGCGCACCTCCCTCTGCGCAGCCTGCGTGTCTTGCGGTTCGACGCCATCCCGTGGAGGAGCGGCGTCGTGGGCCCCATGATCGGCGCCGGGCTTTGCGTGCGGGCGTGTGGGAAGCGATGGGGGCGGCGCGGCTGGCGGAGCTGTACGTCGCGGCGTACGGGGGCGCGAGCCGGGGGACCTGCGCGCCGTGGCGCAGCACCGCGCGGACATGGAGGTGGTAGGACGTTTCGTGGACGAGCCCGTTGGTGGACGAGCCCGTTGTGTGCGCGATGCGAGCGGCCGCGCGCGTTGCGTCCCCGACGTTTTGGGCTGTACACGGGACGCGGTCGGCAGTATATTCTGTGAGGGCAGCGATGCCGACGCTCAGCGCTCAGCGGGCAATTCGGATACACTGTGAAATGTCTATGCACATAATCCACGCGCTCAGCTGCATCTCCTGGAAACGTTCTCGTGAACGGGCCGACATACCATAAATAAAAGAAGGAGGGATTACGGCGAGAGTAACCCGTCCATCGCTCTGATCAACATCAGGACTCACCTCGGACAGCCCGCTGGGGCGTCCTCTTCGTGCCGCTCTGGCACTGTGTCCGTGTCGGGGCTTGTGCATAGCTTCTCTAGGCCGAGCGGAGATGGAATCTACTTACCCTGTGCGGTCCGATCCTAGGCTGGTGACCGTGCAACAAAGACACTTGGACATCTCCTTGCGAGTACTTCTATGCCGATGGAGCACGTCAGAGGGGTATCTATCACGTCAGGAAGAAACAGCCGACACAAAGATCCGAGAGATGACAGATACTGCAAGGACGCACGCCAACAGGGTTCAATGGTTCTATGAGCTTGATGTGAGAGGAGGCCGCCCTTTCGTGATGTACGAGCCCAACCGTGGCGACCGCCTTGAGATCCTCGCATCTGTTCCGCCAAAAATAAAGTATCAGGATCGTGTTCGACATTTTGTAGACGGATTGCGGCGAGGGTACCGGCACGTGCCTGAGAGCGGGTATGCACAGTGCCAGAACATCTGCGAATCAGCCGCCGATGCCGATGCCGTTGGGACGGTGGGTACGAAGATCTGATGCAGGGAGACGTCAATAGACCTTGCGGAGACAATGCGGCGTGTGTTGTCGAAGGCGCGCGGGATGGATGGCGTAGACAGAGATTGGCCGGACATCGAGTTCGGCGTGCGGAAGAGCAGGGAAACTTTGTTGAATGGGCTGGTATCCAAGGTAGTGCGGACAGAAGATTAATATGAGAGGGCTTCGGCGGTCGGCGTGGATGACAGAACGAACGGAAGAATCAAAATCCAGGCACGCCCACGCGGACCTATTATGGAGTGCACTGTCGCACAAACCCAATCCTCTATAAGTTATCGACTCTACGGCGTATTACATCATGAAGCGCGCAACAAACGATGCGTCTAAGGAACGGAGAGCTTGTTTTGACTCGCAAATCAAGCAACGGTGAAGCTGGAGACGGAACGATCAGCTTCTTGCGTCGGCCACCTCGATTTGCGATGACACTTACTAGACCATGTCGTCAAGAGCCCCGTGCTGGGCGACAGCGACAAGAACAGGCTGGTGGTTCGCGGCCGAGTTGATCGAAGCCAGGCGGTAGGAGCCTGCAGGGAGACCGTTGGGCACCTCGGCCGTGAGGAGACCGTTCGCGTCCGCCGCGTTGTTGAGACCCTTGAAGAAGACGAACTTGGTCGGGTCCGTGGGCTCGGTGCTGTTCGCGCTGGGGACGGGGTCGATGACGACGTGCGAGTGGCCCTTGATGTCGCCCGAAGCGGAGTCCGTCTGCTGGGGCGCGGAGAAGTAGTTCTGGGCCGCGTTCACGAAGTTGCCGGTGACGAGGTGCTTGATCTTCATCTGGATGGTGAAGTTCGTGTTCGCCGGGACGGTGGCGCCGCTCTGGGGGAACACGAACTTGGACGAGGGCATGTTCGTGAAGGCGGCGATGATCCCCATCGGCGCGGGGTTGCAAGAACCGGTCGTGATCTGCAGGCCGTTGGTGATCGGCAGTTGGGGAACGGTCGCGCAGAAGTTGATGAAGTTGTTCGAGGAGGTGAGCGAGGGCACTTGGCCGGCCTCAGCTACATCCTGCCCGTTGTTCGCGAAGCCGGTAGCGATGACGGATTGGACGAGCGTGAGCGACGACTGAGCGTCGCCACCGGCCGCGGCACCACCTGCAGCGTTGTCGCCAGCAGATGCAGTGCTGGTAGCCTACACAAGTTCTTTCAGTATGTGTCCTGCAGATTGCGGTAGAGTACATACTGCTGCAGAGTCGGTTGCGGTCGCGGCGACACTCTCCGAAGCAGCAGCGGAGGTGGCGGCGACGCTTGCCGAGGCAGCGACTGATGCAGCTGCAGACGTAGCCGCGGCACTAGACGCGGCGGCCACCGAAGCCGCCGCAGAACCGGATGCAGCAGCCACCGAAGCGGCTGCCGAACTGGATGCGGCTACGTCTGAGCTGGAAGGCGCCGTACTCGAAGCAGCTGCGCCAGCGTGGGGCTGACCACCGAAGTTGAAGCCAGGCCGGCCGCCCCGGAAGCTTTCTCTGCCACGAGCCAGGTTAAGTGGCTTAGCCGAAGCAGCCACAGCGAGGGAGAAGACAATGAGGGACGCGGAGAACTTCATGATGATGGAACCAGCCGAAGGGGACGAAGGAAAAGGCGGTCTACGCGGTAGAGTGCAAGCAGGGAGAGGAAAGGTAAGTGCTAGAGGACTCCAGGTCACCGAGGAGATTGGAAGCCAGAGGAGACGAGTATTTGTACTCTTCAGCCCCATTCCTGGTCGCCCTGACTGCGTTCGGTATTAGGTATCAAGATACGATATGCCGGTGATCCCAACATTGGAACATCGGAAGCCCGCTCGAAACTAGTTGAACTGTCCAGCGGTCGCGAGGCATCGCCATTCGCTGACCCCAACCGTTCGGTGTGAGATTCAGAAAGATGGCCGGATTCGAAGGTGGTAGGCACGCGTGCTTTGGTCTCGGGAGGGCGCAGGTTCGGAGCGAGGAGGCGACCCGACAATGAGAGCGGGCTGCGATCAGCATGGGAAGGGTCAAGCATTGCTCGTGCTCGAGGCGGGATGACAGTGAGAATTCTCATCCCATTGGCCTAAGGGATGCACCGGGAGGCTGTAAATAGCGCGACAGGAAACGCCACACAGACATCGGGACAGTTGCCTGACATAACCTAAAATAAGACATCATTACTGCGAGAAAATAGCCCGCCGACCGTCGCGAAGTGATGATGAGCTCTCACCTCGGGAAGGTATAGACCACAGAGAGCAGCTGAGCAGCCCCTGTAGACTGCAAGACCGTTCATCCGAAGGTTCCCGCTGCCAGTGGTCTCCTAGAGGATCCTGTCGTGACTAGGCAACGAGAAACTCTATGGCGGCGAATTGCATGGCATGCGATGCCGCTCGACTTCTATTGGGCCCGCGAGAGAACCGCGCGCGCAAACATCGACTACACTGCCGGAGAAGCGATGCTGAACACAACTCGGCCCACTGGGTCTCCTGGGCTTCAATGGGGGGCAGGGTCGCCTGCACTGACCTTCATATTCTTGATTAGCTTAGGACAAAAAAACAGCCTCTCAATACTGGTACTCGAAGGAGCTCGGGCGAAGGCAATATGCCAACTTGCGCCAATCCTAGAAGATGAATACTGAGCAAGATTTAGACGAAAGCATAATGGCATTGCTCACTGACAATGTGTTTAGCATGCATATACTGGGAGTATCAGCAAATCGAGTACGCTGCCGCTTCCAATAACACCGCCGGGCGGAGTTTGAAGCTGCGCGGAGGGCGAGTCGGACATTCAGCGGCCGACCGAGGACTGCGTCGGCAAGCTCAATGAACTCCGTCCTGCGCTTCGTCTCGAGGCCACGACATCTGTACCTTATTTGCCCATATACCTCATTCTCAACAATACCCGGAGTCATCTGCCTTGCTTTCGAATCTTGTTACGAGTGGTCGCCAAGTTTTGTTCGCTCACTCGACAACGTGCGAGTATGCTGCACCGCCCGACGTCTACAACGTACGTACGTGGACGGCAGTGACTCCGTTCGTGAGCGGAAGGCAGAAAGCGTCAGGTTGACTTTCTCTCATGAACAGTCATCCCACGTCTACACAGTACTTGCGCGCGATGCATCGCGTCGTGCTGACCCGGTCGTGTCGGCGGGCATAAAAGGCAACCTAGACGCTCAAACATGTACTCGGCGTGTTGCATAGTGCGTTTGAGGGGTCCATTCCGGCAGCTATCAGTCCTGACGACATTACGAAGGATGGGATCCAGGAAATTCACAGTGTATGCCGTACTGGAAGGTTTGCTGGGTTCATCGCCCCGACGACGCGCTCCGCATGCTGAGATTTGCTATTACCGAATTCCATGAAACTGAAGATCATGATAATCATTGTAGAGAACACATAAGTTGACGTCCCAGGGTAGTTCTAACTTCAGTATGCATGATGAACGAGCGTACATAGGTACAATTACCAGATAACGGAGATAGTCGGGGGCATACAGCATGTCGCAAAAGCAGCTCAAAAACCTTGACGATACAAGAAAACATAGAGAGGCAAAAAGAAGGACATATGATCTTGAAGATGTGGTCTGACATCTAGTTCGTTCCCATCAAGATAGTCAGGTGCCGCACAATGGCATCAGCAGCCTCTTTAACGGACTCCCGGTGATCCAAAGACACCTTAGAAAGCACGGTGCCGCGACCAATGAACTTATCCGGATGCCAACGAAGCATTTCGACCTTGAGGATCTCCTTGCGAGACTTGCCAGCAGCTCCCCGCCTTAAGGAGCTGAAGACGAACTCTTCGACAGCCTCGTAGGTGATGGCGGCAGGGGCGGGAACATTGTTCGCAAACACAGGGAAGGGGAAGTCTGTGTAGCGGATGCTGCCGTCGGGGACCTGGTTGGCCTTGATCTTTCCCCAGAGCTCGTCGTAACGGTTGGCGATGCCGACCTTGAGTTGTGTAGCGAATTGCTCGCGGGCAAGGCGCTCCTGCTCAGCCTTCTGCTGGATGAGGCGTTGTGTGGCCTCCTGTTGGCGCGCTGCCTCTCTCTCCTCTATGAACCTTTGTCGGGCCGCCTGCAGGCTGCGGATGATCTCCTCGTCTTTGCGCTTGCGCTCGATCTCCTCTTGCTGGCGGCGCAGCTCCGCCTGGCGAGCACGCTCTGGCCACTCGCGCCGCCACTGCTCCTCCAGACGCTTGCGCTCCTCCTCCTCCCTCTGCTCCCGAAGACGTCGCTCCCGCTCGGCCATCTCGCGCTCACACCGGAGCCGATGGAGTTCTGCTTGGCGCAGTCGCTCTTCCTCTTGCTCGCGCTGGAGCCTCCACGCCTCCTTGCGGCGCCGCTCATACTCTTCCTGCTCGCGCCGGTGACGTTCCGCCACCTCGCGCTCGATCCGCTCCCTCTCTGCCCTTGCGACTGCCCGCCGTTTCTCGCCCGCCTGCTTGAATCGAACCATCTTCTGGTGGATGGGGTGGAGGGCCTCCGCGCGCTCGCACGCTTCAGCCATGTTGTGGTAGTCCTCGCGAAGCCGGCCTTGGATGTCGATCTGCCGGAGGCGCGCGAGCATGATCTCGTCCTCGGGCTCGAGACCTTTCTCTTTGAGTTGATCGACGAGTTTGCCGACGAGGACACGGCCTGTGGGCTCTGGCTCTGGCTCTGTTCCAGAGGGAGTGGCAGGGCCAGGGGTGGTCGAAGCGGATGAAGACGGGGATCCGGACGAAGATGCTTGAGGCTTGTGGTTAGGGCCAGCCGGACCACCGAAGCGGTTCGGGGGCTTGGACGTCCTGATGGCGTGCATCTTGGCGAACTCCTCGGGGGTGGGGTAGTCCGGGGAATCACGGACAGTAAGTCCAGTTACTGGATGGACCGTGGTGCGAGGGTAGACTAGTGGCTGGCCGGTGATATCGTTGAGAGGGCGGTCGGAGTGGAAGGGGTTAGGCGTGTTGTAGAGGGAGCGTGCTTGGAGATTGACATGGCGCTTGGCGGAAGGGCTAGATGGACCGGGCTGCGGAGGTTCGAACGGCTTGTGGGGCTGGGTATGACTAGCCTTCTTCTTGGGCCCCATCTGGAAGAAATGCTTCTTGGGAATTTGGTCGAGACGATAGGTGAACATCGCCGTGGTATGGTGGCGTCTTGTGTGTGGGTGGGCTTGTGTACCTAGTGAATGGATGTGAGTCCGGCATGTGAGTGCAACAGCAGATAACCAGGCTTGGTGGTTGGTTGGTGGTTAAGGACACTCACGTGAACGAACTGGCTCAAGTCCGACTAGGCGTCGTGCGCTCTGCGCGATGATGCGAGTCGGTGGTGGTGGACCTTAGAGTGCTCGAGAGCGCGGGGGCGGAGGACTGGAGTGGTGAAGGGAGATGAACGGGGCAGAGAGCGCAAGCGAATGGTTCGCACCGTAATCGGAGCTTTATAGTCTGTTTTCATCGGCGCAGCCGCGTCATACTTCAACCGCTTTGGTCCCCATCCACAAGCGCTTGCTGATACCCGTGGTCGATACTAGGCTCCATCTTCTTTGTACACGAGCGACTCGACGCAGACCCTGAATCCAGAGCTCTGCGCGTTGAAGTGAGCCACAGGAAAGCTGAATACATACAAACTGTGTGTTTCGAAAGAGACCCGATTTTGTTCCATGCACGTAGGTGAGTGTCGCATTCGGCGATAGCGAGCAGGGACCACGGCCGCGGGCCTGACGAGGCGCGATTTCCACGCATTGTCCGGAATCATCTGACATCGAACCGATGGCCAAAGCAACACGATAAAACAGCGTGATACGCCCTTCAAAAAACCCTGGCTTCAAGCGCAGTCTTGTCCTACAACCATGACCGCCATTTGACAAGTGGGCTAAAATCACATTATTTGCTCAGACACATGGACGATGCCACTCACATCCAATACCACAAGTGGGCATGCAAGTGATGACTTCGACTTCTTGCTAAGGACGGTGGTAGAAATGTACCAAATGCAATTCTATCATCTGCATGAATCGAACGTAGCGTGAACCGCGGATATGTACAGATGAGGCACGCAGCTGGTCCTTGGACGATGGTGCTTGCTTCGTAGCCCGTGGACACTTCTACTCCTCCCACCTGTTGGCAGAAGAAAGGCTATTTGAAACGGAGTTTGTGGACAAAGCTGAGCGAAGCGCATACGAGGCCTGTCCTTGACCGATCTTCGACAATGCTTGTTCGTGTCGACTAGAGTTGCCTCCACAGCCTTTCGCACCCGAGTCCCGTACCACGCCAGCGGCGGACCCGGATGGAAATTGCCGACATGGCACAGTCATGGCCCTGATTAGCGCCGTTCGGCTCAGTGGTCCCTGAGTTGGCACCGTCATGGTGCTGCACTTGTAAGTCACCAGAGGTTACTTCTGTGAGCTCATGCTCTTGCGATATTTTGCAGACTGCTCGACGTAGAGGTGATTATGATCCTCTGAGTATCGGTGAGTCTGCCCTTCGTACTACCCGCCGTGCTGCTGGCTTTGCCTGCCCGGAGTGCGTCGAATTGACTCGGGTGTGAGCTGAGCTATACAGCCAAGTCTTCCTGTTGTATCGGGCCCAAAGGGATTATTGCGGATCGACTGAATGGCCTCGGCAGTCTCATGTGGGCACGTTGAGCTGGCGCTGGTCTAACATCGACGACTTCGCGAACAGCATTGAGTCATAGCCCCTGTTTTCTCTGTTCCGAACTTGCGTTGCCTACCTCGTGACCGTTAAGTGCTCTCTCAATTATAGGATGTCAATCACCTGCGGCCCTTCCGCTCTATCCGCCCGCAACACTAGTAGTCCGCCTCACTGTGATCTTCACTCGAGATCGAGGACGGAGGTAGGGGGTCTCTCAATATGATAGCGGGACCTCCCGAGCTAACTATCCTCTGTAGGACATGTCTGCGAATGAGTCGTGACGTAGACGGACACTTAGGTCGAGGTCGGGCACGGTCTTGCTTCGATGTTGCCGCTCAAGGGCATAGGCAAGCTAGGGACTCAGGCTTAGAGGTCTTGTGCGGCGCGACATCCAGTAATCGTTGTACATTACTGCACTGCACGTCCATCCCCGTTTTGCGATGGAAAGCGCAACTGACCTGCACTTCTTAGCAGACATGGGTGCTCCCGTGGAACAGGTCGATGACTACACTACTTTGATTATCGTCCACGGCTACGTCTGGTATAGCGGTGAGTCCCATCTCTCTATTATCCCGCTCTCTTGTTGGCCAGAACCGCAGAGATCCCGAAACCGCTTCTCCAGCACTCGGTTATCTGTAGCCCTGACATAATTCTCTTCCTTCGTCGCGACTGTCCCAGTTAGCAGCCGTACTCCAAGGAGGAACAGGAACTCATACCTGAGGTCTCCCCCAACCAAATTCGGTGAAATGCAAGACATTTTGCACAATCTCGACCAGTACATGGGATGCCGACCTCGCGAAGTCTACCCCTTGCTCCAGGAGCTGGTGAAGGGCCATGGAATCCGTAGGGCGGATCGCACAAGTGCGATGTCGGCTGCATCATTGTAGTATGTTCATTTTCGTACTCTCTGGATGCACGCCCTTCTCGCCAACGTGGGCTCCTTCCAGATAGGTGATGTCGGGCTGGCACAGTACGTTGGGGGGATCGTTCTGTACGGTGCATATCGTCTCGATGGCCTCTCAGCAGCTGGCTTGGTGCGGGTTTCGCTACAGAACCTCTCAGCTCTATCGCAGCCTTTCCAGATCCCGTCAAAGGCCCTCTGAACCCTTTCCTTGATCCTATTAACTCTCTCGAAGCAGACGGACAAGCCCTTCTTCCTGCATGGCTGAGCAGGCACCTTGCTCATGGTGACGCCGGGTGGCCGTTGATACGCTGGACAGACGCACACGTCTCGCTTCTCTGCCTCAGACGTTTCTTTCAAAGCCCCTGGATCCTCTGCAATATGGAACGTATGATACTCCTGACGACCGGGATGCTCTGACCGCACGCTTCTGTATAGTTACGTGTCTGTTGGATTCTTCGGACGTCTCAGTGAAAGGGCTCTCTGCCTCTTGAATACCGGCGCACCATCAGCTGGGGACGAGTGGCGTCATGTCGAGGTCCGGACAGCATAGGGAGCAGTCTGTTTGGGAGGTGTCGTACCCTGCAATTATTATGAGAAAGAGCTTCAAGCAGAACGGAGTTAGAGACTTGCGATTAGGACGTCAAGTTCGCGCGCGGGCGCGCGGCGCGAATAATCTTGTGAGTGGCTCTTTCTTAGTCGCGCTATCGGTGTATTCATCGCCGCCCTTCCACAGGCACACTGGCATCATCCGAAGGAAATGCTGCGCGCATTCCTAGAGAGCGCTGGAGACGGGAACATCGGGATCGATACCGACATTGATGGTGTTCGGGGCGACATGTCATAGAAGATGAAGATAATGTCACTGGCTAAACCATGGTTTGTTCAGTGCTATGTGCCATTGAGTGACATCCACCCATACAACTGTGTTTCCTCAGGTAGTCTCAGCCACCAATGCTTACAATGCTCTCTTCGTCTCCACAGTCTACGCAACCTGCCAAGGGACGCATTGCATGCATGATCCCTGCCTATCGCCGAGCGCTTCGCTCATGTGGTCAATTTAGACCACACAGAAGATGTTCAGAAGCTTTCGAGACAATACCACAGGCGCTTTCAAGGGCCTGTCTTGCCGCCGCACTCGCCACCATTCACACGACCGCCCATCTTCAGATATTGGGGTGAAGATGGGCGACTCATCGCATCGTCTGGACTCGCACATGAAGCCAATTAGGGAACATAGCATACCTCCCAGCGCATTCGCAGTGACAGGCGTCGAGTCCCGCCCGAAGATGTCAACTTTGCGCGGAGAAGCTCGCCGAGCCATGTGTGAGATGTAATGGTCACGAGGAACAATGGCACGAAGCAAGGGAGCGTCGCGGTTAAGGAGCGCGTACGTATATCAACTGCTACGTTTTCGACGCTGAAACAGCTCTCCTCCCCTTCTCCAGCTCGCCATGCCGGTGTTGCCTATTACCAACATCCTCCGCTTCAGCGTTCCGGATGCTATCCGCATCTCAACTCACGACGACTCTACATTCACGAACCCCCTCCCGACGTCGAGCTCCGGATTCACGTTGAACGCATTAGGAGTCGCCGGTTTCTTTGGTGGCGACAGTGCTGTCAACGGGATGGCTACCGCGAACCTTGTCCCGTACCGCCGCTGGTTTGGCTGGTACAATACTCCAGGCAGTTATGAGATCGCGAAGAAGTTCGGCCCCCTCGCTGACTGGGCGATGAGCGATGGACTCTTCCCCGGAGGTGAACACGACCCCACGAAGCTGTTTGGGATCCACGGCAAGGAGGGCCCACCCTTCATTGCTGTCCACTCCGGCTCGAATTTCCCGCATACACAACATCCTGCGTACCTGATGATGAAGAAGACGCGGAGCTTGCCGCCTACTCGACATACCAACATTGACGGCAGACGCACCATACGCACGACTGTGACGATCGTCAATCTCCGGCACGTACCTAATGTGACCGAAAGGCCGCTACTTCCCTTCTCATGGGGCTACTCCGCGCTCCTCGCGCTGGTGCCAATCATCGTCAGCGTGCTCGGGTGCGCTGGATGCATCTTCGTCGCGGATTGGTTCTGCCTCGCGAGCATCGCGCTTGGAATCGTAGCCAACGGCCTGTCGTGCTTCGTCATCGGCTCCGGCAACCTGACGTTCGAGCATCACGAACCAGCCGAGAAGGCGCCCCCAGGAGATGGTGTACTGAAGGGAGACTCGGACGTAGTGCTGCTCATTGGAAGAGAGGGCGCCATCAACGCCTTCGTGCGGGGTCGCTTCACCCTGCAGTTCCGGGAGCACGTGAAGGAGAGACCAGGTCCACGCCGCGGCGAAGAACGGAGCCCGGAGATGGTGCAGTCCTATACAAATCGTCGACAGCAGCCGAAGCGATTCGTGCCTCCTCAGGGCGCCATCGGGCCTTGTGCGATCATGCTCATTGTGCAGTTCCTGTCCCAGCTCTTGCTCATCCCGCAGGGCACACTCTTCGGACAAATCATGTTCGTTGCAACGCTGGGCGCCTCGTGGCTGTATAACGTCTTCCTCTCGTCCATCGATCGCGAGGGGATCCAAACGCGGATCCTGTTCGACGTCCTCAAGATCGACGAGGAAAAAGACATCCAGAAGTACGAGCTCAACACATGGACGGAAACCACCGCATTCACCTGTCTCGTGCTCGCGTGGGTCTACCACATCAAGGCACCGAGCGAGTTGTTGGATGGGATGCTCCCCAACAACACACTTGTATGGAGGGCTTGGAAGGAGACTATGGCCAGGAAATTGAGGAGCCAGGCACTCTTTCGGAGAAACACTGGTTTCAACTTCACCGATGAGGACTGGGAGGGCGATGGCCTAGATCCTGCAGACAGAGATCTGCTACAGACTTTCTTGACGGATTCGGAGAACGCTTGGAAGGCATGGACCGCTGTTCGAGATACACCTCAGATGAAGGGGCTTCGACCACTTGTGGGGGGTAATGCATAAGATCTGCAAATGCGCATATTGTCCGCATTATCCCCTGCTATCTACTACTACCTTCTATGTACTGTCCTCTTGAGATGGGTACTCGAGAATGATCTGTCCGTCCACAAGTGCATCGCCGTCCAGCCCGAGATCGCCGAGCACCTCAGTGAAGGTCGGATCTCGTCGACCCTCAGCGTACATTTTACGGCACAATCGCAACCGCAGGATGGACAGCTTGCGCTGGCGCTTGTTACGCACCATGAGAGAATTGACGAGGGTACGGAGCTGATTCCTATTCAAGGCCATATCCTTAAGGGCCAGTGAACGCAGTGCTGGTGCAAGCAGCTCGTCCTTCTTGACCTTCTTCAGCGCATGCATCAGGTCCCGGAACATACGCGATAGGTCCTCGTCGATGACAAAAGATCCGCCTATGGTCAAGGACCTCAAGCCAGGGAATTTCCGCAATAGCCGGCACCATGCTTTCCCTTCGAAATGAGCGCCAACGATCAGCTCCTGCAGAGGTGATCGAGCGAAGAGCGTGCAGAAGTCGGCCAGTCTTTGCTTTGGTGCGTAGCTCCACTGGTCGAAACGGCCGTAATAAGTGTCCCGGAGCGTAACGAAGAGCCTTCCTTGCCCAGAACAACCGTTCACCTCCACTAGGAACGACGTAAGGGAGATACTCCCCGCAGTGGCTTTGGTGAGGATCCCGAGACAACCTGAGGTATGGTATGAAGAAGTCCACCATAGCCGCGGTTCTCCTGATCAAACACCTGCGAACAGACGTACACCTCGGCGGTAGCCGGCAGCCGGAAGTGAGAGAGAAGGTGAAATATCTCTGGCGAGTCAGGCTCGGACGAGGCTGGACAAAGGAAGCGCGCCATGCTGATGCTCGGTAGGTGAACGGTGACGTCGGATGACATGTTGCGACTGCCATTCGGCCCGCTATAGGCATTGAAGGGCCACAGACGCAAGTTGAGCATGAGCTCTTCGAGACCTTGGCATTCTTGGAGTATGCGGAGGAAGGCGTCGAAGGTGAGAGTTGGAGTCTCCACCCTGCTGCCCACGTCATGTAGATATAGTCTTCGGAGCCGCCGAAGAGCAGGGGCATGCCAGTCGAGAGGCGCGCTGTGCTGGTAGTACAAGGTCTGCAACGCCGGCAGAAAGAATGCAGTGACTTCGATTCCAGGACGTGCGCGTCTCGCCTCAATGCTGGAGGCGGAGACGTACAGGTCTGTGAGAGCGCCCATGATCGATGGATTGAGAAGGGAGCGGAGAAGGGATATGGTGCCGTCCGTACACTTGAGCAAGACGAGCCTGCGGATACGAGGTCCATTGTTCGATAGGAGGTCGAGCACCGACGGGAAAGCCGTTGGAGTATGGATAGTCACAGCTACTGAGAGCGCACCTTTCGTCCGTTCGAAGCAGAGTTCAGCCCACTCTCGTCCGCGCCTGATGTGTATAACCTGAAAGAGAGCGGGGGTCGTGTTGACGACATGTCGCCAGCTACTACAGATGCCAGCAACTCGAAACCAGCCATTCCTTCTCTAATAGACGTCCCAGGTATCAACACTGTCATCGCGCGCACGAGCTTCCCTAGCGTGTAGGTCGAGGAATACCAGGCGGAGCAGTTTCGGTGGAAGTCTGTTAGCGATAGTACTGGTAGTCCAAACCCCTTCCGGATCCATCGTATGGGAGTATCCTAGGCTGGAGTGATGATGGCCTGGGAGCTCTATATGACAATTAGTGATAGGAAAGGCGTGCTTAAGGTGAGTGTGCGTACCATCTGGAGTGGCCGAGCCTAGTAGCGGTTGAGGCCCTCAGCGCATAGATCTCCGAGAAGAAATATGGTGCATGTGGCCACTCAAGCGTAACGCGTAGATTTACCATCACAATCTAATCATTACGGAGCAAACGTATCAATATTGTGTCCACCTTGCAATGACAATTGTTGCGGTCTCGAATCGCGGACCATTGCTTAAGCTCGACACAAGGAAAGCTTGAGGTTCCAAGGCAAGAACGATTCATTGGCGTTCGCTGCCATTGATCCGGGTTTTCCCGCATAAACTACAGTTACTTCCTTTCCCACAAATGCCAACCCACATAAGATAGATTTCAAAGAAGGGTCGTCGACCCAAGCACTTTCTCAATAACAACCGTTGAACGTGCTAGTGCGTGAACACTCCCAATCTTTGTTCGATACCCGTTCCTCTCAACGCTTCTCATAAGTCCACCTCCCTGCCAGGCGTCTTTTCCAACTCCTCCGCAGAATCGGCACCCAAGACCGCCCCGAGATTACGTGGAGTCTCCGTCCCGGTGCCGTCCCTTTCGTTCCAGCTTCTCGACAGGATGGCTTCCACCTTCTCCAAAGCAGCGTGTCGCGCGCGAAACCGTTCCGCTGGTGTGGCCCTTCCGTACCTTTCCGCGCGCGCCTTATCCGGTGAGCCCGAGGACGCGGTCGTGAACGACTCGGAAACAGTGTCCACCGAATCGTTGCTGTCCGCCCGCTTGGCATGTGGTGGCAGGGGGACGTAGGTCTGAGGCATCCTCTGCGGGGACTTCTTCAGGCGATTGCGGAAGGGCGATGACTCTGCGCTAGACGGGAAGGGAAGGAGTGGCGGCTGACGGTGTGTCTTGAGCTTCCTGTGGTGCTTTGCGTTGGGAGGTGTTGCCGGTACGCCGGAATTGGCCCTTGCACTCGGGGGCTTGCTGACTCTCAAGGCGGAGAGCGCAGGCAGCTGGAGCGCGTGTAAGGAGGCGGTCGATCCGAAGAGAAGCTGAGACTCGAGGGCAGGAGAGGTGACAATAGGCGGGCTTGAGAGCAAGATTGATGACTCGTAGCGGTTTATCCCGGGTCGCGCAAGTCGAGGTGGAACAGGAGACGTCGAGGAGTAGACAGACGGAGACGTAGATACATCGGTAGTAGTACGCTCTAGTGTAGTGGTGATTGACGTCGAGGGGTATGGACCGCGTCGTTCAGGGAGCCTAGTGTACTTGTCGGAGTCTTGGCGCTGATGGCTTGAGGCCGACGACGGCGCGCGAATGAAGTCGACGTCTTCGTTGTGCAGCGCTCCGGATACAGGGTCCTCGACTAGTATACGGAAGCCAGGCGGCGACAAGACTTGCTGAGACCTAGTGCGCGAAACCGTTGGTCTCCGAGAGGGAACAGGAGTGCCACCAGCAAGAGGTGTAACATGACCGTCTGTATCAGTACGTCTATGTCCGATGCGATGCTGGACGCTACTCAGGGATGTTGCGCTGCGGGCGCGACCATTGATCTCGACATCGTCATCCGTAGTCATCCCACGCTCGTAGTTCGCCTTGCGCGCGCTACCGAAACGGAAGCGATCGAGGATAACGCGCTTGATGGACTTGTTCCTCGTCGTCTCGTAGAGCACCGCGTCGCCCGCCCGGCTGGATTCTCCATAGGGATCGGACGAGTTGACTGATTGCGACGGAGTAGACATGCCTGTTGCACGACCCGCCTGCATAGGTGTACCGTCCGGCGCGTCTACCGCAGTGGATTCCGCGTTGCCTAGGAAAGTATCATGTTCCGCTGAGCCAGGCTCTGGATGATCTCTCGCAGCGGTCTCAGGTGGTTGCTCTGGCTCCCTCTCCTCCGCCGACGGAACAGGCAGGGTCTTATTGCGACGCAACATGCTGCGACCAAGCCAAGTGCGGACCTTGCTATTACCTCTGGCTGACTTCGGAGAACGCGCGGCGTCGAACTCCTGGTCGTCCTCTCCTTCGTCCATGAGAGATGCCGTCACTCCGGATGCCGCATCCCTGAAGCGCGATGCTGGTCCGTAAGGCGGCCCAGGTAGGAGGGCCGACTCACGAGAGCCGGAGCGAGATGCCCGACTGCCGAACAGCGGCAAGTATCTGTAGGTCAACCAAGCAACGGCGGCGCCGAATGCGGCAGCGAGGATACCGAACAGAGGTGCGAGCCAAACGATGTCGAATTCGCCTCCAGTCGACTTCGATTGTGTCGTACGAGCTCGGTTCAGTGTGATGGAAGATTCTTTACTGGCAGGTGGCAAAGCAGTGATGTGCACTAGAGAAAACGATGTCGTAGCAGGAGTAGCGGCAGAAAAGACAGGAGTATCGGCCGTTGTCGTCGTGAAAATCGTAGTCGTCGCAGTGACACTGAGGCTCGCAGCCTCTGCAGCAGCCAGAGAGGACAGAGACAAGGTAGGTACCGTCGACGTTGGCGGTGAGGCGCTAGTGCTCTGGCCCCAGGAAGGATATGGCCACCAGTCGAACGACGACGTTGTAGTTGGCGTGTTCTGTCTCTTCACGACGCTGCCGGAGGTATGCGGGGAGAAGGGTTGACCGGTCGGATGGCTCCAAACATGTCCTGCAATGATGAAGAAAAAGCAAAGAGAAAATCGCAAGCCGAGTCCCAGACATGGCCTGCATGCTACTACCGTTGATGGTGCTGTTGTCATCTGGGTTCATGTTAGATGCGCGGCGCAGGAGGTCCATGACGTTGACTTACTGGCACTCTACTGGGATACTGCTGCCGGCTCCGCCAAAGGAAACAACGCGAGAGAAGGGGAGGGAAGGGTCATACAGAGGCTCACCGTTCATAGGGGCTGACATCTAATACGAAGCTGCATGAAGTCTGAGAACGCGCGATTGATCAAGTCCAGTCGTCCAGGTTTCGAAAAGTCAGCCTCTTCAGCATAGTTGCCAGGCTCCACGGAAACCGGAAGGCAGCGTTAGTCGAGTTCCGAAGGGCAACCACTGGCAGAGGGCATTCTGAGCCTCAAGGATGAATACATCTGACCAGGCGGGCAACGGAGTAAGTATACCGAGTGATGGTATGCGTACCGGGATGATGTTGGCTGTGGATACAACAGGGCTGCATGACGTCCAGTCGGGGATGTCGAGTACGAGTACTTGCAGCGTCAACTCGAAATTGAGGGCTCCTTATTTACCCTTGTTTGCCAGGTATATTCGGGCGTTCAACGTTGCGCTACAACGTCGACGTCTGTGGTCTACTAAAGTCAACGTTCACCATTCAGCTTCCCGAATCTAACGCGAGGAGTACGGTATGTAATGCAAATCAGTCATGTACATACACATTGATCCATGTATAGCGAAATTGACACTAGGTGTCTCTTACACTCAGTGACCCGCCGCCGGTGAGCAGCGCATATCTGTCCCTCTCTAGCATGAGACTAATCTGGGCCTTGATTGCGCATCAAGAAGATCTCAGTACTTATAATGCTAGGAAACACCCTCAAAATAGCACGGAGGCAGGATCAAAGAGTTCGAAGTCTGCATTCATTGTGTGACGCTCATCTACCGCATACGGGTACATGCGTGATAGTATCAGCATTCGTTTTCGAAGGTGAACCAGGAGACCTATCTACAGAGATGAGAAATATCGAGTGTTGGGACTATCTAATGCGCTGTCGTTCCGGCTCTGACTATTCCTAGCTCGACATACCTTGCTAGGAATGCTTCGTTGGCACAAGTGATGACAGGTAGTTGTGCACAAGGATGAAAGGAGGACATGTGTAGGTCTATCGCTTCAAACGTATCATAGCAGCGCTCACCACCCTTCCATTCATTCACTGGTTTCGCCCTTCGCGTGATCCAATTCTACCCGGCTTATAAGTTCAGACGCGAGTTGGACCGTTGACGTGTCTGTCTGTTTCGCTTGGCCCGCCGACGTCATCTTGTCGAACTGGATGGTAGTGAGGGTCCGCGACTCGATCGCCTCCCTAGACCATGCGGTACCGTTGGCGATACGGTATATGATAAGGTACGTGGCAACTTGCTGTTTATCGAATGAGAAGCGTACCCCTTTCAGAGTGATGAATGTGTCGCACCTGAGCTGCCTGTGAGAACCCCAGGAATATCTGGTTGATCGGCTGATTCAATCCATATGCGACTAGGAACATGATCGCAAAAGCGGAGTAGAGCGCGGCAGACTCGACGATGAGTGTCATCAGGGAGAGGTAGTGTTTAGCGTGCTCCGGAGGGAGATGCTGGAGGATCGTGCGACGGTGCATGAGGAGGCGCACTAAGATGAGTGTTGTCAGGAAGATGTTCAAGCCTAGAGATACCGCGTAGTACGCGGTCCCGAAAGCCTCGGGTTCCTTGCTATATAGCGAGAGATTGGGGTGAGTGGACTGGAGGGTCCAGATCGTGCCTACGACTGTGGAAGTTTCAGTTCGTGAACGACTATAGGCAGGCTTGAAGTTGCACGCACCGAAGGAGGCAACGAGCAGAATGGTAGGCAGTGCGACGACTGTGATCGCCATGCTAGCACCAGACACAGTCCATATAACATAACACCGCCAAAGCTGGCCATAGACATTAACCCAAGTCCAAACAAGATAGTCACGGGCAGGACTTACAACAAGGAGATCGCACAGGAATGTTTGGATAAACAATGTGGCGTCGAAAATGACGTTGATGGCGAGGTACTGTGTGTCCAGGAAGTACTGCCAGGGACCTCCTGGATAGTTGCGGTTGTCAACGTACATGACTTGGACCGTGCGGGCTTGTACGATGCAGTAGATGAACTGGACGGACAGCAGAACGGCGAGGTAGCCAACGAGGAACATGGTCTTCCAGCCCCTCTTCTTGGTCTCCTTCCAAAGGTAGGTCACGCATGTCGTCCACAAGACAAGCTGAACCCCTATCATTGTGTCTCAGACAGGTTCTTTATGTCATGCAGCATTGTCTCACCAAAACCGACACCGGTAATGAAGTCCCCAGCAATGAAGTATCGTTCGAAGTTGATAGTGGATTCGGGCTCATCTGGACCGTAGTATACACCTGGCTGAGGAGCCATCCTACGGGTCTTCCGTGGAGCGTAGGTCAGGGAATGTGCAGAGGAGTGGGTACTCGGGAACCAGGTCATGGGTAGGATGCGTCCGATGGTTTATATCGCCTGAGACATTCTTAGGTTCTTCCTAATTTCACGGAGGAATCAGCGGAGATCTAAATTAGGAAGGGGTCCGTATGTCTTGCCGGAGCCTTTCGATGGTGCCTCGAAAACACATAACCTTGTTGTGCCGAGCTTACTCAAGCACAGCCTCTATGCACACCTGGAGATGCGTCATGTCCACCTGTCGTCGCAGGAGAGTCTTCCGAAGACGAGTATCCTGACTGTATTCGTTACCACAAGCCTCAGGTATAGCATTCGTCATCTGTTCTTCCAAGTGTACACTCATTGCCCTCGTCGCTTATACCGCCACTTCCCATCCTATGTCCAACAGTCCACACGCGTGCTATATTTATCAATGGTTAGCCTTGTCACCATTCCTTGTCTTGCTTATGCAGGCTACATTGCTATGCTACCGTGATCGCTGCTCATCAAATCCAGAGTGGCAGAATTAGAGAGGATCAACTTAGGGGGCTCGTTAGCTCAAGAATCACCTTACGAAACAATCATGACTGTAGAGAGCTCCCTTCGTCCCTCAGAGTATCTATAGCTACGCCCTGAAACGTGTACTCTTTGAAGTGTTCTGCATGAGAGGATACTACTCTATTTGACACTGTGATAGTTTGAGAATCCCCGCATTGCGATTCTCTGAGATAGAATGAGTACGAAGCTGGGTATGAAGCACGGAGTTTCGGGTAGAGTGGGCTTCACTTGGCAGTGCCCAGCACGTCGGGTCCGAACATCTCTCTAGGTGGCAGGCATTAAGAAGCATGACGTCCGTCCTTGCTACCCGACGAACTCTGCGGCGAAGGTGTCGATATTTTCTCAGGCCAGGTCATGCTGTAGAATCGGCCCTATTGATCGTCCATGGTCTTCCATACATATCGGTGGAAGGTGCGGAGTCCCGTATCAAGCCCTCATAATCCCATCGCCTCTAATATCCTCCTAACCGCAGACATACAACTAACTCCTTGTCATATACTATGTATCAGTGGCCCTTTGACATCACTCCCCGGAAGAGCCTACACTGCGTCCTCACTGTATGTTGGCCCTCATCTGAGCTTCTCAATTGCGAAACGCGATCTCCGGGAAGCCGATACTAATCGGACATAGCAAGCTTCGAAACATCCGTTTTCTATCACCGGTCGACAAAGGCCGACCGGGGTCACCTGTATGTCCGAGTGATTCCACCGCGGGGCCTTCTCGCCTACAATAGGAGCACGGGGTGTGTCCAGGCCGGATGCATTGATTGTGATGAGGCGCATACCTGGTAGCATTGGGGAAGATTCAAGGCCGGTCCGACTCAAAGTACATTGCCGCTACGTAGGTGGTCGAACCACCACGGGCGGGACCAGGGATCCTTGACTTCGGCGGGGAGAGCAAGCATATCTCTTCTTTCGTAGCTATGGAAGGATTGTGATGGATATCCTATCTCGACATCGTGGAGATGGAGGAGAATATCGTGATATTCACATTATAAGGTTAGTGCTAACCCACACTGCATATGCCGGCCGGCGTGGAGACCCGACAGAGCGGAAAAGGGCCTTTAAAACATGAGGCGGCCTCGGATCCAATAGTGACATGCTGTTTTTGGACGCACCATTGCATTAAGTTGTAGAGGACGAGTTAATAAAACACTAACAGGCTAGAAATCCTCCGACATCTGCGACACTGGACATGCCTGGACACAAAGTCTGGCTCGTTACGTGGGCACATGAACATCGTATACGGCAGGCTTACTTCAGTGACTAATTCCTCTTCCGGGTTCGCCCTGTAGATGGCGTGCTGGGCCCTCCGGCACGGCGACAAGGTCGTCGCAACGCCGCGTAATCCTGCGGCCTTGCAGGGCTTTGTGTCTCAATACTCAAACCCGCTTCTCGTGCTGAGGCTCGACGTTGACACACCGGCCGAAATTGCGGCCGCCTTCCGGAAGGCCAACGCGGCGTTGGTACATTTCGTTGTCGTTCTCAACAGCGCAAGTTATGTCGTGGCGGGAGAAATCGAGGGGACACCCCGCGCACGCCAAGTCTGAGACGAGAATGTGCCTCAAGGTGGACAACTCGTCACCAATTCCGCCGCTAGACAGATCATTGGGTACCTCCGCTCGGATTATATCGTGCTTCCGAAGATAGTGAGTATGTTTCCCCTTATCAGAGCCAGTGTGTGTACTCACGTGTAATGTAGCGCTGGGCGGCATCATGGATACCTTGTACAAAGCAAGAGCTAAACCCTGAGTGGGCCATCAAGATAAGCATTTGAAGCGTTTCGCTACTGGTATCCTTGTCCAGACTGTTTGCAAATCACCGCTGTGTGGAGGAAAGCATATTCTATACTGATATCGCCGATAGACGCTAAACGACGCTAGCACACCATCCTTCGATGACGACAGCCATCGTCCGGACCGCGTTCACCGCACTCCTATCAAAGGACAGCTCAATAGCGAAGCTAGGCTTCAGCAATACCACAAAGGACGTGCAGAAGATCCACGAGCTCACTGAACTAGAAACGCCACCGCCCCGCCGACCGCTCGAACCGGATGGTGTACAATGGTCAGGGACCACATCGCGGAGCTAGCGGCCGTCGTGGAACAGTATGCCTCGTGGACCGACAACCTCGCTCCGGATAGCTAGGTTATGTAGGAGGAGGCTTCGACTGTAGAAAATTGCTGGGACCGAAAGGGAAAGTATAAAGCGTTGAACACCGACGCGTGCATAAAATTACGTCATTTGTCAGGAGGATGAGTGGCCCAATTTGGAAATGCCGTTGCTACCCTTCCGCTGGTATGCGGTAGGTGGACTGAGTTCGCGAGCTGCTTCTCATTTGTGGCCGATGCCATGCTATGGAAGGGACGCTAGTACATTCGGATTCATGGTGGCGTGAGGGCTTTCTCCAGAGATGATGGCCTACATAGGGCGCAAAGAGGAACACATGGCATCAAAGCTCACGAAGAGGTAGAGAAGTTGCTTTACATGCCGACGTCAGAGGTCACCCCCCCTAGAGTCTCTTTCCATGACGCTTCTCGAGTGCATCAACATGAGTGGTCTGAAACCTGAAATCAAACCTGTACCGAACGCGAATCCTACGGGATATAAACAGCATAAGAATGAGGCATCTTCATCTCAAGCGACACCAACGACTCACAAGCTGCGATGCGACTACTCTCCTGCCCTCTACCCTCAATCAAGCGTGTTCAGCTCGGCACCATGTATCATCGCAATGCGTCCACAATACCAATCGAGTTCTCCCCAAAAACTATTTGCACCCGGAAGCAGCTCGTCCGTGAACACATGCTCCAACGCGTCCGCGAAGAGCTCGTGGGGTCCAACTTCCTTGACGCCGGTGTATCTCGGGTCGAGATAGTGTAAGGGCATATGCACCATAGATCTTGTCGGCCTAGCTAACCGGACAATTACAGCGGAGGGTACCATACTCATGGCGACGATCCAGAGTGGGTCACCGCTCGGTTCTACGACGGCAATGGAGACGTTATCTGCCATGAGAAGCTCGACGGCTCGGCGTGGTACTGCATGCACGTGTTCCGCAATCGCATGTTGAACTCGAGCTGCACAGAGCGGCCGATCAGGTTCTGGGCGCAAGATCTCTTGGAGGCCAGGAAGGCAGCGTGAGTGCGCAGGACGTTGCATTTGGAGGACGCACCTGACATTTACTGTTGTTTCCGAGGTAGCAGGAGGAGCAAGAAGATGATTAGGCACCTCCAGGGGGTCATCGAGGAGTTCATGTAGGATATGCAGCCCACGAAGAAGGAATGTACAACCATCTTGATCCAAGAAACTAGTCCGTGATGCAGCGCGAGGAAGGATTACACGTAGTTACGTTGCATAAGCGGTGTACCGCTGAGCGTCCTCGCGTCCACGCTCGACGTCGACAGCCATGAGGATGGGGATAGCTGCCCAGATCATGAACACCAAGAAGAAGAACGAATAGCGGATGTTGCCCGTGGCGTCCGCGATAAGCCCCACGACGAGCGGGCCGACGAAGGAGCTCGACTGCAGCACCGGAGTGATCAGACACGCATGAGAAGGTTCCAGTGGCGATGACGAAGAGCGTACACACCTTGTCAGTGATAGAGAACAGCCCGTACCACCTCGCTTCTTCGCCAGGCGGTATGAATTCCGCGTAGAAAGCACGTGCGTAGCCCTGAAACGCCCCGTACACCGAGCCCTATTCCCCGTCCTATCAGCTCAACGCCGCTACACCAGAGCGAAGGAACACTTACAAAGTATACCGCGAGAACGTACATCTCTCCCGGGGTCGTCAACCCCCCAAACTTCACACTCGACTTCCGGAACACGTCCAAGAACCCCAGACACCCATACGCTGGGATCGCACTCGCCATCCCCACGAGCACCACAAGCACCTTCAAGTTCGACCAGCCCATCCGCCGCTGAACCCACGGCCACGCGAGTGAGCCGGCGATGCCCGCCGAGGGCGTGAGCGCCCCGATGAGGATGAGCGACGACGCGGGCATGTGCAGCGTCGTCTTGGCAAAGAGGAGCGCAGTGGACGTGATGGTAGTGAAGCCGTCAGAGAGCAGGAACCACGCGGCGAGGTAGATGAAGGTGTTGCGGAGGCGCGCTATCTCGCGCCAGCGGAGCATTTGGCCCAGGCGTTTCCATGCACGGACGATTTCGCGCGACATGGACCAGTCGTCCTCTTCCCTGACGTGAGCTGTGGTGACGTCCGCCTCGCTCTCCGCAAGGGCGATTGCCCCCGGAGCTGGTGTAGAGGACGCCCCTGGGAGCCAGACTGCCGCAGGCAGGGAGAACAGCGCCCACCATAGGCCGCTCAGGCCCACTGCGAGTCGAAGCGAGTCCGTCGAGCCCTTCAGCACGCGCACAGGGATGAGCGCAAGGAGTAGCATCACTATTCCCGCAGCATATCCAAGCGCAATTCCCTGCGACGATATCCGCGATGTCGTTGCGGACAGCAACTTGTCGTGCTTCGCCTTCGCCTCAGCCGAAGCTTTGTCACCGTCCTCTCCTCCACTCAGCAAAGGCTCGTGAGTATCTCCCGTGGACTCATCTTCCGCGGATTCGTACGAGGGCCGTGTGGGGTCCGTGTGGGTAAGCCGGAGCAGGTCGGCGCGCGCAGCGACAACTTCCTGTGCACCTTGCGCGAGGGTCGGGATGTAGGCGTTGAGTGCAACAATGGATGCGCCGAAGCCGACGTTCGCGAAAATGGCTAACGGGGCAACAAGGGGCCATACCGGCGAGGAGGATGGAAGTAACAAGAAGAGGATGGCGGAGAAAGATCCGAGGGCGGCGAAGGTGAGGAGGAGCTTCTTACGATGTGGTGCTGCGGCATGTAAGGTAAGGACAGGACCGGAATGGAATGGAGGAAGAAAGATGGACGTACGGTGGTCTGCGATGCCTCCCATGGATATCACTGTCAGCGCCTGGAGCGCGACAGACAGGGAGTACACGTACAGGCTGGTAGAATGAAGTCGAGTGTTGGCGATAATAATGAGCGAGTGCTCGTGCGTACCTGAAGCTTGCACTGTCTATCCAAAGCCAGCCCACTTTGACTACGCAGCGTGCGTCCACGTCCGCCTGGTTTGAGACTGGCTGGGTGGTGACAGGGGTGCATGGATAGATCTTGTCTGGGAGCAGGTATCCGTTGTCTCTGCAGAGGATTATGAGGCTACTTGCTCATTCCTAGTTGAACAGAAGGGACGTACCTGGCGAATTGCTCGAGGCATATCGGAAGAAACAGGGTCAACGACACGATCACGAATACCTCGCTTGAACCTGCATCAGCTATTGTCTCGCAATTGCCCAAAGGGCGATATACCTAGCAAAGGCATAAGAGAACCATCCTCGCAGGTGCCTGTTGTACTTCTGTTTGTCGAACTTAGGAAAGTCTGAGCCATCGGTGTCAAGGTCAATCGTCATGGTAGGTGACTTGATGGAGTATGTCAGGTTCAGAGTACGTAGCAGAGTGGTAAGCTTAAGGCAGTACTAGCATCAGAGCATTGTAGAGACGTCAATAGCCACACCCGAGATGGGAGCTAACACCGGCGGGGGATGGGGTCAATATCCAAGGGTCGCGGCTTGCCTCGGCCACCGAGGCGCGGCGGCTATCACAAACGCCTTTGATACACGTCGGCGCCTGCAACGCGTCGCGCGACTCGAACGCGCTCCTCCACCACAGCCGCCCCCGCGATCTCCAAACCCGTAGCAGCACACTCCACACGGTGCGGGCAAGATGACAGAAGAACAGCAAGATCAACCACAGGAGGACGTCAAGCCTAAGATCAACCTGGTGGTGGATTTCGAGGGACAAAGTGAGTGCCACCCCTTCTGAGACGCGACCGGCGACGCGCAGCAACGCGTCGGATGCATTCGTTGTATCCGCAACTGTACCATCTCATGACCAGTGGGCTAATGTTCAATCCGCCAGCGTGTACAGTGAAGGTCAAAACTCTCACGCCTTTCAAGAAGCTCTTCGAAGCCGCGGAGGTGAGCCATCGCCTTGTACCCCGTCAGTCACGGCACGTTCATATCCTGGACCAGAAACGATTCGGGAAGGAACCAGGTTAGATACAACCAATAAGCAATCTGTTTGTAAGGGTCAAGTCTCATGCCATGGCTCAGGAACATTTAAGTTCACATTCAGCGGTCAACGATTACGACCAGAGGAGACCCCAGCCGAGGTTAGTAAATGCGTAAGTCGTATACCACGTTTCCTCGCTGATGATACTATAGCACAACATGGAGGATGGAGATACCATTGACGCGCACTTGCAACAGGTGAGTCTCTCAACCATAGAGCGAGACGATGCAGCCTCGCTCCCGGTGGGCTCCGCCTACCCCGTTGCACTACATTCCGTCTTGCTCGGATATCACCAGATTACCCGAGTCCCTCCTTGCGTCGGAGTATAACATTAGGCTCCCTTACGACGCGGCAGTTATTCAGTCACAGCTTACTAGAGCATCACAGCATGATGTGCATGCTGCGGTGTACACTCGTTCTCAACCACCTCATTACTCTTCATACCTTCTCATATCTCCGCCCGCGTACTTCGGCTGACGTGTATCTTCCCCAGCTTGGTGGTGCTTCTGCGCGGTAGCATGTTGGGAGTCGACCGCACGACTGATCTATCATATATCCCTGGCTATTCTGTTGTATCCCACGTGTGTGTTATTCTCAGCTTTATCTTACTCGTCGCTGTGCCATTACGTGCTACTTCTTCTATTCTGAGGTTGGAACTACTCGTTCGAACATCTCCATTGCCCGTTGTGTAGGCGCTCACATCCACGTCTCGAAGCTCGCGTCCCCCTGGCATGTCATGGTTCTAGCTCATCCTGTGGATTCCACAAAACGTGGCTACAGGCCACAACACGTTCGCCAACACACCGCAAAGTTCTCGGCGGACGGACGTCCAACGGCCCTGCACAGCTCGCAGCTATACACGTGCTCTCCAGCACGCGTCGCCAATCGTCGCATGCGTGTCGGACGCGTCGAAACCTCACATTTCCCCGTTGATTAACACGGGCCTCGTTCTCGGTACGTAAGGTTGCGGGATCTACACCCAACCCACAACATGAAGGTGCGTGCTGTGCACAGATAAGTCGCGTGTTGCGGTGTTCTCCAACCACCCCCCCTCGCCCACTCGACTGCGTAGCCACGCACAGTGCGTCCCTCCACCACACGACAGCCACTCGTTGGCACTTCAAGCGCGATATTAAGGACCTCCCCCTCGCTCACCACCAGGGATGTCCACACTTCACTCCCTCAGCATCCGCCGGCGCGGGACAAAGCGTGCCGACGACAGCGACAGCAACCCGCCCTCCAAAGCTGCGAACACAGCCCACACAGCATACACCCTCAAGAGCTTCTTCCACCGCAAGGCCTCCTCGAACCGCAAGACCTCCTCCGACACCGACCGAAGCGACACCAACGCCAAGCCCAAGCCGAAGACCAAGTCCGACACTAGCACCATGGGTAACGCTCCGAGCGACATGAACCAGCAGGGTCCGGGCTCGCCCAAGACCAACGGCGCGACAGTCAACGGCACCCCGCAGAAGACGCAACCCCAACTCGGCCGCGCACTCACAGCGGCAAGCGAATCCTCGATCCGCTCACGCGCGATGCCCGGGGCCGAGCCTCCGACCCCAGTTCCCGCCGAGCCTGTCGTGACGAAGGAGCACCCGCCCAATACGCCGCACATAGAGAAGGTGCAGGTGCAAGGATACGACGTCAAGGACGACGCCCCTGCCCCTCAGGGCCAGGCAGACGAGGAGACGGACCTCGAGGCGGGCCTCCTGCCGTCTGTGGGCACGTTCGAAGTCGAGACCGCGGAGCCTGTAGTCGACACACAAGCCGAGGCCCAAACCCAAGCTGCGGAGGAAGAAGCCTCTGCAGCTGCAGCCGCAGACCCCGCGCAGAACCGGACGCCCCGCCCCCAGCTGAAGACGGAGGAGCTCCTCGCCCCGCTCGACTTCACGCCGTCGCGCTCACCCCCTGGCCACGCTGCTGATGCGTCCGACGCTACCGCCGTCGCCGTCTCCCCCTCAACGCAGTCCCCCAAGGCCCGGGATCCGCCGACACCCCCCATGTGGACCCCGGGGACATACGTCCTCCTGAACGCGCGCGCGGGGACGGCGATGGACCTGCACGGATATGACTACACGAGCATCATCGGCTACCCTATGCACGGGGGGCCGAACCAGCAATGGGAGTTCATCCCAAGCGGGCACGGGTACGTCATCCGATGCGTGCGCTCGGCGAAGGCAGGGCACGCGCTGTACTTAACGGTGGAGGGCGGGGTGAGGAACAATGCGCCGGTCGTGGCGAATGCGTATCCTGTTACGTGGAGCGTTGAGCAGACTGAGGACGGGATCAGGTATGTCGGTTTGATCAGGGAGAGAGATAAGGGTTGCTGACGAGGGTGTGCAGGATATCGTGGCCGAACTCGAACTTCGTCTTTGATCTCGCCGACTGGGGCGACAGCACGCCCGGCACCAGGGTACGCTCCCCAATCACCTTCCTCCTTTAGCTATACTGGACTCACTTGCGCGCACAGATTCAGCTGATGCCCCTCGTTCCTGGGGAGCTCTGCCAGCTCTGGCACTACACCCGCTGCGCGCCGGCCGAGCGTGAACACGAGAAGGGCATGGATGTCGAGGTGCAGACCGAGCGAGCGGTCTCGCACCCCGCAACGACCGAGACCGTCACCCTAACCGAGGAGTCCGGCTTTGTGACCACGACGCGCACGACGACCACGACGGTCCTCACTACGGTCACGGAAGTGACGCGGACCCCTAGCCCGCGATTCCGCTCCCAGGCGCACCCGCAGCACCAACACAAGAACCAGCAGCCGCAGCGGCGGAGCATCGGCTACCGGTGAGGCGCAAGAGTCGCCCTCGTCCGTGGGGAGGACTCGACTCTGACGAGCTCGTCGGACAGGGAGGCGTTCCCTGAGAGATTGTTGTATGATGTGTTGTTGCTCACCGCCCTCACTTTGCTTTCGTTTTCGTAAATTATTGTCGCCCACTGTGTCTTCAATGTAGCCTCTTGCGCCACTTGCGCAGTCTCTTCCTATCATACCGTGATTTACGCACTACACATGCTAACATGACCTTGTGCACAAGTCCGTCAACTACAAACCAGCAGCACGCATCACGGACCTCTGATTTAGGGCAACCAGCCTCAGGGCGGAGTCAAGCTCTCGAAGCCTCACCTTCTTTCACCTCTTGGATAGAAGCAGCGTCGTGGCACACATGAGCAGTGAAAAAGACTGCGAACCAGAGAGCCGTAGGCGAATGACTCATTGTCTGAGAAAATTTACAGAACCATCGTCGAGGATAGGGATAAGATTAGTGTTAGAGACTCCGAGGCAAATGTCTACTATATTCATTCAAGCAGACAGTGAAGGTGGTTCCTCTGACTGACTATCAAGCGTAACCAAAGTAGATCTCCCATGATCGGTTTCTGGACCTCCAATATTCGTGAAGCCATCCTGCCAACCAGTATTGACACTAGCGTTGCTGTCAATGTTTCCGTACCCCGATAAGTCACGGTAACGCCCCCCTGCCATCCACACGGGCCCATGCGGGCGACGAGTGCGGATTCCACAAAGTTGCAGGAATATTCGGATACCTATCACTTCGTTGAGTATTTCAAAGCTTGGAAGTGCCTCTCATCCAATCCACTATAGCTGATGCTCCATCCTTGAGTGGAATGGCGTGCAGCACAAGCTGCGGCACATACGCGGCGCCGCGTCGCAGCCTATATATATCACGTGGTCGGGTCCGCACTCGAAGCTGATGCGCCGGGAATAGGCGTGTTCAACTCTTGTCGCTCGCTCATTTCTTCGCGCGCCTACCGGGCGCCTGCCCACCTGGATTCAAGGTCAGCTCAAGCGCCTGTAGCAAAGCGAGCAGAGGTGCGCAGGCAGCGGGTGCAGCGAGCTCGACGGGATCGTCCTATGCTAGGTTTGTTATACCCTGAAAACCTGTCCGGAGAGTGGATGGAGACATCGGGAGAGCGTTATAGACTCGTTGCTCGAGAATAATCGTACACAATGCGCCCAAATCCGAACCAGATTCGGCACGACATACATACGGTTCACCTGGGGTTGCCGCTGTAAGCCTGATGGCAATTGGACCCAAAACCTTGCGGGACGACTCCGCGTCTCGAGTCATAGAGCTCTCTAGATTTCGAA